GTTTGGTAACACTTGAAAACGACATCTTGCTCAGTATGTAGATGTGCAAATCATTTAAACCCTATATTTAAATTGAAAATAAAACAAAATGTCGGATGTTGACACTGAAAAATCATACTGTTTTTTGAAAAATATATGCCCATTTTTAATTTGTTGCCAGCAATACTTCAAAATAGTTGGGGCAGTGGCAGGGAAGTTGTGTAATGCTAAAAAAAAAAAAACAAACAACTGATGGAACATCTCACAACTAATTAGGTAAATAGGCAGCAGGTCAATGTTAGGTTGGGTCTTTCAGAAATAAAGATGGGGAGGAGTTCCAACACTATGTGTGGAAAATAGTGCAAAAATTCAAGAATAATGGACTTGGGGATTTCAGCATTTACGGTACATAATATCACTAAAAGACTAAAAGAGAATCCAGAGAAATCGCTGTATGCAAGGGACCGAAAACCACTATTGGATAGCTGTGATCTTTGGGCCCTAAGGCGGCACTGCAGTAAAAACTGGTGGAAATTTCAGCATGAAATTCAGTAACTCTTGTGAAAGCCATTGTCTGTAAACACACTTTATGGCTGTATACACAAATGCAAATTAAAACTCCTACAATGCAAAGAAGAAACTGTAAATAAACAGGACCCAGAAATGCTGCTGCCTTTTCTGGTCCCCAGCTCATTTATGATGGACTGAGACGAAGTAGAAAAGTGTCCTGTGGTCTGATGAATCAGAATTTGAAATTCTTGTTGGAAATCGTGAACGCCGTGTCCTCCTGGCTAAAGAGGAGAGAGACCATCCAGCTTGTTATCAACGCACAGTTCAAAAGTCAGCATCTGTCATGGTATGGGGGTGCAATAGTGCACATTGCACGGGTGACTTGCCCATCTGTGAAGGCACCACTAATCCTGAACGATATATACAGGTTTTGGAGCACCATATGCTGCCATCAGGGACGGCCTTGCTTATTTCGGCATGACAATGCCAAACAACATTCTACCTGTATTACAACAGTATGGCTTCATAGTAGAAGATTCTGGGTGCTAAATTGGCCTGCCTGCAGTCCAGACCTGCCATACAATGAAGATATTGGTACATAATTTAACAAAAAAAATGACCAAAGAGGCCCTGAACTGTTGAACAGCCTAAATCCTATACCAAGCAAGAACGGAAAACATTTTACTTTCAAAACTACAGCTGTTGGTCTCCTCCCAAATGCTTACAGTATTGCTAAAAGAAGAGACAGTCCAACACAGCGTTAAACATGCTTCTGTCCCAGCTTTTTTAAATGTGTTGCTGGCGTCAAATTCAAAATGACTTTATATTAAAATAAATTAAAAATAAATTCTTGATTTCATTTGATAGACTGTCTTTGTGCTGTTTTGCGTTTACACACAAAGATATCTAAAATATCTATTATTAATAAATAAAATGGAAGTGATGTGGCAAGTGAACTAGAAGGCTCTCATTCACAGACGCTGCTGCTACTCATCTGTGATAAAATGCGTTGTTGCCCTGAAATAAGATTCAGTGGTAATGGGTGTCCACGCAGCAGGTTACAGCCGTCCTACCCGTTTTCTTTAGTGATCGTTGTAGAGAGTGTTTGTGTGGGGGGGGAGTGGTTGGATTTTCGAGACTGGACGCTGAATCTCGTCTCCAAAATGTGCAGCATAACGCAGAAGCCCTGGTTCTCAACGACTGAGAACAGACAGCAGACAGCAGGTCACATAGCACCGAAGTCTGGCCTCGCCAGTAACGAACGAAAAAACAGAGATTAAGATGAACATTTGGAAGACTTATTCGCATTTATAAGCAGCGCGGTTGGTTAAATCTGCAATGAAAGACTTTCTTTCTCTAAAAAGTTGCGAAAATTAAGTCGCTTCTCTTTCGAACGAGAAGCGAATGAGAAACGACTTCAGCCTCGTAAAACAGCCGGATGCTGAGACATTTTACAAGAAACTCTTCTAGTTTTGAAGAAACTCTTCTAGTTTTGAAGAAAAGCGGAGATGGGAGGAAAGCGGCTATTGCTAAAGCTTAAAGCAGAGCGAAGTAAATCTGCGCTCTCGTTTATGTTTTTAGCCCATACTAGGACATTAACACATACTGAAACATACTGGACATTAAATGTTGTGGCTCCCAAGGTGGTTTGACTTTGTTGAAAGGCACAATGGGTCTTCTGAACATTTGGGTTGTGACTCCTGATCTAACCTGGCTTTAATGCAGAGGGAGCCTGTCGGATTTCTCGCTCATCTGGTTGTGTTTTTGTTATGTGCCGCCAGAAACTGTCCGGGCGCTGCACTTATCCACTTCCAGTTCCGCCTTTTGCGTTCCGTCAACATTACGTTATAAATTAAATATTTAGAAAATCGATTTTTGACGTTTATGAATCGATTCAGAATCGTTCACGTCCGCATCGTGATGCATCTAAGAATCGATTTTTTTCCCGCACCCCTATTATGTACTATATATAAATTCACATTAAAAAGAGACACAAATGTTTTTCCTACAAACGTTTAAGTACTTTTACTTGCCTTACTTAAGCTTTTAATGAATTACCAGGATTGTTTTGAGTTTCCTTTAGTAAACATGGTCGTTGTTGCTAGTTCATATACATTTTTATGTGAGCACTTTGTGTTAAAACATACGTTAATACTTTTTGACTTTCACTCATGCTTCCACTTTTAATTTTGACAAAGTACTCATACTGTCACTTAAGTACAGTTTTTTCTGTACTTTTTCCATCCCTGGCTGTGCTTGCTTAAGATGCTTACAGTACAAAACATTGTCAACTCTAAAAGCCAGTGTTGGGATAATTGTTAAATGATATATTGTGCAGCATCAGTCAATGAATTATATAACTCAATTACATGAGGGAGTCAGCAAGGAGAACTGGTAGTACAGTGCTTAATTTCACACATACATGCACATATACATCAGAATGTCAATACATTTCCTAGGAGAATCTTGCATTTTCCCATGTGCAGTCACTTACACATGCCCTCCTGTAGCACTAATTTACATGGTATGGAGGAATTTGAGCATTAGCTCACTCCAGAAGAATGCCCAGTTACCCTGTGCCAGGCCCGTCATGCGGTTCTGTGATTCAAATGCTGTAAAACCCAAAGGACGAAAAAATGACGCTGAGACAAACATCCGAATTTGGCCCACACACGTTATGGTCATAAAAGGTCACACTTTATTTTCAAGCAGGCTGCCAAAGCTCTGGGTGCTTAGATTTTTTGCAGTCTGAGCTGTTTTGCTGTATTCTGAGTGGAAACTTCTCTGGGCTGTAATTTCTGAAGAGTTTTTGTCTGTCTGACTGAACAGATTCACTTCCATTTTAATCATTGTTTCAGACCATCCGAGTCTGTGTGGAGACACGCCTTTTTCATTCTGCCACTGTGTGGAGGCTACAACTTTTTATCTGACAGTAGCAGGGGTAAAAACTTGTGGTTGTGATTTTGTCACAATAAACAAATCTGCTGTTTGCCTTGCTATGATTCAGACTTTCTGGAAAATAATTGAATTAGAATGGTAGAAAACAGATGATATTCCTGTCTGAAGCAATTAGTTGAGTCAGAGGCAGCGTCGATTATATGCACAGTTTCTTGCACTTCACATACAGGGCATTCAGATGATTCATCCTGCTAAAATAAAAAAGCAGGACACGCTTCTTAAGGGTGCAGGTTAACACTTTTTGGCGAGTGGGTAAACATAAAGTGATTTGAGTGGGATTAAGCAGTGATAAACATTTCGAAATTGACTGAAAATAAATATAAATTATTATTTCACATTTAGTTTGTGTTAATCTTTGTGCCGAGTACCGCTCTGGATGTTTGAAAACAGCCAAAAACAGCTTGTCCTCCGTTGGTCACCATTGTGGAGGCGTCCTCGATATTAATTGGTACGCTGTGATGACGTATGGGGCTTGTTTTAAACTGTGAAGCGCTTTGTGCAGCCTGGAGTCCTTTTCAGTCTCTGTTCATGTTGCTCCATAGATGACAATGAAAAGGAGTGCTTCAGAGAGTTTGTCTGAACAGCTCCTTAGGCTGTGTTTACGTTAACATGTTACGTAATGTTACGTTGGCTGTGAATTTGAGGAAAAATGACATACTGAGACTGTCCCGCTTGATTAAATCAGCAGTAGAATACCTTGCTTGTTATTTTTACAATTAGTCCAGTAAGATAACCGTCAAAGCTTTTGCTAAAAATGGACGACAATAAAATCAAAACAATAAAAATAGGCTAAATTAGGGATGCACAATCATATTGGTGTCAGCAGATAATAGTTAGGTGACGTTGGGCTACTGTGGCTAAATGTTTGTAGTTTATTAATTTTACTGCGTTTGTTACCCGCTACAAATATCTGTTTAATTCTAATCCAAGTGTATTTGGTTCCAGTTTCTACATTTTTAGAAATTTTTATGAATGAACATCAGCATCAACAAATAAATATGTTAAAAATATCAAATATCCGTATCTGCCCAGAGTTCCGATTTTGGAGCAACACTGAGTGTTCACAAGATTCCATAAATCGATAAATCAGCAAGCATTTAAAACGGCCATGTGGCACTGAAATGCATGTGAATGGGTGTGTCAGTCAAACTTACTGTAAGCCAGGTAAATCTCTGCCAATTCATTAAGAACGTAAATTTTATTTAGAGAGTGTACATGTGTTCCAGCCTTAATGCACAAGCATGTGCGTGTAAGTAAACATAGACACACTAACAAAAGCTGTGCTGGTGTTCTCTCTGGTGGGGCTGAATGGCAGGAAGTGCCATTGTTGAGGAATGTGGAAAAAGGATCCTTTGCTTTTTCCATTTATCTGTCCCTTTTTTGGGTTTCTTGTGTGTTCAGATGTGTTTTCAGTGAATGTTGATTAGATCAGAAGTGTGTTATGATATGACGTTATGGTTCTTGGCTGCAGTAGTCTCTTTTCATAGAAGAAAATATCCTGTGCTAATCTGTGTTTGTTTTGTTTTTTTTTTCCTCTCTGTCCTTTCCTGCAGACGGGTCGTATAGACAAGGCCTTCCCTACGGTATGTGGACACACAGGGCCAGTGTTGGATATCGATTGGTGCCCCCACAACGACCAGGTCATTGCCAGTGGGTCGGAGGACTGCACCATCATGGTACGGTTCACCTATTACTTTAGCTCTTGCTGTTTTGTTTGTCTTCTTTAATCTTGTGTGCAATATCCAGTTCTCACATGGTAGAATAGGCATTGGAATTCTGCATTGGAACAGCAGGTTTGCCACAATTTTCAAGACTCAGTCTGTGTTCTCAATGTGCTCCACTTCAAAGCCTGTTCATTGCATAGCATAGCATAGCTTCAAACCATATTGATTGGAATGTTTTTTTAATAAAAAAAAAAAATTGAGTGGTTGTCACTCTTTCTGAATTAGAGATCAAGCCCTATTTGATGGTGTCAGTTTTGGAGTCCCATTTTTTGTCTTTTTTAATTATTTTCTTCTGTTTTTGAAACCCCTGTTTTTTCCACTTACTTTCTTTTGATGTCTTCCTTCCTTATGGACGTGGATTATCTTCTATCCGATCTCAGGAACATTTCCTGAAAAGGGGAAAGTACTTAATGGCTGTTTTGACTGGAAATGAAGTAAATGAAGTGTGCTTTCTGCTTTTGCACAGTGTTGTATCAGTGTCTTCTCTAGCAGCCAGAAGACATACATTTGTAAAAATGCACGAACATACTTACATGGGTAACTCCCACTCAGTTCTTCACTCTTGAATTGGCAGTAGCCATGTAGTCGTGACTCATTAAAATAGCAGCAGATTAGACGACTACAGCAGTGATGGGCTTCCCATGTGTGACTTTAGATTCGCGTAAGCTCAGCCAAATAGCAGTCGCGTCAGCTGTGATGCTGCTCAACTGAAAATCTTAAATATATTTAGACATCCATTTTCAATGTGTTAATATAATGTTTTATGGAGGTAGGTTTTAACCTGGGTGAATGTTCCTAAGAGCGAGCTAGTGAATCTACCTGGTTCAGTTCAGTGTTTTAAGGTAGCCTTGTCAATATAGATTACGTTTGTAGTTGAGTGGTCTTCTAATTATTTTGATAATTAATTGGGTAGTGTTTTGAAGTCTTTGATTTTGCCCAAATGAGAGAATCAGGAGGCCAGGATACTGAAACATGGTTATATGGATATAGCAAAAATTCAGTATCATGATACTTAGACATTTTCATGACACACGATATGTCAAAATATTTATCAGCCGGAACAGGCCAAAAAAAAAGGAGAAAAAAAAACAGTAGTGCCATGTAAAAAAAAGATGAAAAAATACAGTCAAAAAATTAGTGCCATGATCTTTATTCAATATTTTACATACTGTGCTGCACTAAATTAAAACAGGATTGGTTATGCTCTCTTTGTAAAGAAAAATGCAGTTGGTCAGTACTGACTACATTCACTGTATGATTTAAAAATAGTGTGTTATATGGTATTGTAATTTATCACGTTATTGATATTGTCATATTGCCCTGCCCTATGTTTACAACATGTGCTGTGGTGTTCCTGAATAAATTAACCTCTGTCCAAACATGAAAAAAGCTTCACAAAACAGCCTCTGAGACATCAAAATTATGGACACTTCCACCTTCTGTATTTTTTGAAAGCAGTTCCTGAAGAAATCATTAAATAATTTAGTAAACAGCTGTAAAAATAGATTATTTTTAGGAATTCATTTCAAATTTTACAAATGCTTTCATATATTATGAAAGAGTATTTCTCTTTACTAATTTCTTTCTAGTTAGACATTGGAATGAAATTATAGTGTAATTTGATTGTAATAGTTTATTACAATTATTTTTTTTATATTTTTTTTTTTTATACGTTTCTCAAAATCCTGCCTAGGTCTTTTTTAAAATGCCATCAATAATGCATGCAAATTGTAAACATTTGAAAATGCAGTCAAATTTTACTATGGTGTTAAAACCACTGGAAATAACTACTCAAAGGATTAAACAGTAGTCATCAGTTAAATGTGTCTTTTCAGTGATTAGTTGGTAATTTGCATTTGTAAACGCAGCACGAGAACAGTAGGAAAGATGACTTTTTTGAGAGAGTAAATTGTAATTGTGTAATTGAATTCAAGTAATTGCTGTCAGCTCTGGTCTTGAGCTGAATGTAACCCAAAGCCACTAAAACATCAGCCTTATGTTAGCTTGCTAACACCAGAATCTTACTTTGTAGTATGTCATCCAGGCCACTTTAAGTTCTGTAGCAGGAAACTTGCTGAGCCTGCTGTCTCCCCGATTGTTGATTACAGTTACGCTCCTTATTTGGCTGTGTGTGTTATGCCATGTGTGGTATGCTGTACTGCTCTCACTTCCTCTCTGGAGCTTGTAGACTTCCTCCAGTTTGGCACAGGTAGCTTTTATTATCTCATGACACGGATTTTCTCTTGGAGACAAAATAATGATGGAAACGGCTAATATATGAATGTCAGTTTTGAGCTGTTGGTCCTCAGGACCACGTTGGCCTTTTTCGCATTATTGATGTTTGTTTAAAAGTTGACAGAAGGACCCTAAGGCTTCCTTTTGGCTGTGGCCGAAAAGACAAAAGATACACTTGGTATTGCTACCTTTTGGCACTGCTCAAAGGCCCATAGTTTCATAGTCTCTAGTCTTCCTCTGGCTGCTGGCACTGTGCCTTTCAGCAAATTTCTTAACCCCATGGGTTCTGTCCCATCACCTTTCTGCAGTGCAGTGACCTTGCACAAGAGCAAGAAGTGCTCAGTATATCTGCTGTGGATGATTTAATGCCAAAAATAATTTTAATATAAAATTGGCCACCAGATTTAAATAATTGCTTTGCAAACCCGATGACAGGATAATGTGAAAATACCTGTTGCCAAAATTTTGAGTCAAAATTTCATGATGAATGGACAAATAGAAACAGCCCAGAATTACTTGGACAAATGTCTGGTTCCATTGACTCACATTAAAAATAAAGTATGTTTTTTCCTTCTCCTGTAAAGCTACCATTTTGCTGATAGGAGTTTTTGTTCTGACAGCAGCGATATATTACATAATGTATGTAGTAAGAGCATTAGTATGGCTGCATCATAACAGAACAAGTATTTTTAAATGTATTGAATATTCTCTCCAATGATCAGGCATCTCACTGTATAGAGAATATTTAGATGGCCACAGTTGCCAACTAAGTTCTTAGTTATTCTAACAAATTGGATCAAACCAAGACATTTTCATGAACTGTATATTAAAAAATAGTCTACTTATACTTCTGTTTACCCGCATGTTGGCATAATCTAAAACTGAGTCAAACTTCAGTCCTGGAAGGCTGGAGTCCAGCAAAGTTTGGGAATTTTACTACTCAGATGCTCTTGATTCAGCCCAGCAGTTAATAGCCAGGTTTAGTTGGAGGGGCCACAGTTCACCACCCCTAGATGAAACACACTCCTTTTTGTCACGCATGTTTGCACTGCTCTAAAGTATCGTGAAAAATGTGTGAGTCAGTGGAGCCCTCTAAATGTTTTAATCGCCAGATCCATTTTGAATAATCTCTCCAGTATTGGCCTGGACATCATTTTCTAATTCATAGACCTTAGACGAACTGTGCTTTTTACATGATCATATCTTAGTTAGACTAGCAGTCCTAGTCATACTAATATCAAACCATTGGTGTGCAAGTACCAGGCACCAGGTAGTTACTGAAATGTAATACCAGGCAGAGAGAAATGTGTACTGGACTGGCAACACTGACTAATGCTTGAATAATGTAGGGGGAAATGTGGTTTTGTGTGGCATGGCTGAAAGAAAAATAGACATTCATTTATGTTTGATTTAGTGATTATGTACTTTAGTCCGAGCTGGTGTTGGAGATATATGACACTTGGAGAACAGATCTAAGTGCAGTTCTTGTGACCTCAGTCAGAATAAACAGAGAAAGATGAGCTTCACTAGATCAGCAGTGCAGATCTTATGTTGTTGCAATACTTACACTCTGCTGCCCCCTTCAGGCTGGTAAGTACAGTGTGTATGTTCCCAGCACACGTGAACATGGATCTGGTTTATAAAATCAATTGAGAAGTCCCATCTAAATTACATTGACACTTCTTGAAAAACTGTGCCCTGGAATATACAGCGCTATTTTAAATTGTGATGAAAAAGTTGATTCATTTAAAAGTGTGTACTTTTTATTGTGTCGTGTTTTAGGTGTGGCAGATTCCTGAGAATGGCCTGGTGACCTCCATGTCGGAACCTGTGGTGGTGCTGGAGGGTCATTCCAAAAGAGTGGGCATCATTACCTGGCATCCTACTGCCCGCAATGTTCTCCTCAGCGCAGGTGACCAAAAATACCTGCTCCCACATGCTCACACGACTAAGTTTAGGGATATTTTGCCTTCTGTTGAAATTTTCTGAATAACATTTGATAATTTTAATTTTATAACTACCAACAGATTATCACTATTAAGAAACTACATATACGTAGATGTGATCGTATGTAGTGCTTTTTTCATTCTTCATGTGATAATGTTGTAAACTGTGATAAAAGGATAGGTAATTATGGAGCTATTCAATTTTTTTATATCAGTGCAAGCCTGTTCTCAACACACCTGCTCTAACAAATACTGTTGTCTCATTAGACCTTTTTAATTGCTCACTGTACATTCTGGATTAATTAAAGGGGAGTTCCACCTATTTTCAGAATGTCTGCATAGTTTGAGTGGTGAACAGTGTCACAGAGTGGTTTGATGTGCAATGGTTCATTTGTAGAAAAACTTGCTGACTTAGATTTCTTTAGTTATTGACTGATGCAAGGAGGAGATCGTAGAAACCAGGGGTCACAATGTCTACAGTACAAATATGACCATTTTATTTACTATCTAAACCGCCAGTTGAACCTTCACATGTCTTGAGTTTTTATATGTAATGTCAATGATGGTAAAATAGTGTTATCAGTGGTGAAGCTGAAAAAAGGTTTTCTTTGGGAGCTGTTGTTGTCATACAACACCCTACTTGTGCTTTTCCATCATGAATGGATTTCATATAATACGTTTAGGACTAAAACTTTATTGTAAAACATCTGGTTCCTATCAGCACCACTGTGAACAATTCTGACTCAGTCAGTTTCTCTAGAACTGAGTATTTCACATTGTTCACACCTTATTCAGTAGCAGTTAGGGTTAGATGTATCCAAATTTGATATTAAAAATTTATAAGGCATCACTCAAAAAACATTTAAAAATTCTATGTTCATTATTCTATATTGTGTTTCCTATTCTATAACCTCCTTGTCTATTTTTCTCTTATTGAAAAAGCTTATGTTGCATCATAATTTGACCCAGAAATATACTCATTGCTAATAATACTGCATTCACATTTATCCTCTGTAGATTTCCTAATATGATTTCCGTTGCTCTTAGCTCAGTCAGTCAAAGGAAGAGTTGTTAGAAAAAGTTATTCTTCACTGACAAATTACTATTCCCTTAGTGAGATCATGCTAGCTGGTCTCCACAACTTAAATTTATTGTTAGCTTCATTAGCATTTTTACATGTTGCTCAAACCGTGATAGGAGGCTTTGTTTCAGTGCCTGAGGCTTGAGCATTATTTTAGTTTTGTTTACTTTTTTACTTATTTTGCTAAATAAGCCTGTATTTAAACTCTAGATGTAAACAGAGCTACACTGTATTATGAGAGAATTGTGATTCATGCAGTTTCTCAACCAGAGCAAGAAGAAGCATGCACCCTGCTGACGTTGAGTACTGTTGAGTGTCTGTCCAGGGCTTGTTTGTCTTGTGTATTTTAATTTCCCCCTCTGCTGTGCAGGTTGTGATAACATGATTATGATCTGGAACGTGGGTACGGGTGAGGCTCTGATCACTCTGGAGGACATGCACCCGGACGTAATCTACAGCGCCTGCTGGAACCGCAACGGCAGCCTCATCTGCACCGCCTGCAAGGACAAGAAGGTTCGAGTCATCGACCCACGCAAGGAGGAGATCATAGCGGTATGGATTTCATAATGGCATCTGGCACGACCCTTGTGCATGTTTGTTTTCGTACCTTATGAGGAATTGGGAAAGTAGGAATATAAATGATTAACTGATCAGCTGTTAACCAACAAATAAATTATTATTCAGCCAGTCTTATCGGTTAAGAAAACTTTGAATTAACTTTGATTTCTAATAAACCTTTCCTTTTTGAGTTGGCATTCAAATTGAGAAATAATTTTAAATCGTAGGCATAAGGGTGCAAGAGGCCGTTGTTTCAGCTAGACACACCTACTAATAATGAAGCATACAGCAGAGGTGGGCGATATGGCAAAAATACAATATTGCAATACTTTTTTCATGATACATGATATGTCACAAATATTTTTTCAGACGTCAGAAGCTTGACAGGGTCTGTCTCATGGCCTGAAAAAAACTTAGGGAAACACTAGAGATACAGGGTCACCCCATACAAACACACACACTAAATGGACAAAAGTATTGGGACACTTACACATTACACCTGCAGGAGCTTTTATGACATCCCATTCTAAATCCTTAGGAATTAATATGGAGTTGGTCCCTCATTTGCAGCTATAACAGCATCCACTCTTCTGGGAAGCTTTCTACAAGATTTTGGAGTGTGTCTCTGGGAATTTTTGCCCATTCATCCAGAGGAGTATTAGTGAGGTCAGACACTGATGAGAGGGCCTGGTACGCAATCTCTGTTCTATTTCATCCCAAAGGTGCTCGATGGGGTTGAGGTCAGGGTTCTGTGAGGGCCAGTCAAGTTCTTCCACACAAGATTCACCCAGCTATGTGTTTATGGACCTTGCTTTGTGCACTGGGACAGTCATGCTGGAACAGAAAAGGGCCTTCCTCAAACTGTTCCCACAAAATTGGAAGCATACAATTGTCCACAATGTTGTGGTCTGCTGAAAACAACCTGTGGCCCCGATGATGACGGCCGCGAGAGCCAGCAGGAAGACGGGCCCCAAACACCCAGCGGCGACGAACCTTGACGAGGACGGCAGGGAGAGAGCCGTGAGTGGGGAGGGGGCTGAGCGCAAAGCCCGAGCTACGCTGAGGGACGCCAGTCACGCGAGTAATGGCGGGAGGAGGAGGAGGAGGAGGAGGAGGACGAGGACGAGGACGAGGACGATAGTGCCGGCCACAAGAGGCACCAGGGCATGGAGCGAGTCCCGAGCTGCAAGCTGGGGGCGGTGACGGGGAGGCGGAGCAGCGAGCTCTCGTTCCCTCTCAGCTCGGGTGAGAGCCAGCTGATGCTGATCTGGGTGGCAGCGTGAGCCCCTTATAAAAAGAGCTGAGAGAACAGAGCGGGAGAGAGAGGGACAAGCAGCATCCACAAGAGCGACTGAGTGAAGAGCTGAAAAGCTTGAGTAAAAAGACTAAAAAGTAACACTCCTCCACCAAACTTCACAGCTGGCACAATGCAGTCAGGCAGGTAACGTTCTCCTGGCATTCGCCAAAACCCAGACTCATCCATCAGACTGCCCGATAGAGAAATGTGATTTGTCACGCCACAGAATTAGTTTCCACTGCTCCAGAGTCCAGTGACAGCGTGCTTTACACCACTCCATCCGACACATGGCATGGTGCTTGGTGATGTAAGGCTTGCAGGCAACTGCTCGGGTGTGCCATGAAGCTCCTAGCGCACAGCAACTCTTCAGTTATTGAGTCAGCAGAGCGTTGGTGACCTTTATGCACTATGCATCTCAGCACTCAGTGACCCCACTCTGCAACTTAGTGATCTGTCACTTCGTGACTGTCCTGCTGTGGTTCCTAAACGCTTCCACTTGGAATATCTAGGAAGGAGGAAGTTTCACGAACTGACTTGTTGCAATGGTGGCATCCTATTGCAAGCTGGGGGCTTGATTTTATACACCTGTGGCAATGGGACTGAATGAAACACCTGAATTCAATGATTTAGACGCGTGTCCCAATACCTTTGTCCATATAGTGTATTTCTAAAGGTCTGCTCCAGCTTCAGCAGAGTTTAGAAGGCTTATAAGTCTTTGTGTGTGTCTGGCAGGAGAAGGATAAAGCCCATGAAGGAGCGAGGCCCATGAGAGCCATCTTTCTTGCCGATGGAAATGTTTTCACCACTGGCTTCAGCCGCATGAGCGAGAGACAGCTCGCACTCTGGAACCCGGTGAGTTGCCGTTCACACAAACAGCAGACCGCCCGCACACACTTTTTATTTATTTATTTATTTATTTATTTATTATTTTTTTTTAAATACGTAAATACTTTAGACATGGAATTATTGATTGACTAATAAATTTAAGCGTGTACAGTTAGGCCTAGAATGATTTTTTGACAGAGAACTTCCAGTGACATTGCAGTTTGGTGGCTAAAAATATTGTCCTTCATTCATTAAAAAGCTAATGTTAAAATTATGATGATTGGGGAAAAAAAACCTGAAAATGTTAAAGTGTTGCTGTTTTTCCCCCAGATGGTAGAGTGATGTGACTGCATGATTATTTTTACACTGGCTGCTTGAGTGATATTACGGTATATAAGGATACTGCTCTACTATATAAGTGAAATAGTTATGTGCACACTGATAAACAAATGCTCTATGTTCCCTTTAAATATGTTCCATATTATAGCTTCACACTAACAGCGCTACAAATGCTAGGGATGCTAGCTGAAATTAACATAAATAATATAAAGCAAAAGTCTTTAAATGGAACATATATTTGCAGCATTTGTTTGTATTAGTATAAAAACAAGTACATCCTCATTTAGGTTGCTGTGTGCATAGATATTGTTATTATGGTTATAATTTTTACTGTTATTGCTCATGTTGATATTGATCATTTTTTTTATGTTTAACTGCAAATTGAAATCTTACTCATTTACAGGCACTTTTATCGGACATAGTCATACATTTACGCCAAATGTCAGAATTATTACACAATTTCCTAATTGCAATTACTTGAGATATGATTCTGTGTAACTGTGTCAAACATACAAACAGTTTTAGCTACTAAGTATACGTAACAAGTAAGATGGCTAATAAGCAAATTTGGCCCTTTTAGGCTTGTTTTAATAGCTGCAAGCAATAAACACAAAGACAAATTGTTAATCAAAATTATTTAGTTGACAATTTATCATCAGCTGAAATTTCATGATCATGACAGGCCTAATCCCAAAGATGGTAATGAATAACAAAACCGTCTGTGAAATTTGCTCCTTTCTGATCAGATTAGATTTTAGTGAATAAAGATCAGTGTGTTTATTGAATAGACAGTGGTATGCTTCTCATTTTCAAAAATAAAAAGCAAAGAAACTTCAGTTTCAGGAAAAAAAACTGTGTTTAATGTAGCCATTGGTGTAGGTCACCTGGTCCAGTGCTGGAAGAGTAGAGTCTTGCACAGTTTTTTGATTAGCATTTAGTCTTAGTACTACTAATACCACTAAAACTGATGAGTTGAATCAGGTGTGAGGAGATATCACCTTATCCACTGTGCTGGACCAAAAAGTGACTAGAAGTGAATACCTCTGATTTTGAGTCTTTGTGTAGAATTTGTGTATTACAGCGCACTTCTGCTTGTCCTGTTTATAACTCTGATGATTTCCTATCTAGCAAAACATGGAGGAGCCCATCTCAGTCCACGAGATGGATACCAGTAATGGAGTCCTCCTGCCCTTCTATGACCCTGACACCAATGTGGTCTACCTGTGCGGAAAGGTAAACACCATGCGTGGCTTTCTCATAGCTTCACACACCATTACATTACTCCAATACTTTTGCCTGAAAAGGAGTTCCCAGGGCTTCCCAAGATTTTGTGTCAGCTATATGCCTTCAGCCTAAATTATTTGTGTCAAGTACCCCTTGAGATAATAAGCAGACTAATATTAAATTAAACAGATTTTTGTTAAATGTGGCCAAGTTTGCATGCTTAGTTTCCAGATGTCTTTTCAAGAAAGCTGGCTTCATACCTTGATTAGTAATCTGCCCTCATACATACAAGAGTGCAACATATTGGTTTGATTTAAAATGCTAGCTATTAAAGGTAATCCATGTTAAAATGTCATGTGTATACAACATTTACTACATGACGTGATCCATTCACTAATTGTTGATTGGACAATAACCTTTCCATCACAGTCTCACAACCCCCCTGCAATGCCACAATGAACCTCTCAAGATTTGCTAACTCCTAATTGAGAAAACCTCCAGTTATTTGTTGTTATACTCGCCATGCTCACCTTTTGAATACTGTTCCTTTCGTAAATGCTTGTATTGACTGTATGCGTTTTTCCCTTGTGTAGTTGTTGCTCATTTTTTCAGTGATTTCAAATGGAGTCAGTCACTTTTTGGTTGTTACCTGTGTTGCCAGGGCGACAGCAGCATCCGTTATTTTGAGATCACGGATGAGGCTCCCTACGTGCATTACCTCAACACTTTCACCACCAAGGAGCCTCAGAGGGGCATGGGCTACATGACCAAGAGGGGCCTGGACGTCAACAAGTGTGAAATCGCCAGGTGAGGCGGGAGAGGTCTGATTACCTGTGGAGTTTAGTCTGCTAATGGTCTCACCTTCTTCCAATATAGATCTACACTTCACAAATGTGATCATTTTTCAGGTCCTTTAGGGGGCAGTATGGAGGCTTAGTTTAGAACCACATTTAAACTGAAAATCTTGCTTTTGCCTTTTGCCCTTTTGTTTTTTTAGTGTTAAGTACCTTATGACCCTAACTCATGACTCGCATTCGTGGTTAGCTGGCTCAGTAAATTAGTGCAGTAAATCAGAACTGCATAATATTGGGCTGGCTATTCAGACTGGCTCATTCACTTCTCATACACTCCTGAACCAGTTGCAAAAGCCTCTTACATCAGTATAGCCTTGATAACAAAACTATGTATTATGTGTTCAGTAAGGATATATAAGGCTCATTGACAAAAAAAAGAATGTGCCCAAGGCTGCTATAGAACAGTCATGCATTGCATTTGTGACCGTATAGACTCTACATTGCTGTGGACATGAATGTCTTACTAAAACATTTAACTCTATGTTCAGGTTTTACAAACTGCATGAGAGGAAGTGTGAGCCTATCATCATGACTGTGCCAAGAAAAGTGAGTCTTTTTTACCCACTTTGTAGTGATTGCTTTTAGAGTCATTGAACACCAGAGGGCACTTAGCTATTACTTTGTTTACCCAAACCATCTGTCTTGCTGTCTTAAGTGAATGCACTGGGTCACTTTCTCTGTAATTTTTACATCTGAATTTGAAGGAGGACAGTACATAGCTTGATTTTAGCCACAGAGAACACAAGTAAATGGGCCTTGCTTGAGCACTTTCTTTCTTAAGAAACTCCTTTTGAAAAAGAAACGATACTATTTTAATCAACGTATCGATTTGGGTGGGATTTATGTAACCTGAGGTCATTTTTATGGCTCGTTTTATGGAAGGTAACTGGCACTGGAATCTTTACTTAAGCAGTAACATGCAGGCTGTAAAAGTGACTGACGTGGTGCATTTGGACAGAACTAAAATCACTGAGAAACACCGGTTAAAAAATGACATTACCCTAATCCTGTCTGAATAGAGTTTTTTATAAAATTTTGGCCGTGTTTTCTCACCTTTCCGAGAATGTGAGATAAATAGAAATTTTGCTGAAACAGTGGGTTCAAATAATACCAGGTCTGTAGGAACGGCATTTTTGACGAAGTTACTGGTTCTAAATTTTAGCATTGTGTCACTTTTGCATATTTTATTGCTATAGCACAGCTGATTTCATTTGCTAATTAGGTGTTTCAGGTTAAGCTGAATTGTAATAGATATTATAGAATAGTGAGGATTCTACGCTGTGCATTGCAATATTGAGGGCAAGAGTGACACCTGTTTCTAACTCTGTCTTGATCTGAGGTATGTAGTTAACACTGTTGCATAGACTAGTGGCTAAGTATTGGGGTTGAGTTTAACTGACTACTTATGAGCATCTACTTCTCTTGCAATGTCCCATAATGAATGCTGTAACTTTCCCGGCTCTCTGCAGTCTGACCTATTCCAGGATGACCTGTATCCAGACACGGCTGGTCCCGACCCTGCTCTGGAGGCCGAGGAATGGTTTGAGGGCAAGAACGGCGAGCCCATCTTGATCTCGCTCAAACACGGCTACATTCCTGGCAAGAACCGTGACCTCAAGGTGGTCAAGAAGAACATTCTGGACAACAAGCCCAAGATGAGCAAGAATACAGAGAACACCAACCCCGCCACCAAAACAGCCACCTCAGCCCCGTCTATTGTGAGTGCTTCAGAATGTTCCACTGTCTTCCCTTCTTCTGCGTGCTGTTTCACTGTCTTCCCTTCTTCTGTGTGCTCTTTATGTTCATTCTGTTTTCTCACTTCTCATATACGTCATTTCCTTGTAACAGATATTTGCGTCTGTATAAGACGCTCACAAATGCTGACACTTCCTGACTGTTGGTGCTGTGATCTTGCCTGTAAACATATGCAAGGTTGAACCTGAAACATACATATGCTAGGCTGAATTATTTTATAGTGAAGGCATAGCAATCATAGCCACTTGAAATGGTAATTAAATCTTGCACCTGCAGATATGCCTGTGTACAGAGGGCACCCCTCATATAGCATAAGAGGGTTTTTCTCCTGAGAAGATTATTCCTTATTTAGAACATGACAGTGACCTCAAAGTAGGTCTGCCCACCACTGTCCAGATCAAATCTTTAATCATGAGAGCTACTATACTACCATGCAAATTTAGAGTTCCATGCTCACATACACTCTCATGCGCACAGCAGCAAAAAGTGAAAGCGCACACATTCATTTAGAAGTACTGTTGTATACAAAAGTTTGTACACCCTTTCAAATGACACATTTCATAGAAGTTAACAGATCTACAGGGAACAGATTTCTGCACGTTTTCATGCACAATTACTGTTTATTTGCTGAATTTAATATATTTGGGGGAAAAAAAGAATTTATGTTAAACAAATTAACAGAAGTTGTGCCTAATTTATGTTTGTGAATGCGTTAACTTATTTACACTTTAAAAAAAAATAATAATAAAATCGACAAAACATGTAATTTTGCCAGAACTTTTGCATGCAACTGTATAATCCGCTGACCCGAAACACACACAGGCATGTTTATGCTCTTGAAATGATTTTAGTAGTCTGCACTGTTAATAAACATGTTTGCCTTTGACACTCTTGAGGTTTAATGTACTAAAATTGACTTTCACAGGAAGGTGCAGTACATGAGCATTTCATTTCCTGAAGGCTGGTGATTTTGCTAACTATGACAGAAGTGCTAATAATCACAGTCAAATACTCTGCAAAGCTTTTACTTGCCTTCTGCTTGTTCAGGGTAAAATCCTAGAACACAGAGATTGCTGCAATTTGCAGTATTTTGTACTCAGCAATTGAACAACTGTAAGTATACCAACATTAGAAGACTCTAGCAGCAAGAGGTTCAATGTGTACAGTACTGTGCAAAAGTCAGACAGCACCCTTTCATACATTTAATTTCCAGTCAAACTGGCCATTGAGTAAAAGTTAGTTGTTTTAGCGTAAGAAAAAAAGGGGAAAACATACATTTAATAGGAAATTACACAGAAGTATCAATAACTAAATATATTTTTTGCCCTTATTGTAGCTTTCATTCTTTTCACTAGACTTGCTTTCAGTTTTTCAAAGAATTCTGAAGGAATATCTTTCCACACCTCCAAAGTTCAATCAAAAGGACTGGAAGTTAAATAAACAAAAGCTTGGTCCCTAACTTTCATGAAAGACTGTGGCCCTATCTCCATTGCATACACATCACCACAAACAAGGTCAGAAAAGTCATAATTACAGTCCATGTCCAACATGAAATACTCTCTATCTTTGAGAGGAGACTGTGGGTCATTTTTGTATGAAGAGTTGAGTCATTAAGTCTGCTGTTGGACCACCCAGCTGAGCGCTATTCACCAACCGGCCACTTCATTAAGTACACATTGTATTTACACTTTTTGTCCATTTCATGAGCTCCATTTACTATATAGGTGCACTTTGTTGTTCTACAATTACAGACTGTAGTCCATCTGTTTCTCTGTAACCTTGTTCCCCTCCTTTTTACCCTGTTCCTGAAGGGTCAGGGCCCCCACAGGACCACCACAGAGCACATATTATTTGCGTGGTGGATCATTCTCAGCACTGCAGTGACACTGTAGTGGTGGTGGTGTATTGGTGTGTGTTGTGCTGGTATAATAAGAAACAGCAGTGCTGCTGGAGTTTTTAAACACCTCAGTGTCACTCCTAGACTGAGAATAGTCCACCAACCAAAATGTCCAGCCAACAGCATCCTGTGACCACCAAGGACTAGAGAATGACACAAACACTAACAGTGCAGCAACAGATGGCCTATCGTTTCTGACTTTACACTTTACATCTGTGAGGTGGACCAAGAAGGTAGCTGTGTCTAATAGAGTGGACTGTACTGGGTGGTCCAAAAGCAGCCTTATATTATCACTGTTGACTTTGCAGTAATACTATAAATGGTATTTTGTCATTATTGTGATAAATTTGCTCACAGTATGCTTTTCTGTGTTTTCTGGATAGTGTCAGTACTTAAAGGACATGGACCAACTGCAGTTTATTTTTACAAATACAGAATAATTTGTTCTGTTTGATTGGGTTTTGTACAGAGCAGCACGTGAAATAAAAATTGCTGCACTCAGTTTTTGATAGCAGCATTATGTCTGATACATTTTTGTCATATCACCCATCCCTACATACCTCATGCTATTTTGCTATCAGTCAGAGCATTTGACAACGACATTTAGAATATTCTAGCAGTAAGAGGGCCAACATGTACAGTACAGTGCATAAGTCAAAATGCCCAGGGTCTTAGCAGTTGAAAGCATTTTCTGCTTGTTAAATGTTGAAGTGGTTGGGTGCCTCCAGTTGTTTTTTAATGCTTTTTTTTGAATGTTTGTTGGCCTCTTATGTGTTACATTTTCTGTTGCAGAAAGGCGAAGCAAAGCTGGATGAGGTGCTAAAAGAAATCAAATCTCTCCGAGAGCTGGTCAGCAGTCAGGAAAAGCGAATCGCCAAACTCGAGGAGCAGTTGTCCCAGATGGACATCTAAAGGACCCAAATCCCCTTCCACCCAGCTACTGATCAGGATGTTCCTTTGGCCAGGTGGGCGGGACCCGTCACTGCCAATCACCACGACAGCGTTCCGTCTGAAGCCTGCCTAGCAACGATCCCGACCAACATTCCAAGATGAACTTTTAAATCCCATTTCTAACCACCAAACCCATTTTGTCTGCAAAATGAGAGAGAGAGGGAGAGAGACAAAGCATAGGTCTCTCACCAAATTTATGAATTCAACCTTACTCCAAATCCCTCAGTGGCACTTGTTTTATTGGGTGTTTTTTTTTTTCCAAAGGTCATAATATTGTTTCCTTTTCTTATTGTCAAACATCGTGACCAAGGTTCTAGTGATGCATTCACATAATTTGTGATGTGCTGAGATGTTGAAATAGCATCAGTATTGCATTCCTCCCTCTTCCTCTTTTCCCCTTTTCTTTGTTGCCAAATTTTTTTTTTAGAGGAGACATGTTTATGCACCTCCTTGACAGTATTTGACCATAGCTTTTCGTTTGTCTTACTCAGACTTTGTACTAATAAGGGACAATGCAATAGGCCGGTAATGCAATGGAGGGGGAATTATTTAAATCATATATTACAGTGGACAAAAAAGTAAACTTTTCAAGCTGATTTTAACCAACCAGGCAAAAGTATACAGTTGGAGCGAATGTACAGATCAACAGAGTAAAACAGCATCCACCTGCTGAAAGAATCTTAAGTCTTATGTTTAGTTTGATCAATATTCAGGTGCCCATTTAAAACTTATTTTGAGCATTCTTTGTACTGAAATGTTTTGTATCAGCAGATGATTCTCCAGTCTGGTTCTTCCAGTCTGGTTTGTCGTGCTTCATTTGCCATGGACACAGCCATTGAGATTTCCTATCATTCCCTACAACTTGCCTCTCTCCCAGAACATCCTCTCATTATGCTAAAATCATGCAATAAAGTTTTCTTTTTCTAATTAAAAATCTGATTTTTACATTCCTGGGTTGCCCCTCCCACTCTCATTTTTTGTGTTTAGTTTAAACCCAATGGATCTGTCTCATAGTATACCTATACCATTTTATAGCTTTCTGACTGTACTTATCACACTTCTCAGATGGCTGATTAGACATTAGTTCTTACTTTGTACATCTAATGAATTGCGTTGCAGGGGCTCTAGATGAAATATATAGATCAGGATTCCTAATCTGAGAAGTTGGATTAACATGGATAAAATATTGGTGCTTAGCTTCACATTCTGACAGTGGAACAAAGCACATTAAGCAGGTCTTTAGTTAATGTGCTTCATGATACATAAATGGGAACTTGTACAGGAGCATTTAAAGCGGTAGTTCTGTCAGTCTGTTAGGGTGGCCAGCAATGAACAAAAATTTACCATTGTTTCCAGTTAAGCCCACACTTCCAATTCTGCACTTTCACAGAACTTGCAAAATAGTTTTGTAATATTTACCCAGTGTTTCATAGTAGATACTGAGTTGAATAAAGTCTGCAGTTTGAGGTTAATAAGCCAGACTAGCCATTTCAACATTTTCAGTAAAATATGCCTTTAGGTTCAGAACATTGCAACCCCAGCTTATTTCTTCTCTAAACTTAGAAGGGAATTTTAATGATTTTTCAACATTTCTTCATAATCAAATCAAATTGATAAGACATAAACATTCACGGTTGTGGAGTTAGTTCTGGGGAAAAAGAATCGTTCCCAGTGGTGGTAATAGGAGCCAGACAACTGAAACGTTTAATGGTTCAAAAGTTCCCTCACAAAAAGCTATTGCATGGTCTAATTAGAATACATGGTCTAATGCCTGAGATACTGTTCTACAATAGCTTTAAGATTTGGCCTAAAATGTTGTTTTTTTTGTTTTTTTTTTTCTTCATGACGGAGAGGTTCATGCTGGGTGCGCTAAGACAAAATAGTTCCATAAGAAAACCTATTTTTTCAGGTATAGGTATAATTTGCCATCAGCATTACATGAAAACTCAGGACACGTGTAGGTTCACTGGTTGTTTTGGATTGTAATTAAAAAGGCTATATTTGTGTACATATTGTTACCTTTGCTTCCTATCACCACCACTGTAAAGAAATCCGAGTAAGTTTCTCTACATCAGACCACTCTGAATCCCTTAGTTTGCATCTCAATAATTGAATCATGCAGAAATTTTGAAAAATCATTAAAATTTCTCTTTAAATCATTTCCCTTTCTGGCCAAAGCCTTGAGATTGTTGCTCTGTCGTCAGGTCTGAACCTCATAAAACCTCAGGAGTTTGCCCCTATTTTTCATCAATGTTTTGACCTTATGTCATCAGTGTTGGCATAGACTGCCACAATCATTCCATGCTTGACGTCCTGTTTCCGCTGCGAATAGAAAAACTGCCCTGCTCTACTAGCCATGTGAAACCAGCTCTCTAGGGCTCTAGCTTTGTCTAGACTATACAAACCATGACTTTGACACAAGCCATGGCTCACTTGTGAACTGGTGTCAGTAGAATATGCAACTTTTCTGAGGTGGTCCATGAGGAAACCTAACTTTTCCTTTGTGCAAATGCCATTTATGAACTAATATGTGAACATGTTTCCAATGTGCTTTGTCCAAGTGTTTGTTGCCACAGTTTCCCCTGCACCCTTTGCTAAACTTGTCTTCATGTAGTTCATTCCAGGAACTGAGATGATCGCAGGTGTTTTGCATCCTCTTTTTTTCAATCACCCACCCACAGAGACAATACGGTACCTCTGCTGGTGTGCACAGTTTAGATCAAATGGTTTTCATGGGATTTCCTGCCAAGGAAGTCTCTATCCAAAAGTGCTGATTAACAAAGAAAAGCTAGTGGAGTAGAAGTATAGAAGAAAGATATCGGTGCCATTCTGTAGTGGTTCCAGTAGGTCCTATGCATTACTAGCAAGGTTACTTTTTTGGGAGAAGTAGAAATGTAAGAGTTGATATGCACAGATGGCTTTAGGGAGTGTTTGAGAGATAGGAGAGATACAATGTTCATGTGAATTGGTAGATTAGCATGAAAGGATTATCGAACAAATGCCTTTACCTTAGTAGAATTTATGGCCTTGACAGGGGATTTTAGTCCTTTAAACCACCTAAATCCATGCAGTTGGGCAAGTGACTGAACTATCTTAAAGAACAAAGCCATCTCAATGGTCCCTGGGCTTTTGGCATGTGAATTTTCCACAATCAGGTGAATAAAACTTATGATCCAACAGCTGTCTTAGTGGTTTTGCATATACCAGTAAGGCCTTTATAGGGGAACCTCTGCTTTGTTTGTTGGTGTTGGTGGAATAAGCCCTTATCCACTGGTTCTAGTCTACTTCACTTAACCGTCTTAAGATGGTTCAGGTTGGCATTTGTGAAAGACAGCGTTATTTATGTATCAGAGTGAAAGTGCTTATGTTGGAATGGAGTATTGTAGGTGGTAAGGAATAAAGATTTAAAGTGGTTTCTGTAGGTTGAATAGAATCTAGAAAGCTTAGTGTATGGGATTCCATTTAATGCTGTAAATAACTTTTAATTATTATTTCAAAAATTTCTTCCTGCCCCACCCCCCGCCAGACTACATAAGAAAATGCATCAAAGACCAAACAGTAAAATATTCAGAATTTAAAAGAAATAAATTGTTTTGTGGGTATTTGTACTGTTTTCTTTCCCATTCATTCTGTTTCAAGCATCAGAGAATCTCAATGGCTATCAGAAAAATAAATATTAACTGTTAAACTCCCTTGTATCTTTTGTTCTTTCCAACATAGGGCCCACCTTCAAGCAGGAGGCTCTGTGGTTTGCTTTAGCGTCGCTGTCATTTGCTTGTAATGTGTCGAATTAGGGAACTGAAGCCTGCGTGTGCTTTTTAAAACAGACTTCCATTTGCTCACTTGATGCTTGCGTCAGTTTGAAACCTCAGAATGGTCTGACGCTGAGACAACTTCCTGAACTTAAATTTAAACGGTGAAAGGATTTTGACGCAGTTCAAGCTGTTCGAAAGAAGGGCCTGCAACCCAGCTTCGGTTTGGCACTAAGACGTTCAGAGTCAGTACGTATACAGATCTTTATTTTTTGCTTAATTGCTTTTACTACTGTATTATCTGTAATGAATGTGTGGAGTGCTTGAAACTTTTAGCTAACATACTGTTGCACTCTGGAATGACAGAAAATGGCAAATGGTCATCAAATGTGAGGTTGCAAGGTAGTGAATAGAGGTTGAAACTTTAACAATCTCTCTCTGAAGGTAGTTTGAAGCTGGCATTAGTTGAGGATGCTGTGATCCACATGAAGTCTCAGTGATGTGCTCATAGCATGTGAGATGAGAAAACTCAAAATGACGTTAAAGCCATATTTAACAATATAAATCCTCGACTGAAAGCTTCTGTTTGTGTTGATGACTGCTCAAGTTTATTTTCATTTCAAAATTAGCCCAGCTGAACCCAATGTGTTTTGACTGTAAGATGTCTGTGTTTTGAAGATAGAGACTGACAATGTGTCAGACAATGCAATTCTGGTCCTCTTCTCCAAGTTCTGCTTTCTTTTTATGCTACAGATGATGGCCATGACTAACAGACCTGTGCTAAGGCTACTTCTTTTTTCACTACTGGCCGTGAGCAGCTTGGTCTCCTCTAGCCAGGATGAACTTAAACATTCGAACTCCACAAAGTCAAATGACACAACCGGACCTGAAATTCAATCTACTATAGTTCCAAAGGTCCCTGTAACCCAGACGGCAGAGGGGAATGAAGAGAACTTTGGTAGAAATGTTACAACAGCTCATCATGCTTCAGAAATGACCACCAGTCAAAGCTCAAAGGGAAACGAAACCTTTGAAGGCTTCCATTCCAGTGAAAGAACAGAGAGCAACACCACCAAGGTGGCAGGTATTGAAAGTCCTGCAGGTAACGAAAGCTCTAATCAGACTGAGTCTCCTGTGAGAAACAGCAGCTCTGGCCCCATGTCATTACCAGGAAGTTCTGCTCTTACAGTGGAGCCCAGAGTGGTAACCAACAAGCAGGCCACGCATTCAGCTGTTGCTGTAGCAACAACCACAAGTAGATCCCCCACGCTGAGAACTGTTTTCCCGCCTTCTACCACCAAGAAACAAACACCAACCAAGGGCACAACCACCAGCAGTGAAGTCATAAATGATCATATTTGTCCCACCGAAGCCTCAAAAAGAGAAGGCCTTGTAGGTCGTTGCCTCATCGCCATCGCCTTGCTGGCCGCCCTGGTGACCATCTTCATCATGTCCACTATCATTTTAGCTACAAAGCTGGCGGCCAGCAGATACAGGAACAGGGAGGGTCTCCTCCAGGAGACGGAGATGGTCTGCATTTCGGCCCTCATGAACGACACAGAACACCCCATTCCCAAGCCGAGACACCCCAAAAGCAATGGCGCCTTGATCCCTAACACTGAGGACGAAGATGGGGATGATCTCACCCTCAACAGCTTCCTGCCTGACACAGAAGGTGTAGCGTAGAGGTTGCCACAGGTGCTTTCTGTATTAGGCTTCTGTCTGTAGTTTGGTAAATGGACATGATTTTCCTCTTACCCCAAACGCAAGTCGATCAGCCCAGACATGTTTGGTGTCTGAAGTTTGCTTCTTCAGTTTAGCTACAAGGATAATGTAGCTAACAGGTAAAGGAAGCTTATATCTCAAAAATTAGTCCATCCTTATGTTCAAGAAGATCTCTGTTGGAGCTGGGCTAGTTTTACCTGGGGAGGTGCTGTAATTTGAGTGAAGGAGATTCATTATCTTCGATTAATCCAGTATGAATGTCCAGTGTCTGTTATTTTTACAGTCTGCTAAGTGTTAATTATGGAGAGAATTACTTTTAGAATTCACTGAACCTGGAGCTCATCGTCATCAGGAAATAGAATAGAAAGCACTGCCTCCATTTTTATTTTCTATTTTGCCACCTGAAGATGAGCCTAACTCCTAAAATGGAGCTTGACTTCACCCAGTTCCTTAATCTGAAATGAGGCGTGAAGTCTCCTCCTTCGTCCAGTGTTGCATTCTGGCTTTTTATTTTTTACTTTTGTGGTGCCATAGTTGCCATTTAGCTGCACACCGTGTTTGGAAGCATGGCATATGTTGCATAACAGACATGAACGTCCATACAAGTCTGGAATGTTTGGGGTCATTTGGTAAAATTACAGAAATTCCTGACAAATTCAGTTAAATTGTGCACAGATTACATTACTGGACCTCCTCTGGTAAAACAAATCCTGCTTGAATGGGGCTGAAGTGTGTTTGAGACTGCTTAACAATGAGATGATTTGCCGTAAGTGTGATGTTTTAGTTATGCAGTTTGCGCAGTGCTAATTTATCAGGTACAAGCTTCCATGACTTGTTAGGTACATTGCAACCCATTAGCCAGTTGCTTATTTCAGGCATTATTTCATGTATACAGGCTGAATAATTTTACAACAATCCCACAGTGAGAAATACTAGATGTATTGAGGAGACTTAAGGTGGTTTCGTTTGCCAAGATATCGTTTTTTGAAGTGTGCAAAAACTAAAGATGCACTCCAAACATGTCTTGGAAAATTGAGTAACTTAGGTTTTCTACCAAACTATTGGTTTGATTCTGTTTGTAAAAACCTGCAAAACAAGGGTTTGGGTCCCTGGGAATAGGGAACCCTTGGAAATTGTTGTGGCTCCTTGTTTATCCAATCACTCAAGACAGTGCCTGATTGAATGAGGAAGATAATGTTGCACTTTTTCCATCTTCCACCCCTCCATCAGCACAAGTTGGTGGATATTTCTTTAAACCTGCCCAAAGGAGTCTGTGCACCCTCAAACTTGAAAGTGCTTCTCAGAAATGCTTCACCCATATTGCAGAAATTCCAAAACGTCAACTGAGTGTAGGATCTGCAGGCGGGCAGTGCAATGCCAAAAGCTAAAATGTGTTGGCGCACCAGAAGATCCGAAACTGTGCTACACCTACTTTTTACTCATTTCCTTTTCACTGGTTCATATGACTCGTCGTTTCCTTTCCTGAACGTTTATAAAGGCTTCGGCCCACATGAGCGTGGGGTGTAGAGTCAGCCACAGGAAGCATCTGAGAGCATGCTGTACTGATGAGAGGAAGAGGAAGTTGTCTTCTTTAAACAATATTTAGTGCATGGTTGTGTATGAAGTGAAAACCTGCCTAGCAACTGTTACCATTAACTGTCCTGCTCTTCTCAAAAGCCTGACCAGATTAGAATGTCTTAGTAATACAGTACTGTTACGTGATGTACTTCATAAATGCACAGTTTATGCTTTTATGAATTTAGAATGGACTGTTTATAGTCAAGTCATACACTGATCAGCCTCACTATTACATCATAACTGCGCTGTACCTAACAGGCTGCCTTACAGGCAGTCATAAATTGTAATAATCTCTGTTGCGCTGAAATGTTAATTAGGCAGTGTTTCCAGTTGCCTTTTTTAAAAGACACGGCAGATGCTGCGTTCATATCATGTGTATGTGTATATAAACATACAATCACTTGAAAATGTACAGTACTGTGCACCCTTCGTTTATGACGTTTCCAATCAAAATGGACATTAAGTACAAGTTATTAATTGTTCAGTGTCCAGAAAAAAAATGATTGTTTTTAAAACAGAAAATGACAGAAGGGCGTGAACAGCTAAATGTGTATTATCTTATATCTGTTTTCCTCAAAATATTTTGTGAACAAATGAATAACTTGTACTTCATGATGGTTTTGACTGGAAATTAAATCTCTGACTGGTGGTCTCTGACTTTTGCACAGTACTATATATGTATTTATAGCTATAGCATGCAGTGCATCTGAATTTGGTGTGTTGCACATATTGACGAGTTAGCTAGAGGAAGTTTAATTCAATCCTGTTTTCATCAAAATGTGTTGGCTATAATTTTGAAGAAACAGTATTATCAAGTATTATCAAGGGAGACACTACAGGCGATTAAACCATCAGTATCACAGTAAATCACTGGCTATTGAGTACTGATATTCTTACCAGTGCTTTTTGAATTTTAAGTTTTCCACGCATTGAAAATGTAGATATGCAAATCAGATGTTACCTAATTATATATGTATGAACATCCAAAATTCTAGCTTTTGGCATTTTCTTGATGCTAGTATTTTACAGAGCAGATTATTGGAATCTCATTGTTTTATGGTTAATCGAGAAAACATTATGCACTGACATTATTAAACATTTTTCAAGCTATTTTGCAGGACAAAATCCCAGGCCTTCTGGCCTTCTGCAAAGAACTACAAAATCCTTTTATAATATCCTTTAGAATAACGTTAGGAATGAACACGTAAAATGTCTTGAATGCAGGTGTCCTTGAAGTTGAGATTTTTGGTTCTGAATGTACAGGAAAACTGGTTTTACGAACAGGCCTCTGAACCACATTAGCCAGTGAGCTTTCAGAAAACATGCACCATTTGTGGAAAAGAAATAGGTATATTTGGTTATTATCGAAACATGCTTTTCAGTGATATATTGTTGTACACAAAAGTTTGTGCACCCTTGGTCAAATGGCATTTTTTTCTAAGTGAAAATATGTTTGTATCCTCCACAGAACACTTAAATACAACATTTTTTTCAGCAAATCTTAATGCTGTTTATTTGCTGAATTTAACATATTGGGGGGAATAAAACTCAAAATGTTGCCGTGCACAAGTTGTGACATTTTATATTTGAGGTTTTCTTTTTTTCCCTACCATTTTAAACTCAACAGTAGTAGAAATTGTGCATTCAGATTTGCAGAAAAAATGTATATTTAAATGCGTTCTCTGTAGAGGATGTTTTATTTCCACTTAGAAAATCAACAAACCATGTCATTTTAATGGGGGTGTTCAAACTGTTAGTCTACGATCACATTACCAGGCTGAAGTGGCACAAATCGAGTTTTTGCCATAATGTAACACTGATCTGATTTCTTTAGAGCTGTGTGGACACAAATCTGATCTTTTTGAAATCAGATCTGAGCCACTTTCATATGTGCTCTTAGATTCGATACATACCTGATTCGTGGCCATGCGATCTTAATGAGAACGTTCAGATCGGAACCTTTTTTTTCACTGCGTATGCGACGTTGTTCAGCGCTAACAAGGCAGCAGCATGTAATCAGTAAACGGTAAATCCAGTGAACGCTGGCTTTTCGGCCTTTGTCTCACACTAATAATAAACAACTGAGAGCTGTTTAGAATGGAGAATTAAGCAAAGAGGCCAGTAACATGAACGTGGCGTTAAGTACGACTATATGTAGCGTGGAAGGTGGAGGCAGATTCCCAAAACACATTGAAATAAATGCATTTCTACTGACATTTTTATGATTACACTTTTGAGGAAAGAGATGCGATTTATTTTTAAAAATTAAAACACGACTGATGGTCCCAAAATCGTCATTTCTGCCTGTAGTGTCTTACCTTAAAAACGTTCAGCTAATGCTGCATTCAGGTGCTCATCGGAAGTTTGTAGGTACCAGCTGATAAGCTAGTAAATACAACTTCACCCTGTTTGGGTGCTTGTTCATAGATATGCCCACCACATGGAAAAAAGAAAGCACAGAGGTCTGGAGAATAAAATCCTGCTTTTTCTTTGCCATGTTAAAAAGATCTAACAGATCTAACAGAAGTGGATCAGGTATATATATTTGTTCACATTCACAATTTTGCCATTTTTCACACATAGAAAAGGTGAAAGTATGCGTTATGCATCACACCTTGTAAACTTGTGTGTCATCTACAATCCCGAGTTTACCAGTTGTTGACTCGTTGGCTGTTCAGATGCAGTTTACAAGTGGGAAAATTTATATTTCCTAGTTTCTGACACCACTTAAATGCAGCATAACACCTGCCATTTGGTCAAAACCAGGTTAATTCTAAAAGCGGACTAGAAAGACTGATACAATCTAAACAGGTTACTGGCTTCTAAGTGCAACAGTGATGCTCAAATGGGCAGATTAAATTCACAACTGACTATAAAATGTATGGCGGCCTATTAGGTGCAGCAAGCAATCGTACATAACAAAGTGGTCTGAATGTATATGCAGTCATGTGCAAACGTTTGGGCGGCCCTGTTCAAATTACATGCCTTGTTGATTGGAAAACGAGTACTTATCCTCTAAATAGAAGACACTTCTTACTGTTTATTTGTTAGAAAAAAATCAAACACAAAATGTGGCCTGTGCAAAAGTTATTTCATATTTTGTGTTTATCATCTGTGTTCTCTGTAGAGTTCACTTATTTTCCAAAAATATGTCATTTTACTGGGATGATTAAAACTTTGCATTAGAGTTAATATTTTAAATTACTTATGACAGGGATGGTCCATCTTCTTTGCTTTGCAGATGCTTAATAATAATAATTCAGTTACATTCAATTAAGCATTTATCATCTTGACTATTAAGCCCAAGCCTAATACTCTTGCTTGCTCTCTAACCTTAACTCCAAACCTAAACCTCACTCTAAACTCTAATGGTTTTGATGATCAAATGTTTTTCCAGATGGTTTGTTAAAAAACGTGAGCATCTGTAGATCATATGTAGAGGACCACTCAAAACCATGTTAATTTTTCTTATACTTGCTTAAATGCTTTAAATACAGCTGTTCACACTGACACTGTTCTGTTTCTAACTGATAAAGTGAGTAAGCTGGGCATGTTCTATTCCCTCCTGCGGTGAAAGCAGCCCTATATAATTTACTCCAGCGGAGGGAGGTTGGTACTGTGGGATGTCCCAAGTGCAGCTCCTTCTTACTGCAGCTGCAGATGTATTATATGCACATCTGTAGTATTACCGACAGGCTTCTGATTGTGAATTATAGCCGGAAAATTTAGCACCTTTTCACATGTATAATTACAAGATTTCATACTTTCTACAAACTCCTTCAAAGACTTTGTTCACAAGATGTTACTCAACTGTGACTTTCTACAAGTCTTTCTGTGTAGATATTTGTGTTGTATGAATATTTAACTCCACGCTGTCACTTCTTTTCTCTCCTTCCTTGCTGTAAAAAGCCCTGTATCTACTGTAGGCCGCAGAAGGCCTGTGTATTTATGCTGTAGACGTACAGTTTATTTAAAGCCTGTACATACCCGACGTGTGTGTGCGACTGAGTTTGTGGGTCGACAGGCTGTAATAGCAGAGGACTGATGAGAGAGGGCAGAAAGTGGGTTCAGAAAAAATAACTACACCCAGTGGCCACAGAGCCTCACCCATGGGCGGACTAGAAAAACCTCTGAGCAAGCCTACAGCAGACGTTTGGTAAGATAAAGAATTTTGGGGGAAAGTAAAGTAGAAAACTTTATAAATGTTGGTTGACAAAAACTGTATAACATGCATTTAAGAGAAAATGGTACAAAAGCCTGCAACACTAAGTTTATTATCAGATCTATCAGTTTTCATTTGTCCATTCTTTACTTTTGTGCACTCTTTTGCCACTTTAAATCTTCCATCCTTCCAATCTTAAACCCAACCAGTTCCAGCTGTGTCCTCCCAGAGAGCTCAGTGACATTATGTTCCCCTTCAAACAGACATTCACACAAGCAGCTACCCAAACTCACCTCAGCTGCCTTTTCATTCTCATGTGCATCTAAAATGGCTAAAGGAAATCAGATACAAGATAATTCATTGCATAAGAAAAGAGAAAGTCAAAGGAAAATTAAGTGAAAAAGCAGAAACTTGAGTTTACAAAATGATTGAAAAAGATACAGAGAAAATGGAGCTCCTAACAACATTACTAGACCTGGTGGTCCACCAAAACTGTCACAATCAGATAAACAGCATTTCAAATTCCATCTAGCGTCAGATCTGAAAAAAATCTGCGTTTCTGTCCATGCTTCCACTGTAAGGAGACAACTCAGTACTGTGAGTCTGAGAGGATGTGTAGCTTTCAAGAAGCCCTTACTGAGAAAAGGAAACGGATAAAAAAGAGATCTGAGGTTTGCAGTAAGGTTTTATTGAACTGATGTGTCTTAATTCAAAATTAAGTATACTTAAATCATGACAAGCAGAAAATGCAACCAATTTGTAAGACTGAACTTTGTAGATGTGGAAAAATATCCCAATATAGTTCTGTGAAAAACTGAAAGCAAATGTATAGAAAAGAATGGAAGGCTTGGTAACGGTAAGAGATGGACAGACTAAATACTGAACAATCTGATGTTTAGTTGTTAAGGCTTCTGTGTAAATTTCTGTTTTCTGATTTTTTTTTTTTCACTGAAAAATTAGTAACTTGCAAAAGATTTTTTGCTGGAAATTAAATGCATTAAAGGGTGCTCTCTGACTTTTGCACAGCACTGTATAAATACAATTGGTAAGTTAAAATCTAAAAACCAAAATAAAGATCAAAAGTGACTGAATAATTGAATTTAGTATTCACAAAACATAAATAAAATAAATTAGTTTTTATGTGTCAGTATGAGTATGAGATATGGAAATCCACACATTTTGTACAGTCGAGGTGTTTGAATAGTTGAAATAAACAGGGTTCTGTTTTTTTCTAGTAACCAAGCATGTTGTCTTGGTTAGTTTGCAGTACCTTAACATATTAAACACTGTAGATCTTGATCATATTCTTTGCAAAAACTGATGGAACAACTGAGAACAGTTCTATTTTGGGGATAAAGCCAGAGGCTACACATTTTATCTCCTTGTTTTGATGTCAGATCTCATCTGTACTCAAACCTTTCAGCTATTTAAACCACTTTTTGACCAAAAGAGTTTCAATATGTGCATTTAACAAGAGAAAATAAAACAAATCATTATTTAGGTAAAAATAGCTTTTCATGGCAAGGAAGATATTTTGATGAACACAAAGCTGAATGTAGTTAAAGATACCCAAAGGATTAGCTAGTAGTTTCTTTATGACTTGTGAGTCCACACAAGCACATAAACCGTGCTAGATCTGTTTTGAAGTACTTGATAAGTACGCAAAGTGTTCTCAAACATTTGATGGACAGTGTCTGATTTTGGTGTTTTTGGGAAACATTAGCGACCAAAGCTCAGATCACCTGTGGACCTGTACCTGATAAATGAACCCTCCCTGCCCTACCGTCTCTCTGAATAGAGGAGGAGAAAGAGATTGAGAGAAGATGGAGAAGAAGAAGGGGCGGGAGATGCTCACCACTCCAAATTTTTTTTGAGGGGGAAAACTTACTCCTAGGCATAAACCACTGTGTGATTCTCAAGGCACTGCAGAGGCGGCTGGTCAACCTGTGATTTGCCTTCCTCTAGTTCTTTCTTGCTTTTTTTCCTTTGCTCCCCTGTGCACTGAGGAGAGTGCCGGGATCTCCAGGAATCACAGAGAAGAACAAGAGAAGAATAAAGTCAACATACAGTAAGTATTTTTTACTGTTGAATGGGTGCACATATGTTCATGACAAAATTTTTAAATATGCTTAGAAAAGATACTAGTCCCGAAATAATGACACCAGGAGGAAAACAAAGGGATCAATAAGAATGAAATAAAGCACTACAGAACATTGTAGCGTACCATCAGATCTGTTGTATGGTACAGAGTAAATGCATTCGAGCTGTGCTGGTATTCTTCATTTATTATTGCTATGTTTTTAGTGCTTTTTGCATGTTACATCGAGTATTGCTAAAATGTTATCTAAATCTCAGTTATACCATGCAGTGTTGCTTCACTGTAGGTCTGCTTTTGTTTCTTCTGAGTGAACTAATTTCTTCTCTCTTGGGGTAAGTGCAAGTTCTGGAAGAATTTGTATTTTTTGTAATTCCAGAGTAACTGTACATAAGTGCTGACAGGAATGGTTTGAAATCTCATTTACTCAATTTTCCACTTACCCTAGATGAAGCTAATCGCCCAAGACATGTTTGGTGTCTCAGTTTTGCTTCTTTAGCTTAGGAGTTATTGGGCTAATGTTGCTAACAAACACTAGAAGTCAATAGGTTTGAGGCAGCCATTTTAGACAACAGATTTTGTGTGAAATTCTGACTTCTTTTCACATGCACGCACATCACGCAGACATATGGATGCTACAAACTATGTTTGTGATTTTTGTTTTTTCTTTTTATGACAAACTGCTAAACTTGCATTTTTAAGCACAGTTTATAAATAAAAACACAGATATCCACCTATACAGACATATGTTGAAATTTATGTCCTTTGAGGTTGAAGTTGTGAGGAGTTTTTCGGCCTGGACTGCTTTTTGAATGATACAGAGCAGCCGATCAGAACAGAGATGAATTATGTGAATGTATGGTACACAAAACTTAAAACTCCTTCAAAAATGAACCTCTGGGGGGAAACATATAGTACAAGAAAATGTAAGATATAGGCCCTTTACTAACTTAAGAGTCAGTACATCTGTTTTTATTGTTTTTTTTACATTGAACTTAATGTTAATACTGGGTACAAGCTGTTTTGTTCTTGACTGACAAGAGAAACATAAAAGGTACAAATACTTAAATATGTTAAATTTACACATTAGCACAAGTGTTGCTCAGCTAAAACAAGTACCTCACTGTCTTCAAGCACAGGCTAAAGAGACTTTTTGAAAAGCTCTTAAATGAACACAAATCCTTTACTTATTAAAATGCTTTATCTCTTTATTGTGTATTTTTGTATGTAGGTATCAGAACTGATTGGCAGTATGTTCGCTAAAGGCTATTTTAGACTTCAGCCTGAACTAGCACTACGAGCTAAAAATACTTGAAAAGAACGTCTCCTAAATGCTATGAATGTAAAAGTTTGGTGTCTGAATTAAATAGTTGAATTTGCTAAGTAGTCATATCCATTTTTATAAGTGGTGAACCATGACTACTTTGCTAGGCCTTCATTTCGCACCATAAATGCCAAAACTGTCAAAACATGAGGGGAAAAAACCCACTTCAACAATAATGCTAACTTTTTCTACCATCCCTATGGAAACCTAGTAATTTGTTAGCACTTAAGCGAATAGTCATTTGTATGAACACTTTCTAACAAGGCAGAAGTTAGCTTCTTATTCAAATTTTCCGTTCTACTTTAAACTGCAGCAGTTACATTCTGCATTTAGCCTAATTAGGCTAACAAATTAGCCTGCCTAACTTACAGGCAGTGACATTTGTTGGACTTCCAGAAGGACTAGAGTAACATTTTTTCTCATGACATTGGTCCCATTTATTGAAAATGAAACCTGATTGGTTGAGTCCACTGTCACTTTGTAATTATGCTGATAAGATAGGACTTCTATTCAGCTCTTGAAGTCCTAACCAATAGGAAAGCTTGCTTAGCCATTTCTACCTAGATACCACTAGATTGGCCAGTTTTTCGCTCGGCATTTCAGGAATTCAACTCTTTCCAAAACTTTATAATTGAGCATGAGCTGTAATATAATACTTGCAGAGTTTAAATACAATCATCATTCTTCTAAATAAAAATTAACAAAAAATTACAGACATGCATTTTTTAGTTCCCAGAAATCATTAGGCTTTCCCTGAGGTTTTCCTTCTGATTTTTATAGATAACAGTTTCAAACAGTGTCAGAAACCACATAATCGAGTCTTTTTGAGATTACTTAACAATTTGACTTGGTGTGAGGCAAGTACGTGATGATAAGCATGCAGTTAGCATGATGCTAACTGTTAAATATAAGTTTGCATTACTTGTCAGCTACATTAGCTACATTTGCTGCAGGGCAAAACTAAAGAAGTAAACTTCAAACACCAAATATGTGTAGACAGATCAACTACATTTGTGTAATATTTTTTGTTGCTTGGCCGTCACTTTAACCAAATAAGTTAGAAGCTAATGGCTAAGACCTTTTCTGCACTGTGTTACCCTGCCACGTTTCAGATTGGACTGACACAAAGGCTCTAATGAAGTGCATTTCAGCGTACACTCTTCTCTTCAGTCTGCATATTCTACAGATTGAATGACAGAGTTAAACTTTTCAGGATGTAATTTAACCTGCTTATTTTGACATTTTTGGGCTGTGCCATCTTCTACATGCAGGAGCCACCCAAACATTAGATTCGGCTGAGGAGCTCACAGCAAACCTTTCATTAGATGTGCTTTACATGCAGCACGTCTTTCAGCTAATTTGCAGACTAGAGGGGCCCACCTAAAGATCAAATGCTGGTTATATATGAGATCTAATCAGGCTGGTTATATATGTAGATGCCTTTCGTTTATTAGAAACAGCGTCAGGGCAAAGTGCCTTAAGTCTCGATTTCATTGTGATTTAAAGTAAAAGCTTTTGAAATAATCTTTATTGGGCTTTTTCTTTACTCACATACCTCTTGGGATGTTAAATGGTACTTGTGGGTGGTGATCCACTCACAACCCAGTAGTGAAACTGACATGTATGCTGCTGTGTCTGATACATACCAGGAGTAACAGCACCACACACACTACCATGTTACTGCTGTGCTGGGAATGATCCACCACCCACATAATATCTGGACAACAACGGACCTGTGGTCAGAAACTAACCAATGATGAAGGTGGTAGATGGGAGTTGATAAACTGTGCTGCAAACAAATGGGCTACAGTCTCTGTTCGCCTATGCAATGGCCCTATAAGGTGGTATATATAAGGTGGCCCTATAGTGTGTGGAAAGACAAGATAGGTGTTTCTGATAAAGTGGCCAGTGTGTGGAAGGACAAGGTAGGTGTTTCCGATAAAGTGGCCAATTAATGGAAGAACAGGGTAGGTGTTTCTAATAAACTGGCCAATTAATGGAAATACAAGTTAGGTGTTTCTAGTCAAGTGGCCAATTAATGGAAGTACAAGGTAGATATTTCCAGTAAAGTGGCCAAATAATGGAAGTACAAGGTAGGTGCTTCCAGTAAAGTGGACAAATAATAGAAGTACAAGGTAGGTGTTTCTAATAAACTGGCCAATTAATGGAAGTACATGGTAGGTGTTTCCAGTAAAGTGGCCAATTAATGGAAGTACAAGATAGAGGTTTCCAATAATGTAGATGGTGAATCAGAACAGAATGACGTAAGTTAAGTGTATGTGCATACTGTCTGCACTGAGCTGTTTAGATTGTACTGAAACTTACACTGCACAAGTTTTTAACTCCAGTGCAGAAATAGCCCCTCAGCCTGGTTAGCTGCAGAAATAGCATGTAAGTACAGGGTAAATCCAAGACTCTACCACCCCCCCCCAGTCCCGCGTCTCTCTCTCTCTTTCTTTCTCTGCAACAGATGGTTCACTCCTCTCTCTTTGCTGTGGTAAGCTGGTGGTAGCGAAATTACAAACTGTTCCTCGCCTCCTTCTGTCCCCACCCCAATTAAGTAATGACCTGCAGAAACCAGAATAGATTTAACACAGACAGCGACAGCAAAAATGCAGTGAACATTTACTGTAACATGGTTGAGGACAGACATTTCAGATTTTTATTTGCTTTATGTTATTCCCTTAATATCACCCTTCACCTCAATAATTGCTGGTATTTCGTAGCAGATATAGTAAGGCTATGAGTGGTTTCTTTTAACACCCAAAAGTGCAACTAGCAAAATCTTAAACAAGAGAGTTTACAAACCATAAAAGACGACTTTATCATCAAGCAAAATTGCTTGATGTTGAAGCTTATGTCATCAGCTCAGTGCACTATGCCAGACTATTCCTGCAATATGCAAATTAGCCCACTAACCAATCACAATGTTTTGAATTGTGTGCTCTCAGCTTCTTGACCAGTCCCAGTTCCAGATAAGTGTTTCTATGGGTGTTTTGATAAATTAAGGTATTCATATAATCCAGTAATGGTAAATTGTCTTTAACCATGTCACATTATTGATTCACCAGTACCACTCTGTCAATTGCAATATGCAGAAGTATAAGTGCAATTCTGTATTCAGTCTGGTGCAATACATAGCAGTATAATCACAATAGTAGCATTTTGTCCATTGTAAAATGCTGCAGTATATTCTGCCCATCGCAATACGTAGCAGTGCAATTGCAAAACCAGTATTCTATCTTATGCAATATGTAGTAGTATATTCACAAAGCTAGTATTCTGTCTGTTTCAACATGAAGCAGTTAATCACAATACTAGTATTTTGTCTTTTGCAATATGTTGCAGTATAATGGCAATTCCAGCAGTTTATTTATATTGTTCAGGTCAAACTTGAATGGTGTGTTGCTTTGTACAGAGAGGACTGGTGGTTTGGTGGATCTTTTATTCCCCTCAGAGATTCTCAGAAACAGATAAATAGATCTCAGATGATAGACTTCCTTCCTCTGTATGTAAAGTTTCTGAGCGCGCGCAGTGCTTAAGAAAAGTTAAGATACTAATCAGGCTTAGAAGTTGTATGAGAAAATCACAGCAAATATCGCAAACAGAAATGTTGATGTTTGAAGCTTGTTGCAACATATTAACAACAGAATCCTTTTAAATGTGTGATGTCTCATTTAGATGTGTTCGTATGTTCCTAAAACTAATATTCAGCTTTTCTATAGGGACAAGGAAGCATAACAGCACACTATTGTTCATACATCCCCCTTTCTCACTGAGGCAAAGCTCTCTATATGCTGATGATAAGAATCTGCTGAGAGCTTCTCTATGCCAAAGCCAACCGTGTGGCCAGTGAGTTTCAAATCACAGCATAGTAACTGCTGAACATTAAGACAGGATGAGCCAGTCCAAAATGCTTTTTTCTATTGATTCTATTTAGCCTTAATTCTATATATCTCTAGTCACCACCAGTCTGAAAATTTGGAGTTACTGTTCAAAAGTTTGGAATCAATATTTTCAATAAAATATTAAATATCAGTTTAATTGAAGAAAATATATAAAAAGACTCTGCTAGTCCTGTAACTTCACAGCTTTAAAATAATTAGTGGAAAAATCTGTACAAAATTACAGTATGCTTTAGATAAATTCAGGATAATGAACAAAGCTATAGATGATACTACTGACTCAGTATGCTGTAGCATCAAGAATGATGGCAACTCCATATTAATGCCCATGGTTTTGAAATGGGATGTCCATGGTGTTTGGTCAGGTGTTTGTATATTTTTGCCCATACAATGTATATTTATACAGCGTTATGCAATATATAAATATATATATCTGACCAGTCGTGGGTTGGAGGTTATAGAACCTGCCTTGCAACCGGGAGGTTGCTGCTTCGGTCCCCAGAGCTGATGGGACATGACTGAAGTGCCGTTGAGCAAGGCATTTAATCCCCAACTGCTCCCTGGGCTCTGTGGACAGGGCTGCCTACTGCTCTGGGCAAGTGCGCTCACTGCACCTAGTGTGTGTGCATTCTCTAGTGTGTATGTGGGGGTTTCACTGCACAGATGAGTTAAATGCGGAGGTGAATTTTGTGGGATTAATAAAAGATAACTTACTATTATTATTAACTTTTATATATATATATATATATATATATATATATATATATATATATATATATATATATATATTCATTTATTTAAGTATGTTCTTTGTAGAGGATGTGTTAAAGTATTTTCACTTGGAATTTTCACAGGTGTTCAAACTGATAAAAACATGAAATATATAGACTCTATACATATACATATGTGGGAATTGTGACCTTAACAACCAACAAAGTAATATATTATTGAATAAAATAATAATTGTCTACTCATAAAAATGTAATGTCTATTTGGGTTTAAGAAAATTTCAGATCTATAACGTTTTTAAGGAGCAATGCAAAGTAAATATGTGAACAATTTGTTTTTTGTTAAATTTCTATTGTTCCATTCAAGAAATATTCACGCAGTATAAAGTGCAGCTGGTGTTTCCAAACAAAAAGCTTGGAAAAAAGTTTAAAAAAGGAGTTATGCTGTATTATCTTATGATAATAATTGTTTTTATCAACGCATTGTATTCGTTTTATACTGAGGATATCTAATTGTGATTTTATCTTACTCCTATTGGGTGTAGAACCTCGCCATGTCATTGCCAGTGTTTCCACGCCTTGCCTGCGTCGTCCTCCTGGCCATCTGGGGCTGGAGCTGTTCCAGCACAGCCTTCCCCTTCAACATGTCCATGGAAGGTAGCGGGAATGAGCCGGAGCCGATTTTCCCCACATCCCACAGCACCCAAGTCCCACCTGCATCGCTACCATCCCCTTCTCCTCCACCCAGCATCACCACCACCTTCATCCGAATCAAGGACTTCCTGTTCAACCGCGTGGTGGACTTCCTGCAGGACAACCTGCTCCTCATCATTGTGGTGACGTCTCTGCTGGTCGTCATCGTCTTCATCGTGTGCTGTGCCTCGGCCATGAGCCACAAGCGCAAGCTCGAGGCCTACTACCCGCCCAAGAAGTATGTACCTCGGAAGTACGTGACGAACCAAGGGGCAGAAAGGCCTCAGCAACAGCAAGCCCAGCCAGACATTAAGCCCCAGGGCACCACAAGCTACCTGCGCACCCCATCCAAGGCCCTGGTGGGTGAGAAGGAGGGCAAGGACCCCAGGCCTAAGCCGCAAGAAGCGGCAAAACCAGCTGAGGAGGTGGAGGAGGTGGAGGTGCCGAAAGAAGAGGAGAAGAAAAGGAAGGAGGAGTCCAAGCCCAGCACTTCAGCAGCCGGAAATGGTCAAGTAATGGTGTGCACCTGTCACCTGAAGAAGGGCCACTGATCGGAGACCTGGATGGCTGGGGAATGGCTTTTGAGGTCTTGTGCATTTGCTGGGAATGACACATTTGATTCCGTCTAACCTTCAAAGTTCAGCTGTTCAGACATTTCTGTCTGGGAAACTCTTCGTTGGGTAAATCAAGTTATAGTTTTGAGGCCCTCTGCCTTTGGAACACGTACTAAACAATTTGAAAGAAAATTCTCTGCACAAATTCATTATATGTTTAGCTGAATCATGTGTATTTTTCCCCAGATAAAGCAAAAGTCTTGTTCCACCGTTTCCACTACTGTGGACAACCTAAAGCTGTATTCACCAGCTGGATATACCTGGAGATGTTCATACATCTCACCTTACTGTGCCTTTTTGGGTTGCATTTAGCTTGTATCTGTCAAACCTCTCAGACCAAGACACCAGATCCTGGATCAGTCTTTACTGTGAACCCAGTTCAGTGCTCTTGTTCTGAGATGCTTGACAAATATTGCGTGATTGAACTGTGTATCATTAAATTGAGAAAGTGGCAAAGATGCTTGTTTTCAATATACAGAGCCAGGCAAGTCTTGTTCTTCGTAAGTCTTGTTCATATTAGGTGATTCTTTACAGCAGGGCTGCCCAAGCCTACTTTTTGAGATCTACCCTCCTGCAACATTTTGTTCCAACTATAACTCAACACACGGACAGTACTATGCATCCTATACGTCTATGTTCCTATCAAAACAACCACAGGAAATACAGCCTGTGCCAAAGTTGTGCATTTGGTATTTTATGTTTTTTGTTGTTGTCCAATATTTTAAACTAAATTTGCTTAAAAATGCCAATTAAATTGCATGCCATTTAAGTTTTTTTTCCGTGTAGAGGATGTGTCAACCTAATCAACAAATCAACTAAATTTTGCGTATGCCTTCATGTTGGAGGCTTTTGTGTGATTTTCTGTTAAATATGTTTTCCATGGTTTATGATGTAACAAATGAATAACTTGCACTTAATGCACGTTTTGACTGGAAATTACATAAATGAATTAGTGGGCTCTAATTTTGGACAATACACTTACTCTACCGCTAATGTTCATATTAGATCTAACCTGTCAGATTAGGTCTGGATCTAAACTCCACAGGAGTTTTCCAGGAGCAGAGTTGGGCACTTCTGCTTTACATTCTAGGAGGTGGCTTTAACATAAGCTTGCAAAACTGAAGCCAACTGTGTGTGTTTGTAGTGTAAACTAGACTTGTGATTATTTTACAGCATGAGACCTTCTGATGTGTACTTTGTCTTTCAGTTTCAGTGACTTGAAAAAGATATTTTACTTCTGTCTTTTACAGTGACTTTTCTTTGAGTATTTAGTCTGTTCGAAACTGTATTGTTGTGGAGGCTTTTGGCAACTGATTAAGTTAAATCCATTAATTCAGTTAAAACAGTTCAGTTAACAGTTAATTCTATCTATCTTTATGTTGCTGTTTTGTTATATTAAATCATTTTGTAAGACATGAACTGTTTCCTCTCCTTTTTTTTTCATTCATCACTGTAACTGTACAAATTTCTGGCTAGGGAGAATGTGCGTTATTCTCTAGTCCCTCGTCAATGGTCTGTTTCTGACCTCAGAACAGCTCTTGGCTGGATATTTGCGGGTGACTTTTTACTCCTAACCTTGCAGTGGTACGTAAAGTGACCAGTGTAGGGAAGTATCAGACAGGTGCTCCTAATAAAATGGACTGTGAGTGATATTTGAATAAAACAGAATAATAGAGTGATAAGGTAGCCTGGTTTTGACGTCAGTGAGACATGGCCTATAATCCTGTGGCCCTGGTGAACGTACTGGCACTGTTCATGCTGTTCTCTCCGAAGGCCTTAGAGCAAAGCAGCAGAAAAGGCCCTTTTGTGACACTTGATGTCTGCAATACAGAATTCAATTAATATTTCAGAAGGCCAGTACAAGAGCCCCTGCTCTGTTTTCTGAAAATAGGCCAGGCTAATATTTGATTCAGGCACTTAGATTTGGCCTTGACTGAACTTCTCAGTTCAGCTCAGTTAAACAGAATTGATGTTACAAATTACATTACTGTCACAGCAATCAGCATTAACAATTCCATAAAATCTCTGCATAAATCAATCATTAAAATGTAAACAAAGTCATTCAGAGTGGTGAGCCATAGCGAAACATACAGATACTGATTTCTTTACAATGGTGGTGATAGGAACTGGGGATCATGATGTCAATAATGCAAATATAGCAGCTATAGCCATTTAACTAGCAAACCTGCACATGTTTTTATATGTAATGTTGAAAAAGGGAAAATAGTAGTAATTCTGGAAATCCCATGGGTACTAGTTTTCCACTACAATGTTGTATTAGGCCAAAATTGTATAGTAAGACTTCTATTTCAACAGTTTTGTGTAGCTTTATAATAAAAAAATAAAAAAATAGACATCTGGTTCCTATCACCACTACTGTGGATAATTCTGACTCATTTTCACATTGAACAGAATAATTCAGTGGTTTAATCTTAATCTCTGAATAATCCATGGAATTCCTTTAACATGTAGCCATATATATGCAATGCATTCAGAAATATATGCAATGCATTCATCTGCTATGCTTTTAATTCTGGTCATTGTTAGTGTTGCGCAACTTATTTGAAAACAATGAATCCTTTCATTTGAATTTTTAGAAGCCTCTTGAACAAACCAGCACAGGGCTCATCTATTCTGGTTTGGCTGGTCCCCCAGCATGGCCATTCCGGCATCCGACACATAACATATGCTGGTTTGCTGGTGACCAGCCATGCTAGTCTACGCTGTTTTTTTAGCAGGAAACCCTATTCATCTGGCTCTCAATCCAAGATCAAGGTGATTTTGACCAGGATGAAATGAAAGAAAAATGTGAAAAGCTTTATCATTGTGTCTTTTTAACCTCAAACTCTATTCAGTCACCTCTTTGGTAATGCTACAATGATATGCAAAGAATCATTTAGTGAATTAATCGTCTTCCATATGATGTTACTCACAACTGACAAAAATTGCAAATGAGGTTTATAAATTCAAATATGGGCTACACTGCAGTGGCACAAGGCCAAGTCTTGGCAACTTTCAGCTGCCCAATAAGGAAACCTTGAGAAAATGTCTGTGCTCCTGGTGAAAGCTGCAACCGGAGCCCCGAAAACAGCCTGGGCTGTAGCTCAAGTTGCTCTGCTTTTGTACTTGGGGTGCTGAATTATTCCAAGAATCTGCTGTCCTTTCAATCCCACCGCTGCAGCACAGAAAGGAACACACATGCCGCAAATGCTGTCCACCACAAACCTCATCTTGATTTTTTTCATATGTCTTACTTATGGCCTTCTGACTTACAAGTTTGCCCAAAGCACTAGGATAAAAAGCTGGGCTTCATTAATCAAAGTATGGCAGTGGCATTTGATATGGATTTTGGTGCAACTATATCTGTAATCCCACAGGAGCCTAGACCATCTTATTGGCATTTGGCACTTGAGACAGTGGACAAAGCAACTGGATAACGCAATTAATTCACATGGTGAAGAAGACACAAAACAGGTAAGGCAACACTTTCAGGGCCAGCATTAAAATTTGATGGGCTTCTGCCCGGAATTCTCCAGGTGGCCGCAGAGCCCCGCAGTTTCTGGAAGGAACCTTGTGGAGCTGTGAGGGTGATGATTGAGAGGTAAAAGGCGCCAGGAGCTGGGCGCGTCTCGCCCTACTTGAGAGGCAGGGAAACAGAACAGCAGGAGGATGGTGAGTGAAGATATGTCACCCACATTACCTGTAGCGTACGTTGTATTCAAGATATGTACGTGGAGAAGAGATGCAAGAGATGACACTGGTTATAACTGATGAATCTGACTAATTGATATATTTGGAGTTGATATGTACTATTGTTTGTCGTTTCTTATTCCTTTCTTCCTCTCCACCATCAGTGAGCCATGCGTCCTTGCCTCTTCTTGCTGTTGCTCCACTCTCTCGGTCCTTGCCATCCGATCCTCTCTCCCTGCCCTGCAGGCTGCTGCTGCCCACGGCCAGGTGTGCTGGTGCTGTGCGAGTCCTTAGGTCTCCACGCCCTTCCTCGCTCTGTCCCCCTCACGACTTCGGCCCTGTCTGTGGCACGGAACCGCCTCTGCAACGTGGACAATGTCCTGCGGCGCTACTCTAGCTTGCAGGAGCTGAGCCTCAGTCATAACTGGTTGGATCGTTTTCCCCGTGGGCTGCCGCCGAGCCTGGAGAGCTTGCAGCTTGGGGAGAACCGCATCACGTACATCACAGCGGGAGCCCTGAGGCACCTGGGCAATCTCACTCGACTGGACCTGGAAGATAATCGCCTACGGGCCATCCAGCCCGGGGCACTTTTGGGTCTTGCCCGGTTGAAGATGCTGTCCCTGAAGGGGAACAGACTGACCAGCCTACCCCTGCACCTGCCATCATCACTGACACACCTGGATGTGTCAGCCAATTGCATCTCAGCCCTGGACCTGGCCTCACTGGCCACACTGGTGAACCTTCAAGTGCTCAAGATCAACAGCAACTGCTTACGTTCTGTGCCTGAGCATGCCTTCGATGGACTGCCACGCCTGCGCTCTGTGGAGTTGGCCAATAACCTGTGGGTCTGTGAATGTGACATCATGTATCTGTACAAGTGGTTGCTCATGGACAGGTTAAGGATGGCAACAGATCTTGTGTGTACCGCACCCTTGCATCTGGCGCACAAGCTGCTCTTGACTCTATCCATCATGGCTATTTGTCCTAAGGTCCTCAAGCCTAACGAGAGATTAGCGCCACTCAACATAACGGTAGTTTCCAGGGTTATGCTGGAGAACCCCCAAAATCAGACCACAGAGAATCCATCTTCAGAAGATGCTTTAGATCGCCTCTCCAATGTAACCAGAACATTGAGACACTTTTGCAGGAATTCCCCTACAAACTCAAACAGGACACTTCCCTCAGTTGTTAGTGGTTCTGTACTGAGGTCTCATTTTAGGTCAAACCAATCGTCTTTGGAAGGACTGAGCTATGAACAGTGCTTATTACTAAACTCCACTTTTCTTGTCCCTCAGTCAACCCAGACGCCTTACAGCCTGGCCCCGGAAGAGGAGCCTGAGTGTGTGGACAATGGGACACACTTCCAGACTGTTCTCTCAAGCACTACAGTTCCTGTTGGCCCATTGTCCCCCACCAGTGAGGCAGGAATGCAGTTTGGTGCCACTCCTAGAATTCTATCCCAGTCTAGTGACCCAGCACTGGTTGCGTTACTCTCCGTGCTGTGTGTGCTAACAGGGCTTCTGCTGGTGACTGCATTTCTGGTACTGAAAAGCCTTGTGTGGAGAAACCAGAGGATAGTTCCACTCCCTTCCTCACTCGGTAGTCAAAGGAACTTGAGTTCTTGATATTAGCCAAGTATCGACTATGTCAGTAGATGTCCAGTGAAGTACTTTATGAAGTGAGATTTCTCATTCCAGGTACAAAATTAACTGACAGCAATGACTGGCTTTTGCCTCTTTAAAATCTCCCCTGGACCACTCAAGAAGAACAAGTTTACAAATGAAGCTACAACTGTGCACAGTCCTTAAGAAATAGAATTATATTATTACATTTATTAAATATCATTTATACTATACTAAATGATCAACATGCTTGTAAAGTGCATCTGCTGGAACAGTCATGTTTCTCTGTTATAAAAATGTGACAAAATCACAAACGTATAGATGGTTACTTTAGAATTTTATTAGGCTTATCCAACGGAGAATACAGCATTAGCAATTCACTTCCCATAACTGATGTTATATATACAGTTTCATTGTGCGTGTACGACTGCATATCAAAAACTGCTGTCTTCGAAGAACAGTTAATATCAGCGGACAAATCTGAGCAACAAGTGAAATGAAAGATGCTACAGAAATCTACACAAATATTCTATTTATTAATTATTTATTGTGTTAAAAATAAGCTGACTTGCACTGTACTAATCATTATATAAATCCAAAAAGGTCAGAATTACCAAAGAAATTGCATTCAAAGATCACCTGTAGTTAGTGGACTGCTTTTCTGGGCAAGTCAAGGCCTGTACTAAATGACAACTCAATTGGGTTCTCAGTTTCAGGTGAAAACCCACTGAAAGTCTCATTTTAGCTTAGAACTTTTTTCCCCAGAAAGCTCATATGTGCGTGATTCAGAAAGACACTGAAAAACAAACCCACCACCCTTTCACAAAGCACTCTAAAATGAATGCTTAACCTTGCCTTACTGCACTCTAGCAATGCAAACATCACTTCATATCAAACCATCAACCCAGCAGATTATCTACATACTCGGTAGAGGAGGATGACGCTATTGTAGGGATATATTTGGTTTGGGCTACACACAACACATTCTGTGCGCAATTACGTGAAAGGATGTCATGGCTTTTGTCTGCAATAGAGACACATCTACTGCGACTAATTTCTAGCCTCCACCACTTCCTCCTCGTCCTTTTGCTTCAGCCTGTAGTCAGCCAGCGCAGCCTTGATGGCGTCCTCTGCAAGCACTGGAAGAAAAAAGAGAGAACAGTTAGAAAGGGTAATCAAAATGAGTAAGCTTACATATAATAATTACAAGACAACTGTTTTTTTTTCTCAGTATAGCCAATGCAAATGACAGGTTTTAAGGGTAGGCTAAAACATCAGAGGGGAATTCCAACGGATAGTGTAACGCTCATTTTAATCTAAGCACAGAAAACTGGATCTAACTGTGTGTAGGTGAACGATCAAGTAACTGGCTTTTATTAAGCTAATGGCATCTTAAAGCTACCTGTGATCTTCTGTAAAACTTACTAGAGCAGTGAAGCTTGACCGGAGGAAGACACAATTCTTTAGCAATCTCAGTGTTCTTGATTTTCAGGGCTTCATCAATCTAAAGAAGAGAAGAAAGACCATCAACTTCCAGCCATTGTAAGAGGGCAAAAACAACACAGGTTATGAACATGGGCACAAGTAAATGTTCATATTCCAATTTTAAGATGACGCACTTCTACTTACATGTCTTATCTCAAAATCAGTACAATAAATAAACTCCAAAGCTCAAGGACAATCATTAGTCTTGCTGTCTTCTCAAAATAAAGTACTCTACATTTACTACTTATAAGTAACATATCACTTTTCTTAACATTTACTCAAGTTTTAACAAAAAATAAAAGATGAAAAGACATACCGATTTGCCTTTGACCCATTCTGTTGCCAGGGAACTCGAGGCAATGGCTGATCCACAACCAAAAGTTTTGAATCTGGCATCCACTATCTTTCCATTCTCGTCGACCTCGATCTATATTAACAAAAAGGCAGTCTTTATTAAGATCTCAAAACATTCAAAAGATGTACAGTTAAACAGTAGAGCTTTTGGGATACAAAATTACTAGAAATCAGTTTATAAATAAAATACATTATTAGTTTATTAGAAAGATCAGTCATACCTGCAATTTCATAACATCACCACAGGCAGGTGCCCCCACTAAACCAGTGCCCACATTCTTGGAGTTTTTATCCAAGGAACCAACATTTCTTGGGTTCTCATAATGGTCCACCACCTTCAAAATATACCGAAAGTTAAAAAAGGCAAATATGTGAAAGGTGAAAGCGTAACAATATGTACAGCATGGCACAAACTATCAACTTTTCCCTGCAATTTATTTTAGTTGTTTCTGTTAACTAAGATAAACAATGCAAAATTTGGTCACTTGTGAAGCTAAACAGTAAAATACAGATTAAAACTACTTCTAGTGAATAAGACTCACTGTCTTAAGTTTCAAAAGTGTTTTAGAGCTTGTTTCTTGGACATGGATTAAGCTTAGTCTTGAACTAATCTACAGTGCGAATGGTGAATCACCATTGGAAATTCTTTTTAGTCTAGGATTAGCCTTAATCTGGACCTGGGAACCTGGCCAATAGTGTCATTTATAATAAATCTGTTTTTGTCTATAGTGGATGCCTTAGCCATGAACCCCTCTGAGAGAGCTGCGCAGCTCCAATTTACTGAAAGACAAAAGTTTGCTTTCTGGGTTTTTCCAGAGACAGAAGGGGGAAATAGAAGTTGGCAAACCTACGCAACGGATCATTTCGTTCTTCATACTGAACAGCCCACAATAATAATAATAAGAAAAAGAAAAAGAAAACATAGAAATTATCTACGGTTCTGCTGACCAAAAGATTTTTCCTAAACGCTTTAAGGCTCTAATTTCCAATGGTCGTGTTCTTAAAATAGGACGAATATCACAAATTTAGCATTAACGAAGCATGAGAATGTTTATGGAAATGCTTTTAGGATCTTACTAGCCTCATTGCAGCAACCAAAATCTGTTGCAACAGTGAGCAACATCTCAATAAACAAAGTCAGAGACGTTATCGTTAGCTGGCGCCGCAACTGTGTCTATAACGGGATCCATCAGGCTGAATCCGGTTAAAGAACACTTTTCCGCACATGCGAGGCTTAAGCTAAGCTTCTTATTCGAAATTTCCGTTCGACCTTAAATGATGCAGAAGTTACATTCACCGAAATACATGTGGCCAAATGTAACGGCTACAACATTAAAGATGGAACGGAAAACAGCAGGTAAATAGATGCTAAGAAGCTAAAAAAAGACACCGTTTGAGTTAACACAAAATTACACTTGATAGTGACCATGGCCACGATAAACAGGCTAATGACATGGAGGACACTGTGGCTACTTGCCCCAAAACACACTGAACAGTAGGTTAACACTACAGCAAAGACAGTAAAGCACGTCATGTGAACCATCAGTTACAAGTAGATGTTAAAAAATGTCGTATGTGAAGCAGCTAAGCAACCTAAAATGTAGTATTTTCGCATATATTCTTTAGCAAGAGAGCTTTTTCTGAATGTCATCCGCCGTTAACAGTGTAAATAAAGCATTGCGGAGTTCTCTTAGCTCGCTACGCTATGCTAACGGAAGCTTTGCGACCCAGACAGTACCGAAATGTTAGGTAACAGTTCGCGTTCAGGCTTAAAAGTGGCCAGAAACACAGCTCGAATTTTGTTTTACCTCAATAAATTCAACGTCAACTGTCCACTGACCTTTTTGTGATAGCAGCAAGCTGCTTTAAACTCTGGTAGCGTCAATGTTCTACCAAAAAGTCCGAAGGACGCGAAGCACTTCCCCACCGACGACAGCGCCATGTTTACAATGGCGATATTGAGGAATGAGGGCGTTCAGAAATAACAGCAGGGAGCGGTGACAGGCAGCAGGGGGCGCTGTTTCAGTCATCTTTCCAAAAATATGTCCAAAAGTTTCTAGACGCCCGCTCGTCTATCCAACGTTTCTTACAAATTGTCACGTCCCGCTACTGGCTTGCATAACTGCAGAGGCTCTTGGGAGGCACATAGCCTCCAGAAAAGGGACCTGTTGTTTATGTTGTTGTCTGTTAGTTTAAAGGTATCTGTATGTGTTATTAGTGTTACTCTGTGTTGGGGGGCTGTGGGTATTTTGTGTTTCGGTTTGGTCACCATGAGGTCCTCTGACTCTGCACCAACATCACAGTATAGATTGCTGTGAAAAAATGGATATTTTTGGTGCTTTTCTTTTTGAGAATTAGTACTAATATAACAGGGTCAATCTCCATTTGGAGTGGGAAACCATGTCACAAATGTTGCAGGGCTCAAAAAGATGCTTAAAATATTACGCACAGCTGCAAACGTCAGTATGTACATTAATATAGTTGACCTAAGATTAAATAATACTTTTCCTGTATGATTTCTCTGATTTTTCTTTTTTGATTCTGTTTCATAATTGCTCTGCATATATAAAACAGCTCGTCATAAAACTAATTTATAAACTAAAATCTTAGAAACCATTTTTAGGATAAAACATTATTTGTAAGAGATTTAACTTTCTAATTTGTATAAAATAGATTCATGTTGACGTTTTATATCAGTAATGTTATACTACATTGAAAAAATATGTATTCTATTTAAATATTTCATTTGTCACAGATTTTGGTCACTGGTGCTATCAGGACTCACATTACATTTTAACAAAGTATTTTCAGCTCTATTAAACCGCTTTTTTGGGTCAAGGCTCATCAGAGAGGAAGCATCTTAAGGCATGAGAAAGTGTGAGTCCACGCTTGCTCATTATGTTTCATTAATTTATTAATAATTTTGTTTATCAGACAGCACGTCTTCTATGTGTCACTGGTGTTACATGCTTTAATGGCTCAGTACTTAAAATTTTGTCAAAATAATGCCATATATTATAACAGTTTTAGCCAGAATGTCACTGGTGTCACAGTCACTGGTATTACACCATATTCATATAACACCACTGACTGGAAAATGTGTTTGGAATTAAGCTCTCCTTTTTGCATACAGTGGCGTGAAAAAGTGTTTGCCCCCTTCCTGATTTATTATTCTTTTGCATGTTTGTCACACTTAAATGTTTCAGATCACCAAACAAATTTAAATATTAGACAAAGATAACACAAGTAAACACAAAATGCAGTTTATAAATGAAGGTCTTTATTATTAAGGGAAAAAGAAATCCAAACCTACCGGGCCCTGTGTGAAAAAGTGATTGCCTGGTTGGGCCACCCTTAGCAGCAACAACTGCAATCAAGCATTTGCGATAACTGGCAATGAGTCTTTTACAGCGCTGTGGAGGAATTTTGGCCCACTCATCTTTGCAGAATTGTTGTAATTCAGCCACATTGGAGGGTTTCCGAGCATGAACCGCCTTTTTAAAGTCATGCCACAGCATCTCAATCGGATTCAGGTCAGGACGTTGACTAGGCCGCTCCCAAGTCTTAATTTTGTTTTTCTTAAGCCATTCAGAGGTGGACTTGCTGGTGTGTTTTGGATTGTTGTCCTGCTGCAGAACCCAAGTGCGCTTCAGCTTGAGGTCATGAACAGATGGCCGGACATTCTCCCTCAGGATTTTTTGGTAGACAGCAGAATTCATGGTTCCATTTACCACAGCAAGTCTTCCAGGTCCTGAAGCAGCAAAACAGCCCCAGACCATCACACTACCACCACCATATTTTACTGTTGGTATGACGTTCCTTTTCTGAAATGCTGTGTTACTTCTTTGCCATATGTAATGAGACATACACCTTCCAAAAAGTTTAACTTTTGTCTCATCAGTCCACAGAGTATTCTCCCAAAAGTCTTGGGGATCATCAAAATGTTTTCTGGCAAAACTGAGACAAGCCTTTATGTTCTTTTTGCTCAGCAGTGGTTTTCGTCTTGGAACTCTGCCATGCAGGCCATTTTTGCCCAGTCTCTTTCTTATGGTGGAGTCATGAACACTGACGCAAGTGAGGCCTGCAGTTCTTTGGATGTTGTTGTGGGGCCTTTTGTGACCTCTTGGATGAGTCGTCGCTGTGCTCTTGGGGTAATTTTGGTCGGCCGGCCACTCCTGGGAAGGTTCACCACTGTTCCATGTTTTCACCATTTGTGGATAATGGCTCTCACTGTGGTTTGCTGGAGTCCCAAAGCTTTAGAAATGGCTTTATAACCTTTTCCAGACTGATAGATCTCAATTACTTTGTTTCTCATTTGTTCCTGAATTTCTCTGGATCACAGCATGATGTCTAGCTTTTGAGGATCTTTTGGTCTACTTCACTTTGTCAGGCAGGTCCTATTTAAGTGATTTCTTGATTGAGAACAGATGTGGCTGTAATCAGACCTGGGTGTGGCTAGGGAAATTGAACTCAGCTCTCCAAAGATGTGATAAACCACAATTAATTTATGGGGGGTAATCACTTTTTCACACAGGGCCCTGTAGGTTTGGTTTCTTTTTCCCTTAATAATAAAGACCTTCATTTATAAACTGCATTTTGTGTTTACTTGTGTTATCTTTGTCTAATATTTAAATTTGTTTGGTGATCTGAAACATTTAAGTGTGACAAACATGCAAAAGAATAAGAAATCAGGAAGGGGGCAAACACTTTTTCATACCACTGTATATAATGATAATAAATGTTGGATTATTTAGTTTTAGGATGAAAGAAACTGATTTTTTCAAAAATGTATTCACCTGAATTACCACTCCAAATGGAGAATGACCAACAACAGTAACAACCTTTTTTCCCTTAATTTAATCATTTGATATATCTTAATTAAACTGAATGTGTGTTTGATGCTGAAAAGGTGGCAAAAATGATCATAGCAGACTCTTTTGGACTCTTTTAACCATTTAAACATTGATAAACTTTAAAGGGCCCAAATAGTTTTTGGGGCCACTGTGAAAGTGTATTAAGGAAATGTATCCTTCCTCTTCCCCCTGTCCTCATTCACACACAGTCAGGATCCAGGCAAATACTGTGGAAGATCAGTATTGCCAGGTAGAGGAGAAAGAGAACCACACCTATGATTTTTTTTTCCCTTCTCTGTTTCTGGCAGCAGTATGTAAACACTTTTGACTTGACTTGTATTTTGAAATATTGACTTGTTTTCACAAAATATTGCAAACTAGGTCAAAATAATCACTTAATTTCTCAACATATATATGTATTCTGTTAAAACCATGACTTTACTTTTTGTCAAAAAAAAAAGATTTAGTATCTTGTAATAATTATTGTTGCAAATAATTGCTTGCTTTCTTGAAATTTAGTAACATATTATTCCAATACAGTATCTAAGCATGTTAAAAAGGGCATTATTTTGAGATGCCAAATCAATATTTCAAAAACTTTAGTTAAGTGAATTTCAAGTTGCTCGGTCAATATTTCAAGAAAACGTCATTATTTTGAGATGCTATGTTAATATGTTGAGAAATAAATTATTATTTCAAGATGCAAAGTCAATATTTTGAGAAAGTAAGTCATGTTGAGATATTATGTCAATATTTTGATATAATAAGTCATTTCTTTCCCAAGATATTAAGTTTATTTCAAGAAGATAAGCCATTATTTTGAGATACTACATCAATATTTTGAAAAAAAAAAATGTTGGAAGCCCATTTCTGTGGAAGCCCTTTCCCGCTGTGTACAGGATATGCAGTATCTCTAGAGGTAATTTTCTTATTTATGTCAAAATAACTCCTTATTTTCAACAATGTTTTTTTCTCTTTCTCCCTTTCTGGCAGCAGTATGTCAAATTTGTGACGCCATATCTCTAAGTAATGACATTTATTTACATTTGTCCTAGTATCTTTTAGTTGAATGTGCCATTATTTTGACATTGTAAGTCACAATTACAACAAGTCAAAAACTCAAAAAATGCCAGAACCGGCGAAAGATTTTTTGTCCTAACTTGGCGGGAATGGGCTTTCTATACGAATCAGCCCTGCGTTGCTATTGGCAGTTACTTTTTCCCACTCGCGTTCCGTACAAGTCCCGCCCTCCTCGTTACGATTGGTTAACATAACTGCGCCTCCTGCGCTATGATTGGCTTATCGATCATACTCACACGCAGTACTTGTGGGTTTGATATACTGGCCAATCCAGGCGCAGGGACGCAGACAGTTAGCCAATCCTAGTAAGCAGGGGCGGGACTTCTCTGAAATACGGGCGGGGGAAAAAAAACCCCACATAACTCTGTTACTAGGCAGATCACTCGCAACATGGCGGCGACTGGGAACGAAGGGGAGACGTTATTGCCAGATATTGAGGAGGAAGAGGAGGCCGAGGAGATGGAGAGGGAAATGGAGTCGGAGGACGAAGAGGGGATGGGTGTGGAAAACTCGGACGACGACGACGACGAGGGTGACACGTCCGAGGACGAGCGAGAGAACGAAGCAGAGATCCAGCGCTTGGAAGAGCAGGTGGGCTTTAAGTCCTCATAACCGAGAATGAATGGAGGGGATACGCGCAGCTAAGCTAAGGCTAACAGTGTCCGAATCCTGGTCGAATCGGTTCTTTTAACTCCGACTCATTTTCATAAATGGCTCGAACCGACTCACCAGTCGAACTGAGTAGAACTTTTTTAGTAGCTTCTTACGTCTGAATTATAGGCGTATATATTGTAACAGATAGTCCAGTTTCCCTACTATTGAACATCATAAAAGTCCATATGCTAACTTTATGAAGGGTATGATCGAATCCGTGCAAATTGCTTTCACGTATCGCCGAGTTTGAGAATCGGAGAGTCGATTCACTCAATCGCACAGCTCGAAAGAATCGGTTCGGTAAATTGACTCGCACTTTACAAGCTAATGCTAGCTTAGCTCTGATGGGATGCGCAGTTGGCAAAAATGATGGAAAATGTCACCTTTTTTCACTCACTCCACGGGCAAATGAAAACTCCAGTCATGTGTTTTGTGTCATGCCTTTTGCGAACATCATTTAACTGCGCTTTGCTCAGTTTAAGAGAAAACAGAGCTGAGGCAACTTAACCATAGCGTTAGCCAGCGTTTATAGCTAGCAAAAACACTCAAGTAAGTAGCTGTTTAGCGTCGATGCTCTGCCTCATTTTCCCGCACGATTAGACTCAAGCGAGTTTTGGCAAAACCTGATTAAGGCCTTTAGCTGAAAAGTTCACTTTCAGCTCACAAAAACGCTGCTGGTACCCCATATAACCATATGATAAAGTAGCTGGCTATATCAAGGAGGGAGCCAGGGGCTCTGTCTTGTGTCCTGCTGGATTTAACCGACGTTACATCTGGTCAAACTGCGCGCCATTATCGTGGGCGTGAATAAACAGACATTTCTTGGATTTACAGCTCTACAAACAAAATATATACAAATGCCTCAGGAAGCAATGAGATTTCTTTAGACTTAGTAACTCAGCTTCTAATATACAAACACAAAAGGGAGAGTATATGGACTAAGACTTTAATAGACATGAAGGCAGAGGTCTCCTCTACATTGCGCAATGTTGTTGTTGTTGAGCTTATTCCTAAGACTCACGATCTTCTGCATGTCACAGCTCTTTACTGGGCAGTTTTGTTGGCTGTTGAATGCTTTAAGGACCGTGGCACAAACTTGCCGTAAATCCATGTTTTTTTACAGCCTGGTCACTGCTTGTTTTGAGTGGTTCAATAAGAGGAAAACAGCTGTGCGGTCAGGGCACCAAGACTCGTGTAGCTCACCACCAGATAGTAGTGAGTGCTGCACGATGGATCATATGTTAATCGTCGTGATTTGAGTGTTTGTGATGTGCAAATAAGTACTGATCAAGCACAATGTTTTTGTTGTGGGCGTTTAGGATTCTGACAAACCACAGATGTTCTTGATGAAATTTCTGCGAAGTTTTCTCCGGGTCATTTTGTGAATTCATGGGGGGTATTTTACAAAGCTAGATTTCTCAGTGAGATGCATAACGTAAGCCTTAAAGTTGATGTGAATGGTAAATCAAAATTAGTTTTCCCACCATACCTTGATATTCTGAGTGCAGTGTCGTATCAGGGAGGGTCTCTGAGCTGGCTGAGCATTTTCACACCTTAATGGGAGCGAGAGGTGAAACACAATGTTGTTGGATAATTAAATTGTGTCCTGCCTGCTGATGGGAGGAGACGTAATCAAAAATCAGACAATGCAAAAGTTACTACACTTTAATTATATGTGCTAATTAGTTCTATGTGTGAATGACACATTTGGATTTCTTTCCTCCTTTTTGTTTTTTTAAATATTGTGATATTTAAAAAATTGGGACTTGTGAAGTGGTGTCGATGCCAGTATTTTTTCCCCTGTCAGTATTGTGCTATAGAAATGTCCCTTAGCTCATTCAATTTGCCAGGCTTGACATTGGCTTAGTTTTAGGTTTAAGTAGTATCCATGCCTTCATATGATCCAGTAATAAACAATTTTTGTCTCAAGTGGAGGTAATCTTTATCCATTTCACATTGAGGATTCACCAGTGAAATGTAATACCTTACCAACATAAATAGTACTGGGTATCATTCAGAATTTTTCGAGACCGATGCCAATACCAGTCCCTTGACTTCAGTGCTGATTCCTGAATGGAAATGTTTTTTGATGCAGCCTTTTAAATTCCAAACAGAAAGTGGGTGTGGCTTAACCAGATATGAGTGTGCGCTGCTGTAAGTGTATACATTTTAAGGACTGCAGTAGTTTGCAGAGTAATCAAAAAGTGTGAACATTAATAGCAGTCAATCAGCAGGCTTAATTTTGAAACTGTTGCTGTCAATTATGACTAATTGTAGTCAGTAATGAAGTCAGTGTCATCAGTGTTGACTTTCCACACGGGGATTAATACTACTTAGTATAGTTTTGCATTAACATAGACATTCAAAGCTTCTAACAGATATTCTTTACTTTATATATTGAGGTTTTACAGTGAATCCTTAGGAAAGTGTATCTCTGATTATTATTGGAGTAGCCTGTTGGCTGTCTGCCAAGCTGTTCTGCCTAGACCTAGTGAAACAAAACCCTTTACTTCATATACACATAACGTGTAACTGCAAATGTTAATTTCTACTTCATATATATTCAATTTGTAACTGCATACGTATACCTTACAGTGATGCTCACGAAATGGGATTGAGCCCTAACAGTTCTCTTGTGGAGAACCTTCAGCCTAATAATCATGGCTTTGTGACCTGTGGTTTATCATTCCGATTGTGAATTTGTTACTGGCTGCTTCATTGAGAACATCGGTTTTAATCAGCTATTTTTTTCATTAAGAAATTGATTGTAATGAAGTAATTGTAACAGCCTCTCTTTAGTACTTAAGTAATTTAGCCGATACCATGCGAGTATACAAGCACTGAATTTCAATACTCACTTGAGTCGAAATATGTAGCCACATAATCGCAGAATAGGTATATTATCATTCAGTTCTGCTTCCGCCCTGCAGGACTAACGCAGAACTCTAGCCTCCAGCCCTCTTTTTAGTGTATGGTGATGTGCAGCACATAAATGCTTCCTTGCTCAAGCTGATTTTTTTCTGGGGCTGTTACATGGGAGGATGATGAAATTACTGACTTGCCTCTCATTCTCCTCTCATTGCTTTGCAGAGATTTAGATTCTACATCTGATGCACTAAGCTAGTCATGTGTCATTATGAACAGCTGCAGGATGGTAATTTGCATAGAATAGTAGGGCATCTGGGACGGAAGTCTTCTGTCTAGGTTTGTGGTTGTCAGTGTGCTTCTGAGTAAGGCAAGCCATCGGTGCGTGTATGCTCTGGCACTTCACTTGGGCACAGCTGTGCCTCTCCGTAACATCAGGCAGCTGACGAGGAGAACACAGTAGACAGGTCCCCTAATCCCTACCGTCACCATGAAGAGCGCAGGGGTACAATCAAGGGCTATATCAGTTTCTGTTCTTTCAAACTTGAAGCTTGTGATTGGTCAGCATGCCACACAATAAAACACTGAATGATTGCTTAGAGGTTTATTTGCACGTGGAACACTTTTGATATCAGTGGCCGGGTCTGTATTGCACAGGCCAGTACCGTTATAACAATTATCAAATGATATATTGTGCAACTCAGCTAGAAAAAGTGTTATCCACAGTCAGTATACAGTCAGTGCTGTTTCATTCAGTACCTTTATTGAAGCATGTGAACTGAGAACGCCATTCTCTTTAACAATAACGGGATGCGGCTGTGCTCTTTTATGGGCTTCAGGTTTCTCTGCACAAAGAAGGGATGAATCCTTTTTTCAGTAAGTTCTACAGCACCTTCTGAATTGGGTGCGAATTTGTGCTAGTGCTGAATGGAACAGATCTGTTTGGTTCAGAGTGGAGCTTCATGTTCAGAGCGTGATCTGGACTCATAGCTGTCCAATAAAAATGACATAATGACTTAATTGAATCAGCTCTTGTCTGCAGTTAGTGCTCCAAAATGACTTAGAATAAAGTGTTGTTACGTTCCCTTGTACTTTTTTCCCTTCTCCTGTAAAGTTACTTGTTTGGACGTAGAACGATTTGTTCCATCTGTTACGATGCATAACAGCGATTATCACTAGTGCCTGCCTGACGCGGAAGGTTTTGTTAAATAATATAATCATTGTAGGACACAAAAAAAATCTTATTTTTAAAATTATGGAGTTTTGTGTTTTGGGCTAAGTTGCACCGGTTTTGTGTAAGTTTTTACCTAAGTTTGTGTGTAAAATCTTCACTAAGACCTTAGATAACACTAATTAGTTTCAGATCTTTTTACCAACTTACTAATTAGTTCCAAGTCTTTTTACTAAATTTGGGTGCACCACAAATCCGTAAGTCATGTTGTAACTAGTAATGACTAACTAGTGTCTGCATCGCTTTAACATGACAATTCAAAACTTATCTATAACAAGCTGCCATGGAAATGCAAAGGCAGCTTCTGGTGGCTTTTTGTATTGGAAAAAATATCCGTTATAGAAGAGAGGGATGTTTTTGCTGTGTATTCTTTAATATTTCCTTGTGACGACCAAATGTACAGCTTTTTCATCTGTCATGACGGTAGCTTGAGTTGAGTAGTTTCAGCAGCTGCTGAGTGTGAGCTTCATTTTTGGAGTTAAAACCAGGGTGATGATTAGGGCTGTAAGTAAAATCACAGCATATAGCATTTAGTTATTAGCTTAGTTAACCTAAAAATCATGCTTTTGGTCTTTTGATGTCATCTATGATGTTGCTGGTGGTTTCCCTAACACTTGCACCTACTTAGGAGGAAGTGTAGATTTTTAGTAATTACTAAGCTCATCAGCATAACCAGATTGTGTGGTGCGGTCTGTTTGGATTTAATAATGTGCAAACCTGAACTTGGTAAACACGTCAACTAGTCTACATTTGAACTTAAGTACAGATGGTGCAGCTGGCCTCAGATTCTCCAGTTCAGCCTGTATCACTGCCACATAGTAAAAGGGGGTGACTCATTGGGTTCTCCAGTGGCATGACTTTGTGAGGCAGGTGTCAGTCTGGTCAGCAGAGGGTCAGTGTAGCTGCTGGATTTCATTCCAGTCAGCTCTGATGTGCACCTAATATAACTAATTAACAAGACAAAACAACTTATAAAACAAGTGGTATCAGTTATGCTTCTTAATTAGTATGAAAACCTGCCCCTGTGCTGGCTCTTGGATAATAAGGTGACCTCTGATTTAAGGTTTTGCCTTATTGGGAGATCGAATTCCAGAAGTTCTAAAACCAAGAAGTCACTAAGTGTTGATACTCTTTAAACTGCAGGTTAGCCATCCAGTGTTATTAGCCGCATTATAGTAGCCACATCTGTCCGGCCCTAATTGTGACAGTTAGTGATGGTTCATATGTAAGTAATTGCAGCCTTTTAGTCTTCCTGTATGTTGTGGAAAATCTCTTTCAAGCTTGAAACAGAAGTGGTTTCTCATAAACGTTTCCAGAATGCCCAGCAAGAATGTTTGCAACCATTTAGTGCATTGTACTGTTGTGTATATGTGTGGTGTTGTATCTAAAAAGGAAAGATTGAAATCAACTTTTTTTAATTATACATTTTTCTCTTGTTTTTATGATTGAATTTGTTAGGAGTTCTACAATTCCTTTGGGGCTTAAAGGGTTAAAGAAACAACCACTAAAAATCCTCTTGTGGCAAAAATGATAAAACATTTGATCTGATTTACATCAAACTGTTGATGTATGTATATGGTGTATTTTAAGAGGGGTTTTCTTGTAGTTGTGTAACATTACCACAGTATCACTGTTACAGACTGCCTGCTAGTATACCTGTTATTTTCATGGCTTCAGGTTTCTGGTTTTAGATGCCTTTCTGTTTAAGAATGGGTTTTGATGATGTACAGAGGTAGTCGACTAATCAAAGACACCAGCGCTATTTCAGCCATGAAGAGTGGATCATTTTGATGGCTGTTTTTATGGTGATTGTGCTGCCTTATTAAAGCTGCATCTCTGACTCACCATTAGACATGCCCTTCAGGGTTGGTAAATGTGATGATATGCTGTTGTCATTATGCAAAATCATGTCCCAGTGTGCTTTCAGCACACACGTTGTTAAAATGTCTAGAATAAGACCACAGAACAATGCTTCATTATGCCATTATCTTACTTTTACAGTTTTTTTCTGTATTTTTGTTTCATTTTTTTCTCTTGTGCACCTTATTATATAGTTTGTGTAAACGTTTAAATAATGCAGTTGAACTCATAGTTCTGGCGTTTTCCTTTTTGTATTGAAGTTGGCATGAATTGGAAATCATAATACATTTTCCTTCTGTATCGTGACATACTTTGTGACATCTCTCAGAGCTCGCCGAGTGCTTGATGACAGGTGGGGGTGAAGGTGTTGGGGGTTGAAAAGATATTGTTCTTGCCTGCTGTTGGATGTTGACAATCAAAAATAGGAAAATGTTTTTTCTGACATTTTGTTATGATAGAAAATAATACTTTTGTATTTTAATGATATATAATGAATTGTGCTCAGTATCACCAGAGTAATGAAGTAACAAGGGGGTGAAAAAGCTCAGTTTTGATATCCTCCCCCCCTCCCCTCCTCTACCTTGACTGAAGGCTTCCATACATTCCTGCCAGGAGAAGGAGGGTAAAAAATGTCTAATGATTGGACTGTCCCTCCTTCTCCCCCTTCTCTGTTTTTGGCAGCAGTATGTCAATATATATATATTTTTTTTTCATAGTATCTCAAAATAATGGCTTATTTTGTCAGAATTTTGACAAAGTATGTGGCATCTTGAAATAACTACTTATTTTTTAATTGCTTGACTTTCTGTCTTAAGTTGTTATATTGGCATAGTAAGTTACAGTTTTTATATTTACAAGTTGCTATTTTGGCTTATTGCCCACCCCTAATTTTGAGATAAAAGTTAAAACAGAGCAAGCACAGACATGCAAAGATCTCTCAATCAAAATTACCCATATTATTCTTTATTATTCGCAGCAGTAACACAGTGATGCAGGAGCCCACAGCTAAAAGCATTAAGAGATTAACGAAATAAGCTGACGACCCCTTTAACTTTCTGCCTGTTTTTGATATTAACATCTATACCCTTTGATGTGTCTTTGCAGTTGTCGATCAATGCATTTGATTATAACTGCCATGTGGACCTGATTAAGCTGCTGAGGCAGGAAGGGAAGCTGCACAGACTGCGGAAGGCCAGGCAGAAGATGAGCGAACTCTTCCCTCTTACTGAAGGTGAGCATACAAATCAGTGGGTTTCTCACTTAAGAGAAAATTTAACCAACTTCTTACAAATTTACATTTTTTTCACCACAAGCACATGAAGTGCAAGAAGTGTTGACCAAATACTTGACACTTGCTGTTTTACTAGTGTAACAACAGGCATCACAGAAATGTCATGTGGCTGTTAGTTAAATTTTCGCCAGCCTACTGCACATTATACTGCATACCATTATATCATCTTGTTTTATACTGTCAGCCTAATGCAAAACTATAAGGCCTATTCTTTATTTACATTGAGGTATTAAATGAATGTTTTGTTTTGTATGTATGCCACCTTAACCTCTCTCCGACCAACTCCACCAATAATATATCTACGCGTCATGGTGTTTAAAATTTTCCTCCAAAAACAGCCCTATAAATTGTAGATAAAGATGGCAGGATGTCACTTTTCATTTTTTTTTTCATCGTGATTCTGAAAACTTTTCTTTTTTAATGAATAAACTTTAGGATGCTGTATTTTTAATTGAATCACTTGACTTAAGATGGTCATCTGAAAGTAGGCTTCTCAAATGTTCTGCTGCCCTGCAGGAAGAAACACACTACTGTACAAAAGTCAGAACAGCCTTTATGTAATTAATTACTAGTTAGAACTGCCATCAAGTACAAGTTACTAATTTTTCAGGAGTTATTTCTGAGGAGATTAGACAGACTATCATCTACTTGCATAAGGAAGGAGATAGTCAAACAAAATAAGTGAATAAAACTGGAGTTTAAAAAATGACAAAGCTATAAAGAAAGTGGAACTCCTAAAAACCATGCAAGATCTGATAGACCACCAAAAGCGCTGCCTGCTGAGCTTGATTTCACATATTGCACAGGAAACCGGCTTTTTAGATAATGACAGCAGTAAAGTAGTGTATTCATAGTGTTTTAAATAGGATGGGAGAAAAGCTCCACTCTTGCTTCAGATCTGACAAAAAAATCACAGGTATTTCTGTCTGTCTTTTGATTGCGAGAAGGTGACTCAGCGTTATGAGTCTGAAAAGATGTGTAGCTGTTAAGAAGCTGTTACTGAGAAAAGTAGTCCAGACCTCAACATCACTAAATGTGTTTGGGATTATTGGATCATGAGAAGCAGAAAATGCAACTTCTAAGACTGATCTTTGAAGATTTGGAAGAATATCTCTACAGATTTCTGAAAAACTCAGTGTAACTCAGTGTTCTGTGTAATTTTTTTGTTGAATGTTTTGTTTCCTGAAGATGAAAAATGCATAACTTGTACTTATTGGTCGTTTTGACTGGAAATTAAATAAAAGAAGAGTGGTCTCAGACTTTTTCACAGTACTGTGCTAAGCTAACACCACTTGTACAGAAGAGATTTTTTTTATATTCAGTTGAAAAGGCTAGATTGGTTGGGATTGGATTTTTTTCTTTCTGCTGTATAGATAGTTATCTGTAAAATTGTTTACTTGGTGTATAGTACATAACCACTGATTGCTGATGAAACAAACTAGTATAACTAATTTTCTTTCATACCACATGCTGATCTAAATGGGAGACTCCTCTTTTTGTAAGCTATGAAAACATTTTAATTTCAGAAAGCTTTGTTTATATAATGGGCTATTCATTCAGTCTGGCCTTTATTTTGAGGTGATCATGCCTCCTCTCAGTGTTGTAGAAACCTCAATGTCGTGACTGCTGCTTTTTTGTTCTGAAATCTCTGACTGTGGCTTCAGGACAAACTGTACTGTTCTGTAGCTGGGATTTTCTTTTATTATTTGATTTGCTGTGCAGAGTAAAAGATTCTTGTTATATAAGATGTGTGTTTTAGAAGTGAAAGGACAAAATGTTTGAAACATGGTAAAGGTCTGCTGTACTTGTACCTCGCAGCGTGGCATTTTGGTGCTGTCTGAGGTGGATGTAGGCCAATAGGTTGTTAGTCCCAGCTCACTGGAGTCAGTGATTCATACAGATGATTCAACTCACCAGCTAATTACCAGACATACTGGAGGGAGGGTTCTTTGCAGTGCAGGAGGAGGAACACTGGCACAATTTACAACTTTTATATATTTATATATATATATGTGTATATGTGTGTGTGTGTGTGTGTGTGTGTGTGTGTGTATATATATATATATATATATATATATATATATATATATATATATATATATATATATATATATATATATATATATATAAATAAATAAAAAATGTATGTGTGTGTAATTTTGCTCTTTTGGCTCTCTAATGAAACTTGCTGTTGGTCAATGTTCTTTAAAGGGCCCATATCAAGGAAAAACATCATGAAAATCCGTTAAACAACCTGTTTATTAATTACTTGTTTTTGGGATGTCACAAAAACAACATATTTGCGTATATCTACCGGTTCAGCCTTCGGCAGTTTGTTGCTACTTGTTCACACTGAAGTTAAAAGGCGTTGTTCATTCTGGACTGCCTTTTGAACAAGGCAGCCAGTCAGAAGCTCCTTTATGTATATGAGTTCTAAAAGCACAATAATATAGACGGCCTGTTTAAGGGATGCTGGAAAATGGTTGTCAAACTGCTTTGGTACATAAACCCACACAAATGTTGTAAGTGGGTTTCAGGGAGAAAATAAAATAGAAGAAAAGTGTAGGATATGGGCTCTTAGGTGCTGATGATGCTCAGAAAAGCACATTGGGGCATAATTTATCATGATGATAATAAATATCCCAATATAGCTCACCACTGGTTTGAAGTAGACCTGGGTGATAGGGCAAAAAGATATTATACGTTACTTTAAGAAATTCTCACGACACCCAATATTTCATATTAATTATTTTTTTCTGATGTCTCACAGGTTGGAACAGAGGAAGTAGACATACAGTTAAAAAATATGAATGCAATTATTTGTATATAACATTTCAAATGCTGTGCTGCACTAAATCCAGATATATTGTGCACTTCCTGATTGCATCTGATTGGTTGCAGAGATTTGGCTGGACTGGCTGAAGGATGAGATTGGTCTGATCGAGGGCGAGGAGGCGGAGCGGGAGAAGATGTACGAGCTTTTTGAGAAAGCTGTGAAGGACTACATGTGTAAGTTTGCACCCAAACTTAATTTTTAAATTATTTTATTTATTTATTTATTTTTTTTTAACAAAGTGTTTTAATTAGCAGTAATCAGATTTTTGTTGGTAACCACTCAGTCTCCTGGTAGACGTTTGCAAACTGCTGTCCTTTAATTTTTGTAAATGAGGCAGTATTTGTAATTCCATTTGGCAGTGATGTTTTGGCACTGAGTATGTAATCAGTAGCTTATTAAATTCATTGCACCTAATCTGTGGTGGGTTTAAGGTGTTACAAAGTGCTGTTAATTTTACATTTCTGATCTGTAGAAAAGTCATCTGTGCTAATGGCTTGAAGGGAAATTCCACGGCTTTGTCAGGTAAAGCTGAAAATGGATCTGATTTAGCAGGTTTCTTGGAAGACTTACACCAACAGTCAATATCAGTAGCTGTTTTCAGAACTAGAGCTGCAACTAACGTCTGTTTTAATAATCATTTGTTGATCCAGTCAATTAGTTGGGAACTGGAAACCTGCAGATATCAGTCTGGCAGTACTGTTTCATTCAATAATGAATGAAAAATACAAGGTTTATTCTTTCTTAATTAAAAAAACATACATTTTCTGCATTGCTCCTGAGCAATCTGTTTTTAGAGGTGCAGGAACGCCTCTAAAAAAGGGACAACAATCAATTTTTACATAGCAGTCCAAGACAGGCTGTTTTTCTAGATTTCTCCTCTAATGATAAAGCAAAAATAAATTAAGTAGCTTCTGTGTAGTCAACAACATCATGTAATGAAATGATTAGTAATATCACACAAACTCTGTGACCTAAAGCTATGTTTTTTGTGTGAATGGGAGGCTAGAACCCAGAGAAAAAAATCTAAAACCATCTGAGCTAGTCTGTACGAGATCCTGTACTGTCCCACTTTTGTATTTTCCCTTTGTGATGTAACTGGGAAGTGCATTAAGCCAACTTTTGCTAATGTTCAGGCTTTGCATCCTCCATACTTGCTGCCTTTAAACAGTGTTTTACTGGGGTGCACACAGTCAAATTTATGTGTTCAGCATTGGAAAAAAAATTACATTTTATTTTTTTTACTATTAGAGGTATTAAATTTAGGGATATTTGACCCTGTCATATTTTAATCAGGTGTCTGCTAAAATAAACCTGATCCGGTTGCAATTTTTTGTCTCTCTTTTTTGCAGTTTGTTCGCTCTGCTGTTGTATTGATACCGTAAATAGACTTGAACTGATCAGTTAACATATTTGCCTTGCAATCTTTTCTTTTAACAAGTTTTTTTAATATGTAGCGTTATTCCTTGTCTTGAATCAGCTCATGTTGTGTGGCTATATAGCATTCTGTAGCAGCTAAAAGTAGATCTTTTTTTTTTGTTTTGTTTTTTGTTTTGTTTTGTTCTGATCCATTGTTGTGCTTGTTAAACAGTGCAGCAGCATTCCACACGCAGAATGGTCCTCTCGTGAAACATGAACGGGGGTTTTATGATTACATCAGTTATTAAAAACAAAAAAGATGATGCATAGCTGCGGTAACAGTAGTTTGATGGATTGAGCTTTAGCCATTTTAGTATTTTAATTTATTTAGGATTTAATTTATTTAGGATTTTAATTTATTTAGGATTTAATAATCCTGCAGCAAAAATGACCAGACCACACTGAGAAGAACCAAACCTTACCAAAACTACTGAACTATACTAAGAACAAAGGTAGCTTCTGATAAAGAACTTTGTTTCTGACCAGAAAGCATGTTTATTTTCTCCTGTTTAAGCAGGCATGGCAGGTAATTTGGTGTTATCACATAACCTGGCATGCTGAAATGGAGAAAAGTGCCACAGACACTGATTGAGAGGATCCTCAGTGTGTTAGTGTAAGGAGCATCCTGAACATCATGAAAGTCATTTTATGTAGTAAACCGATTCAGAACAGTACGCTAATCCAAAAAGTACCCAGCCAACAGTGGCCCTGTGATCAGTAACTGACCACTGTTGAAGGGCTGGAGGACAGCAAAACTACTAAAGTCAAATACACTGAGAAGACAGGTGCAAAGATTGTGCATATACTTTCTTTCGCAACCCATCATTTTAAATGAAGTTGCCATTAATACATGCCGTATTTGAGGTTATGCACTGCGGGGTAGTGATGTTATTTTTGCTTAGTTGTCTTAAAAAGGTATTCAAAAGCACTGAATGTGATTTTTAAAACTGTGCAGCAGCCCTGTCAGCCCTCCCCATAATGTAATGGTTTCTGTTTACCTCCTGGTAATTTCTTGGGAATTGTACCTGGTGTTGTGCTGATAGATTGCCCAATTACCTCGATGTCTAGTCTGGTATGCAGCTTAACCTATTTAATTACTGTGTGAAAGGGTACATGTAAAAGGGGCTAGTGACTGATAGGGCTTTGCTGGTAACTAGTTGGCACACTCTGTTAATTTTCAGTTACTTTCAGTTTTAAATTAATTTATTAAATTAGTTTTACTGTATCTGTTGGAATTGGTTAATTTTCATGCTGTTGTATAGTTGATGTACTAGTTACAGTGCCCTCCACAAATATTAGCAAACATATGCAAAACAGGCTGTAAAAAAACATTCTTTATTGATCCTTTTTATTTTTTTCAAAATAGTATCAAATAACTAAACTTTATTTGAAGAAAAATAATGAATCTCATTATGAAATAAATATTTTTCCTATATCTGTGTCTGCCAAAACTGTTAGCACCCCTGCTTTTGGAAAGATAACAGCTGAGTCTTTTACTTAAACGCTTAATGAGACAGGAAAACACATGGCAAGGGATCTGAAATCATTCCTTCGTAAAGAACCTCTCCAGATCCTTCAGAATTTGAGGTCCAGGATTGTGGACTCTCCTCTTCAGCTCACCCCACAGATTTCCTGCTTGGTTTAAGTCAGGGGACTGGGATAGCCATGGTAAAACCTTGATTCTTTGGTTAGTAAACCATTTTTGTAGTCATTTTGAGGAGTCCTTTGGATCAGTATCTTGCTGGAAGATCTGACCCCGGTCCAGTTTAAGCTTCCTGACTGAGGCAGTCATTTTTTAATGTAGTATCTGCTGTTGCTTGATAGAGAATCCATGATACTATGTATCTGAGCAGATTTCCATGGCTTGTAGAAGAAAAACAGCCCCACATCATCACAGATCCACCACTGTATCTCACAGTGGGGGTGAGGTACTTTTCGTGTCTGTGCCAAACCCACCTCTGATGTTTGTTGCTAAAAAGCTCTGTTTTGGTCTCATCATTAAAATGCAGTCCATCAAAAGTTCCTGTAACGTCCGATAAACTGAAAGCACTTGAGTTTGTTGGTCTAGCAAAAACTTTCTTCTGGCCACCCTCCCAAACAACTTGGTCAGAATGTCTCCTAGACTACAGTCAGACGCCACCTACATAATCACAAGATAAATAACTAATGTCTGTAATTCCTCAGCTGTGATTCTTGAGATCCTTTGACCACTGGAACCATCCTCCTCACTGTGCGTGGGGTCAGTATAGACATACGTTCTCCACCCAGCAGATTATTAAAATCTTCAGTTGCTTAATTCTTAATTATTGCCCTGACAGTGGAAATGGGCATTTGCAACGGTTAAGCTATTTTCTTATAGACATTTTCTGATTTGATCGACATCCTTTCATTGCTGTATTCTCTGGTCTTTCTCATAGTGGATGGATGACTAAGGGAATTTGGCCTGTGTGGCCTCATATTTATAGTGAAACAGGAATTCATGGCTGACCATTTTAGTCTTTCTTAAAATTTGAAATAGGAATGGGAATATACTTTAGTTAGATTTTACTCATAAGACTTTATAGGGGTGTCAACACTTGTGGTATGCATAGATTTAAGAAAAATATTTATTTAATGCTAAAAGTTTTAGATTTTTTTTTTTTTGTTAATATTTTGAATGAAAGATCAAAAGGATAAGCAATAAACTGAAACTAGTTTTTAACATTACAGAGAACATTGAAACAGGCAAAAGCCCAGTAGTGCCTTGTTTAAAAATTTTTTTACTGAGTGTACTATTATTTAGTGCCCTTTCCCTGTTCCCTCACTCTCTAACAGGTCCTGATATCTGGTTGGAGTATGCACAGTACTCTATAGGTGGGATGGGGGCTGCCGGGGGCATTGACCGGGTGCGCTCCATCTTCGAGAGGGCACTGACTGCAGTAGGTTTGCACATGACCAAAGGTGCCGCCCTGTGGGAGGCCTACAGGGAGTTTGAGATCGCCATTCTCTCCACTCTACAGGTATCAACATGAACTCTTATTTCTCACCTCTCAGTGCGACAGCATCAACGGTTTGCTTTTGGCATCTTAATAAATGCTGAGGTGCCTTAATAAATACTTCTTGCCTTTTTTGTTTGTTTTTTTTTTCTCATTTTGCTTCATTTACCATCTGTACAACAAGCAGCTTCTTCTTTTATGGTTCAAGAAAACAATAGAAGCCATAACAAAAGCCATGTTTCCCCGATAGATTTTTGTACCTAAACATTTATAGAGTGATATAGTGTGTTAACTTACTTCCAGAATCAACTTTACCAACAACTAACCGATTGAGAAGACTAATCATTGCAGCGTTAATGCTGTATAACTGTGGGCTTTGTGTTACAGGATTTGCTTTAGGGCTCCCAGAGCAGTCCCAAATTTAGGGATACCTGATATTTCCCTGTTTCAGTTATTATTTGTACTTTGTAAATGGTGGGTGTGCATGACAGGAAATTAGATGGAAGATTAAATGTTGACCTTAGTTCCGGTGGGATTAAACATCCCTGTCCTGATCCTGAACATCCACCTGGTTTACTTTGTTCAGCTGCCATTAAACTAATGTAAATAGCAAGATGAGCATTAGTGAATATTACAGGATATTATATATGTTTTAGAGCAGGGTTGAATGTCCGCGCTCTGCCCTGCTTTAGTTGAAGTTTAACCTTCTCTGATGTGTCTGTGCTTGATCACCCTGGAACATATGAATATGATTGAGAATGTTATGACTACTGTGTACTGTGGGAAGATTGTGGGCATATTAGGTTTATGTTATGGCTATGTTACGGGTATGTTATAATTATATTGTGAAGATAGTTAGGGGTATGAGTATATTGTGAGAAAATTATGGGTATATTTTAAGATTATTTTGGGTATGTTACGAATACATTGTGAGAATATTATGGGTATATTATGAATATATAGTGAGCATGTCATAGCTAGGTTATAGATATTGTAAGATTTTATAGATATTTAAAGAATATTTTGTGAATATTATGGGAATGTTAGATATATATTGTGAGAATTTTATGTTATGAGAATGTTATGGATAAATTATGAGAATGTTGAGAGTATTGAGAATATCATATAGTAAGAATATAATAGGTATATTGTGAGAATAGTGTATATTGTGGCTTTAGGAAAATATTATAGGTGTGTTGTGAAACTTATTAACACGTACATGTGTTATGGGTGATTCTGGGTATATTGTTGGAATGTTCTGAGTATAGCTATGGTTGTTTTGTGAGATTATGATATGAGTATATTGTGAGAATATTACGAGTACATTGTTACAGTAATATAGTATGCAAAGAATATGAGAGTGACTGTGCTGTAGCTATGCTGGGAATATTAATAATATATTGTGAGAATATTAACAGTATATTGTGAGCATATTTTGTGTGTTTTCTGTTGCAGCCTCCTCCCGGCGGTGTTGCGAGTCCAGAGCAGCAGGAGCAGCTGAATGCTCAGCTCGAGAGAATCCACACACTTTTCAGACGCCAGCTGGCCATTCCTCTGATGGGTGAGGAGTGTGTTTTTATCTCTCTTTTTCTTTTTCTTCTCTCTCTCTCTCTCTCTCTCTCTCTCTTTTTCATTTCTATTTTTAATCTATTTTCTTTCTCTCCCTTTCTCTGTAATTTTTTTTCCCTCTGTCATTGTTTCTTCTGTTCAGTCTCTTGTGTGCAGTCAGTCTTTGTGTCTCAGAGTGAATTATAATGACCATGAGCATCAATATAGAGCCTAAACATAAAATGTTTGTTTTTCTTGCTCCACAGCAGCTCTGCAGTTTAGATTAGTGCATGCCTAGGCTCGTGGGCGCATGTCTGTTCCAGAGATTCACAATCACTGAATTGCTATGTGAGGAAGGAGAAATAAAGAATAGTATATTAAAGAAAGAACAGCAAAGGCTTTACACTTCCTTTTATTTTCCATGTTGTGAGAAAGCTCAGTAAGCAAAGCATCGTAATCATGTGGTTTTGGCTCTTTTGCTCATGTCTTACACAGAGCTGCTTACAGGCGTGTGCTATCAGGTGTTTGCAGACATCACTGACTCTCCTCTATCACAGCCTGAGCCAAGAGCTACCCATTCGACCTGCGCATAGCCAGATGGTCTGGCTTTGTCTGCTACATTCTCTCTCTCCCTCTGTCTGTTGATGAGAAGGCACCAGAGATACAGTGGATAGAGCTGCTCTACCAGAGCCAAAGCATAGATTAGGTTCCAGGAGCAGTTTGGCTTGCGTTTCCCCTGGCTGCTCTTTTGTAGGAGAAAATGTCTCTCTTCATGGCTACAGCAATCAGGAGTGCAAAAAAACAAAACCAGAAGGAGGCTGTTTTATTCTGAATGACCTTGAAATGAGAATAAAATAATACATTCACAAAAAAGCCCTGAATTAAAAAGCTGCAGTGTTGTGAAGCTGTTTTTGCATGATTTTTCCATTCTTGTAATGTGTTAGCCATGATTTATATTCCCTAAAGGCAGTTTAGATTATTTGGCAGAAAGAGGTGTTGGGACATGGCTATAGTGAATGAATGGGAGAAATTGCCAGTGTAGTTAATAATAGATCAAAGGTAGTGGGATGAAAGCCAGTTAACATGATTTCACATACATTCAATTTCTTTTTTTTTTGTTTTTTTTTATTTATTTTTTTATTTATTTATTTTTTAGCGTTCTGAGAAAGTTTGGTGTCCTTTAAAAGTGAGCTTAACCCTTATAATTGATGTGTCCAGGTGAAATGCAGCGTGTAAAGCAGGAATTTGCTTTTCAGTGTCTTTTAGCTGAGTGTTTTTAATAAGTGTGTATCGTTTGTAGATATGGAGGGCACCTATGCGGAATACTCTGATTGGACGGACGAGGGAGTGTCTGAGACAGTCACGCAACACTACAAGCGGTCTCTACAGCAGTTGGAGAAGAGGCGGCCGCATGAGGAGGCTTTGGTAACAACCCTCCCCACCATGCACTAAGCCAATAAGGCTGTAAACACGACAGCTATAAATCGCATATTTTGAATTTCTTTGAATTTCTGACCACAAAATGGAAGTGCTAATACCAAAATGACAAAAATAAATATATATTAACATTTTTTCTGTCTTTTACACAACAGTTAGTAGAATTACAGTCCGAGACAACAGTTTATCTAAAAGAGAAAGTGAAAAACCCTTTATAAATCATCTAGGGCAGCAACCATGTTCATCCAAGCCAATATTGTTTTATGACATGCTTTCTTTAGTCAAGCAGTTGTGCATTCTAAATTTGCTGTTTTACAGATCAGTAAAAATATAAGGACAGATTTAGACTGTACCATAGTTGCAGCACTATTTTTAGCAGTTATAAAACCAGAAAATATTAATCTCTGCTGATTAAGTGTAAAAGTTGAATTATAATTAAGAAGTCACAGGCATGGATTTGAATCATCTTCTACCCCAGTTAAACCTAATAGAGATTTATTGACAGATTCCCAAAATACTGAAGTGAGAGTACAGTCCCAAAATATATGCAAAAATTTACTTGAGACATTAAAAGAACACACATTACAATTATTTAATAAAGAGTTTAGTGCATTTTGTAGCATAGGCTTTAGGATTAACTTTATAATGTAAAAATTAACAGACTTCTTGTTTCTTCGTTTTTCATCATATGAGGCTTAGATTGACTCCACTGTTTGGAGGCTGTATGTTAACCTGACTAGCTCTCAGTGTTTTATTTGCATGCATCAAAATGATACAGGCACCAATTATATAATAATAATGATGGTAATAATAATAATAATAATAATAATAATAAATAGTAAAATGCCTTGAAATCGAAAAAAAAATGTTACTTTTCTGGCACAAAACCTCTCTTCAGGTTGAATCCTGAGAAATAGTTGTGTGATTGCTGTCAAAATTCACAAATGGTAGAAGGCCAAAAGCATGTTCAACTAGAGCTGGGCGATATGACAGTATTTATTGTTATAATGATAAATTGTCACAATATATCACAGTATGCTTTTCTGAGCATATTGTGGATGTCGCCAGTACTTAAAAACACTTTCCAACTGCATGTTTCACTCTCAAAGTTATCATACTTAGTCCTGTTTAATTGTATGTAGTGCAGCACAGTATGTGAAATGTTGAGTATAAATCCGTATGCCATAGTTTTTGATAGTATTTTTAAAAGCAGATTTACTTTGTTTGTTCAAACTTATCAGATGTCAGACAAGATATTCATTGCACTGTATTGTGTATCGTGAAAACTTCTTAAAGTGCTGTGGTATTGCATTTTTACCACATTGCCCAACTCTATGTTCATTTTGAAACTGTTTAACTACATTCTTGTAACGTCACGATTTTTTTGAACTCATCGTTTGGTTTTTAGAAAAGTGCTTCTCTGTGTGTTGCAGCTGATGGCCGAGCCACCGAAGCTGGCAGAGTATCAGGGCTACATCGACTATGAGATGAAGGAGGGTGATCCGGCTCGAGTTCAGATTATTTTTGAGAGAGCACTGGCAGAAAACTGCCTGGTGCCGGACCTCTGGGCTAAATACACTACCTATCTGGTGAGTTCTAGTCAAGGTTTCAGTCAAAACCCACATCAGGCACTGTTAATGGACTCTTTACTTTCTTTCTGTTTTATAAAGCATGAGCACTTTCAACACAATAGTTCAGGGGAAAATCTTATCTACACGTTTGCCACACCTTACTTTTAAATGTAGTTGATGAGCCAAGACATTTTTGGTGTCTAAAGTTTCCTTCTTTAGGTTTCCACAGGCTGATTTAGCTAATGCAGTGTAAGCATATACCCTACCAATTAGGACTGTGCAAACTGTAAAAAAAAATAAATAAATAAAAAAACTTGCCTGAGACCGTTTCTCAAATAGACTTGTGTATGTGGTTTCTGGCACTGTATGACACACTCTCATCTATTAAAATGGGTGAAAGTATGGATAAATTTCTGGCTTCAGAATGCCTCCTGTTTTAATTCCTAGCTCTGTGATGTACAGACAGGTGACAAAGGAAAGAACTGAATAAATGAGTGGAGAATGCATGTTTCCAGGCAGGTAGTACAGTTGTTGTAATGCAGTTAAGCAGTTAACATCTGTGACATGTATAAAAGTGACTTAGAAAAAGGGTTCATTGTAGGGGTGTGAATAGGAGGAACTTCATTCACAAGACTACTCGGTGACATCCTCATTCAGATCTGTTGGAAAGACAGTATAGTATCATAGGGCTGGAAACTGTGACTGACAGTGAGAAAGCAAGAAAAGTCCATCCACAGCTACTTAGAGTGGATATTGTAGTAGCTGTAATGCATAAAACTCTGATTACAAAGACGAATGGCCATTTAAGAGTTCAGTGGCGTTAAAGTCATAGAGACTAATCTACAGAGATTTGGAAAACAGTGATCTGGTCAGATAAGTCATCCTTCATTGTATTCTCCACAAGTGTGTGAGTGCATGTGCAGTGTAGACAGAGAGATCCATACAGGCCTGAATGTTTGACGCTTACAGTGAGGGGGTCCGGTGGCTGTGTTATGCTATAGGGGGCATCTGCTGACATGGTTTGGGTCCACTTGTCCCCTTTTGTCACCTTTATTTTGTCATTTCTATCCTGATCGGAATGTGTCCCCATTCACAGCGCAGGAGGGGTCACGGAATGGTTTGATGATGTAAGTCATATGTTGTGACCTTCAGTCACCAGATCCTAATCCAATTGAACACCAGTGGGAGACTTGGGACTGTGCTAAACAGCGCTCTCTTTAAAACATCAACTGAGGGAATTTCTTTTGGAAGAACTGTGTTTCGGAGACTTGTAGAATTTATGATGAGGCTCACTGAAGCAGTTCTGGAGGCTTGTGGTGGCCCAAAAACTAAGGGCACCTTACTTTTTTCCCATTTTAATTTGTCACTGACTGTACATTTGGCCATTTTTATAGGTAGTAATGGGCAACAGCACCAATACTACGCACAACTCTGCTTTAATGTTCTGCATGTGTGACGCCTGCTGCAGCTTGCTTAATTCATTCGTGAGCATTTTAATGACATGGTAATGACATGCACAAGCCACAGAGCATACCAGCCTCAGTATATTTGAGAGGCCATCAGGGGATTTATGAGAGAGGGAGAGGGAGAGGGAGAGGGAGAGGGAGAGGGAGAGGGAGGGAGGGAGGGAGAGAGAGAGAGAGAGAGAGAACACAAAGGTGGTGATGGAGGAGATAGAGGTGGAATCGAGCACATAGAGAAAGAGAAAGCACCTCATACAGAGATAGATAGAAAGCACCTTGTCACATTGTATCAGCCAAATCTTTCACTAGGCTTTTTTTTTCCTCTAGAGATGAATGTAATTAACTCAGTATACTAAACCGAGCCTAATGCGCATTGCAGTATTTAGCCTTGCGACTCATTTTGGCTTTTAGCTTTATTCAGAACTCTCCCTTAGTGTCTGCTTTAGTGCGTTAAGAGCAAATGTGATGTAATTAAATCCAGTGTTGCCTGCTTGTACTGTGCAGAGGTGATTAGATTGATGGCAGTTCTGCTTAACCGAATTCTACGCTCCTTTTACCTTTAATTGCATTATAGCTTTTGCGTAATGGTTTCAGTCATTACTTGCTTGGTTTTTAATGAAGTGTTGTGTGTCAGATGAAGAACGCCTACATGGAAGGGCCTACGCTGCTTTGGCATAAAGCACTACAGCACCCTCCGGAATTACAGACTGCCTTGGTAATGATGAGCAGTGTAAGAAGCGTTTATCAGCTTCATCCTGCATGCAAAATGTGTGCATAAATCTGATCGTGAGGCAAGAAAAATAGTTTGAAGAAAAATCTTGCTTATTTATCATTATAGGAAAGATGAGAGGTTGATCTTTGCAAATCAGGTGGCAGCTACAGAAGTAAAAATACATGCTTTAAATGCTATTAGGGCAGCAATCGAAATTTCAGACAATAAATGTGAATATCAAAGCATTTGAAGCTTTTGCTGGACTATGTCAGATCTTTGATTGGAACCGGGTGCAATTATGAATTATAAATTAGATTGTTTTTAGATATTTTAGTACGAGTGTTCTGTAAACCACAATAAACCACAGTAAAATTAAAAACAATGTAAATACTTTATATTAAATGCCCATGTCCTACATTTTTTGTAATCAGTTTTTACACGACCATTTTCCAACCTGTCTTTATTCCTCAGAATTAAACAGGCTGTTTTTGATGCTGTGCCTTTAACTCCTTAATTGTTTAAATCTTGTAAAGTTGCACCAGCTTATTATTAGAATTATTATTTTATACGTTTTACCTGCAGACCTGCAGTCATTATTGACATTTTCCTTTTTAAGTGTGCATAAATCGTATGTAAAACAGCTGCCATGGTCTTTTGAGTTCAGTCTGACCTTAAGTCTGGCTCTTCATGAGTTCAGACATGCACTATTAATGTTGCCCAAAGATTTTTTTTTTTTATATAGATATCTTTTTTAAGGTCATACTAACCAGTACTGTGTCTCAAAGTCAAGATGAACACACATAGCTACCTAATTAAAAAAAGAGATCAGACTGTTCATTTACTCAAGAGCAACCCCATCAAGTTTGATTTTGTCGAACATGAATCATGAGCATATGTGCCAGTGACAAAGCCAGGGTTACATTTTAGTGAGGGTTGGTTACAGATTGAGGGGGGGCATTTAGGAAACATTGGCTTTTATTTATCAAGTTGCGAGAAGGACGCAGATTTCACCACCTTGAAGGACGTAGAGACTACTCTGCATCTGAGTCTGTGTAAATGAGCCGAAGTTTGAGCGCAAATTATTAATGAGCTTCACTGTGTGAAATCAGCGCTATAGCCTACCAGTACCTCATTTACATATCATTTATATGAAGCACATCCTAAATTAGGGAGCCAATAAATTGACAGCATTCAGTGGGTTGTGAGCCAGCGTCTTTTATTATAGAAGCACAAAACAAATTACCTTATTTTAATAGAGTAGCCAGAAATTACTGCTGTTTTCTTAACACCTCTTCAGGATCGTCAGTTGAAGATCAAAGAGTTGGTGTTGTCCTGTCATGAGCGAGCAGTCCGGAACTGTCCTTGGACCATGGGCTTGTGGAAAAGCTACATATTAGCTCTGGAGAGGCATGGGGCGGAGCATCATATAATCTCAGGTACTCACTGAACAGAAATGGAAATATGCAGTTTCAGTAACAGGTCTGTTGAAATGTCAAATATCTTTGCTGTGCATTTGTTTGTAGACTTTATACTTTTTTTAAGTGGGTCAAAAGTTTACATACGCTTTGTAAGTACTTGATGGCATTGCCTTTTTAATTGCTTAGCTTGAGCCAAACACTTGGGTTAGCCTTCCACAAGCTTCTCACAATACTTTGCTGGAGTTTTGCCCTTTCCTCCAGACAGAACTGTCAGGTTTGTGGGCATCTTTCTCAGACTTGGTTTAGTTAACATAAACCTAGACCAGTGGTTCCCAACCTAGTGCTCAAGGCCTCCCTAGGAACCACTGGTCTAGGTTTATGTAAACTTTTGGCTTCAGTTGTATACAAAATTCTGTATCAATAGGTAATAAGATTTTTTCCTTATTTTCTTACCTACTGAAAGTGTAGAATCTGCACTTTCAACAGGGTTTGTCAGCTAGGTTAAATGAGCTATGAGTAAGAAATGAATAGTAATTAATACATAATTACGCCATGCTTTTGTAATTGCAAATGATAACTTTCTTTTTTTTCTCCTATTACAGATGTGTTTGAGAAGGCCTTGAATGCTGGCTTCATACAGGCCACTGATTATGTGGAGATTTGGCAGTCATACCTGGACTACCTGAGAAGACGTGTCGATTTCAGCAAAGGTGAGAACTTCTCAGGGCTGTTTTACTACCCATATAGATTTAAGTCAGTGTGAAACAAACTGTTTCTGACAAACACATTTTCTTTCCATACTGTGATGTATTTCCAAGTGAATGAGTATCAGGGAGAGTCTCTGAGCTAGCCGAGCATTTTCACTCAGTGATTGATGGTGGAATCGTGAGGTAACATGATATTATTGGTTAATATTAGTTTTACCTGCCCACTGGTACACGGCAATGCAATCAAGACTCAGAAGAATTTTAGAGTTGGACAAAAAATATTTTTTTTGTTGAATGTTAAAGAAAACAAGAATTTTGTGTTCTAAATGATTCACGTATCATCAAGATATGATGAATCATACGTAAAATTAACAAGGTAATGCAGAGTCTTTCAAAGCTTGTCCTCTTTGTTTAACTCTTAAGTATCTTTTTCTTACTGTTTATTCATTTATTGATTATTTTCTGGTAATTGTTTGCAGAGGGGAGCAGAGAGTTAGAGGAGCTGCGGGCAGCTTTCACACGCTGTCTTGACTACCTGAAACAGGATGTGGAAGAAAGTGAGTGATGCTTTAGGACACTTTTTGATTCATTGTGTATTAGCATAAAATCATTTTTCTTTCATTTTGTTAATAATAAGAGGCCACAAATGATTCCTTTTTTCCATTAATTTCATTTACCACGTGTATCAAAATCAGTCTTGTTTTGTTATAAACACTACTAGTACCACTAAGAAATGACAGGAATCTCAGTTTTCTGACAATCCATAAAAGTTCCTGTGGAATGCATTGTGACTAGATGTTAAAAGATGTCATCATGTCATTTTTCCTGTTAATCACTCTTAATGATCACTGTAATCACATTGTCAGTACACAAAAAGCACAGTTGATCACTGGTTGTCATGATTGTGTAATGTCTTTATTTTGGTCATTTTGTTGCAGGGTTTAGTGAGAGTGGTGATTTGTCTTGTACAATAATGCAAATCTGGGCCAGAATAGAGGTAAGTCTGTAAGTCACTTTCATCTACTGTTACGGACCTTTCAGTGCTAAGGCTAGCTGGGCACGGGTGTAAGGAATACTTTGACAGAAGATGCTAACATGGTTCACAAATAATTAAAGCTAGTGGCCACTAATTACCATGCCATTTGCATCACTGTCATTAATGGTATTATTTCATTAATTATTAAAAACATTTGATAACTTTAAGCTGTCGACTAGTTCCTTGATGTCTTCAATGCCTTCTCAGGCAATAGTTGAGGCAATAATGAGACATGCATTTAAGGAATAGTTTGTGTAAACGAAGGTGTGGTTAACAATTACTAGAATGTCTTTTAAATAATGCCTAGTTATGCTTTACGAAACTTTATTCACCGTTTGTAAATATCTAGGTTGACAAATTTACTACAGTTCATGCATTGGATTTTTCTGAATATATGATTTGACTGTAAAATCATCAGCACATTACACTTCACTAAACTGCATACATTGTTTGAATATACAGTTTAAATGTAAATGCTGATATACTCAACAATTATTAACGTCATCTGTGTAAAAGTCATTGGTGGTTACTAAATTGCATTCATAGTTTGGCTCTGCATGCTAATAGCGCTTGATTCTTTTGGTTGTACTGATCCTTTAAAATTAATCTTAGGACATGGCTTTCAGACTCAGATCCTGCAGGGATAAACTGTGCAGTTTAGGAGCCCTTTCCTAGGTTAAAAAGCCTCTATGTTTTGAAAACCAGTTTTTAATTTGAGCATTTATGGTGGTCTCTTGGAGATCTTCTTTCAGTTTATTGTATTTATTTATTTCCTTTTAACAGGCATTGCACTGTAAGAATATGCAGAAAGCGCGAGAACTGTGGGATAGCATCATGACAAAAGGGAACGCCAAATACGCCAACATGTGGTTGGAATACTACAACCTGGAGAGGTTAGTGTTACATAACTTACAGCGATCGTTTACATAAGTCCACAAACTTTGGCATGTTTAGCTTTACTACTTTAAGAACTTGCCTTAATGCTCATATCTGGGCTATCAGAAAATTGTCAAAACCCAAGACTGCATTCTTGAGATCTCCTGATTCAGTTTTTCTGCCCTGCAAACTGATGGTTTTATTTTGAGTATGAGCCAGTGCTCATCCAATCGTTGTTTTTTTTAAAAAATAAGTAATCCAGCCACGCATTTTACGTCAGATGTTGGTAATTAATGTTATGTTAATGCTACACTAAAATCACATTTTTACAAAGTGCATAATGTGACCTTATGGCCGTTTTCTTGAAAAAGTAAAATGTGTGCGGTTAATGGCAGGAAGTAGAAAGCATAATAGCCAGTGTTATGACAAAAGGAAGCTAAATCAAACACTGAAACCCCTTTGTTGCAGATACACGTTTTTCACTTTTTATAAAAAGTTACAGACATGTAAATTGCTTTGTTAACTTCTAAAAATGCACCTCACTAATGCAGGTTTTTGATAACATTTATTTACTTTACCCACAGGGTAAGATCAGATCATCACTATCTCAAAGTATGTAGTATTAAGTGTGTACTTTGTGATCATAGGACTAGCAGATGTTTAAGACAGATGTCCCCAAAAACTGTGCAGCGTTCCCATTTAATATGACTTCATCATTAGTGGTGCACTGAAATGAAAAAATCTTGGCTGAAACAGAAATTCAGGAAGACTCTGGGCTGAAAACCAAAAAAGTTTTTAGGCTGTTGTATGTAGTACAGTATTAAGGTTGCAGTATGTATTACAGTATGTAAGCCGCAGTGTGTATTATGTTATGTATTACAGTGTGTAGGCTGCAGTATGCATTACTGTATGTAGGCTGCAGTATGTATTATGGTATGTATTATAGTTTGTAGGCTCCAGTATGTATTATGGTATGAAGGCTGCAGTATGTATTACAGTATCTGGGCGGCAATATGTACTACAATGTACAGTATGTATTAAAATATACGTCTTTACAGTATGGCCTTTTTCTCTTTCAAAATTTTGGTGCTTCCTTGTTAATCATATAATTGTTATACAGCAGTGTTCAGAATGGGCTGTTATTTTGTGTTTGAGATCATGATAGCCGTTGTTTATATGTGTTTTATGTCTTTGATGATGAAAGTCTTTGAAAAGATCAGGATGTGGATGTAAACTTTGTATACGTTTGTGTTCACTCAGGTCGTATGGAGATGCTGTACATTGTAGGAAAGCACTGCACCGGGCAGTTCAGTGTACTTCTGATTACCCAGAGCATGTGTGTGAAGTTCTTCTCACCTTTGAGAGGGTGGAGGGTAAGTTCTGCTTCAACTCGCTACTACAAACTGATTTTCTAATCATGGACAGAGTTTAGACCAGGTCTGAATTATAAACACATTGTCCTTTTAAATGAGACCAGTTACCCCATACAGTGCGTATAGATAACTGGACAATGTACAAAGTGTCGCATAATGATAAAGTAAAGAATGTTCTGCTTTCTTTTTCTTTTCTTTCTGCTTTTCTTTCTGGCTTTCTTGGTGTCTGTATATCTTTCTGTCTGTCTGTATTTCTATCTTTCTGTATTTCTGTCTTTCAGTCTTTCTGTATATCTGTCTTTCCATCTGTCTTCTGTCTGTATTTGTCTTTCCTTCTGTCATTTCGTATTTCTTTCTATCTTTTTGCATCTGTCTGTCTTTCTGTCTACATGTATCTTTTTGTATTTCTGTATTTGTCTTTCATGTCTTTCCTTCCTTCTGTCTTTTTGTCTGTATTTCTGTCATTCTGTCAGTATTCTGCATTCATCTTCCATTCTGTTTTCCTTTTCTTTTTGTCTTTTTCCTTTCTTTCTTTTGAATTGAAATTCATTTTGTTTCATCTCTTTCATTCTTTGTCTTTTTCTTTCCTTCTGTCATTAGTGTGTTCGTTCATTTTTTGTTGTTATTCGTCTGATTAACTGTTCTGACCCCCGGCAGGCTCTCTGGAGGACTGGGACGCTGCTGTGCAGAAGACTGAGTCCAGGCTGAATCGAGTGAATGAGCAGAGAGTGAAGGCGAGATTCTATTATTTTTGTAGCCTTTCAGCCACAGAGCTTTTAAAAGCAGTGCTAGCTTTAGCCATTAGAAGAGAAAAGGCACTGTTGAGCCTAAAAAAAAAGGGAGCAATTTGTAAAATGTTATGAATGCTTGTTACATTCAGTTCCTTTCGGGCCTTCATAGCTGTTTTTTTAGGAGAGAGATTTTTGTCCTGCTGGAAATGTCACATTTTTGTTACTCACTAGTACTTTTTTGTACTGCAGTCAGAACTAGTCTACATGAAATCTATCGAGATGCTCTATTAAGCTAATTGAAATAAGAGGAGTTGACCGGGGCAGACTATATGAGCCGTCCAACCCTCAGCGGGAATGGGACTAGATCTCTCTCCATCTCTTTACTGAAGCAGCTGCATTGCCACATCTATGTTACTGATCTGCCATTTACAATTAAGAGTGAAGGAGAGAGCATGAGATACAGAGGATTGTCTTTCATGGTGCTCCACAGCCCAATAGGCTCTGGTTAGGATGGATAAAGCGTTATTGATTTTTCAATATTAATTTTTCCTGCTCGCAATTTACTATATTAAAACATCTTGATTATTGATGTGATCGTCTAGTACATATTTAAAAAAAGACAAAAGAAACTGATGCATAAAAAATAAGCATGAACCATGGAGTGGCACTTTTGAATGTTGTTAGATTTAAAGCTATGTCTGAAACAACTCAGCCAGGTCCAGTTGAATTTTTTTTATATTGTTAGAGTCGTTTTCGGTTGCAGTGCAGGAGAGGTGACTGTTCTCTAGCATCCACTCCTCTGAGAAAACTTGTAGCTGCTACTGTCATTGACGTGCATTTTTTTAGAAATCAGCTGCTCTTGAGATATTTTGACTCTAATGTAGACTCATTGCTGATATTGTGCAGGGAACATGGTAAATGATTGTAAATTAGTATGTGAAATTAGTGCAAAATACTTTGCTTCCTGAATAAGCTTCCTGCATCAAGCAACTACCACAACTCCATGCAAGTTGCATAGTGTAAAGCCAGCCTTAAAGGATTCTGAAGATTCAAAGTGTTACCATCTTGATTTGTTTGTTTGTTTGTTTGACTTGTTACAGTTTTTACACATGTTGTTCGGACTGAGTGGTTGACCATTTTAATCAGGTTTAGATCTAAAAAGTCATCAGACAGGAACATGGCGAATGACTATATATATGTTTAGGAATAGAACTTCTGAATGAGTTCCGTAGTCCTTTGCAGTCTCACCTCCTGCTCTAAAATGCAGGGGTGTGGCTAAAAAAGGCTTCACCTATGGACTTAAAACTCTCTGTTTCGGGAGTGACACTTGGGACAGCATTTTTTTAATCAAATTTTTCATTTAAAAATCAGACTCTTGAAAAATCTAAATCTTAATTTTAAAAGCACCTAAATGGTTGCGCTACTATTCATTTTTTAAAATTCATTATTAAAACATTGTTAATAACTGTCCTTTTTCATAAAAAAGAATTAATAAGATTTGTCACTTTTTAGGAAATCTAGGGTCAAAAATGCCTCAGAAATTGTGAGTGAAATTTGTAAGAGTCATTTTGTACTCATGGTCCAGAAATCTAATTTGTGACATGTCTGAGATCCATGTGTGCTTTTCATGCCTGCTCTAAAGCTGTGTTTGTGCACAGGCGGCGGAGAAAGAGGCCCTGCTGGTGCGGCAGGAGGAAGAGAGAGCCGAGCAGCGCCGGAAAGCCAAGGCTGAAAAGAAAGCCCAGAAAAAGAGCCAGAAAACAAACCGAACAGGAGACAAGAGGAAGGCAGAGGATGATGGTGAAGATGAGTGGGGAGAGGAAACAGGTAAGGGCAGAGAATATGAAGGTGCTGCCGAATGAGCCTTGTAACAGATTGCAATGAATTACACAAACTGTTTCATACTTGTGTTGTTTCTGTAGCTAGCAAGCCAGCAAAGACATCACAATTTCATGCTTTATTTATATTCTGAGCGCTTGATTTCTTTTGCAAGTTTGCAGCTATGAGATTTAAATTTTGACCCACAAATGGTTAACTTAGAAAAAATGCTGAAATGTAATGCTTTAGTTATTTCAGTGGTAATGAGAATATGAAATTTTGTTACAAAGATACTGTTTATTTTACTCACCTGCACCACGCAATGATGACCAATGCATTAAAACAGTGCCAGCAACTCACCACAGAATAATGTTTTTTGTCCCTCCATCAGAACTAGCGCACAAGAGGCACCGGGGTGAGGGAGATGTCATCGCAGCGGCTTTAGAGGAACAAATGGAGACAGAGAGCAGCCTGATCGGGCGGCGCGCTCCGCCACGCAAAACAGAGCCGCCGGCAGCCCGGAGGAACCAGCAGGTGGTGCCGGAGACCTCATCCATGGTCCAAAAGACATCGGACACCACACCGGACCAGCGCAGAGATTCCAACACCGTGTTTGTTAGTAATTTAGCCTTTAATCTGGAGGACCCCGAGGGCAAATTGAAGGCTTTGTTTGGAACCTGTGGGAAGATCATGGAAGTGCGGCCTGTATTTACCACTAAGGGAGCATTCAGAGGCTACTGCTATGTGCAGTTTGAGGACGAGCTGGCCACCCAGGAAGCGCTGAAGCTAGACAGGCAGGAAGTGGACGGAAGACCGATGTTTGTCTCTCCCTGCGTGGATAAAAGCAAAAATCCTGACTTTAAGGTACACTGCAGGTGCACTTTAAAATTAGCTTAAGGCTTCAATGTGGACTGAATCAGGGCTGAAGTCCAGCACAGTCTCACAATTTCTCTTCTCTAATGCACCTACCAAACTAGGGCTGATAGTTATTTCACATTAACAATAATTTCAGCAGTAAAACTCCACCTCAAATACTTCTGTTGTCTGTTTTTGTTTATATTTTCAAAGTGACATAGTCCGAACAGGGCAGCAATTTAAATAGCTCATGTAGTGAACTACCACGTTAAAATATTAAACTTACTTAAAATAATAGCAACAGTTACAAATAACAGCTAATTTAAAAATGTAGGTATGTTTTGGAATAGGTTATTTAACCTATTACCACATACAGTATGTCTAACTTGGGCTCATGGGGGTCCTAAGCAGCTGCCTACTTGAAGCACATTCCTGGAAAGCTGCTTTGGCAAAAATAAGAATGAATTAAAAATAGAAACTGTTCGTTTGTGATTTCCTGATGTCTGTTTCTGACAGGTCTTCAAGTACAATACATCAATGGAGAAGCATAAAATCTTCATCTCGGGACTGCCCTTCAACTGCACTACGGAGAAGCTGGAGGAGCTGTGCAAGGAGCACGGAACAGTCAAAGCTGTCCGCCTGGTCACCAATCGCTCTGGCAGATCTAAGGTCATTGATGCTCTGTAAATGTTAAAGCAAACTGTCCCCCAACATTCGTACTTCTTAAGCTGCTTTCAAATGTTTCTCACTTGCAAAGTCAGAACGAGTCTTTGCGTGGAAGTGATTTGTAGTTACAAACATGGAGGATGGATTATTTGACTGGCAGCATTAGCTAGTTAGCATGATTTGTAAAAATGTACCCAATGCAATGAATAGTTACAGAGTGGCCTAATTGGTGACTGCTACAACTAAGCTACTTAGATATCTGCATGTTAAATAGCCCATCAGTATCTTAAAATCATAGGCCAGAAATAAAAACGGCAAAAGTTACTTGTCAAATAGTGAACTCAATTAATGCTAAACCTCAGATCTTGCTGGTTACTTATCTTACTTTGTGTTCTCCATCAGTCAGAATCCTTATACATTTATATTGCTCAGATATAACGGGTCGCTGTTGCCCTTTTGTGTTTAAACTGCTTTTTAATGTTTTCTAATGTGTTAATGACCTAATTAACAATCATTAACAAAATAATTTTAAGCCATTCACAAGACCTTGATTAAGGTTGTCTTATTGTAAAGTGGTAACCAGCTTTTATCTGTAAACTGACTGTGGGTGGTGTCATTCTGTTCTGAAGGGCTTGGCGTATGTGGAGTTTGAGAGCGAGGAGCAGGCGTCCCAGGCCGTGCTGAAGTTGGATCGGACTAAGATGGAGAATTATACTCTCTCAGTCGCCATTAGCAACCCACCGGCTAGGAAGACAGAAGTCAGACCAGCGGCTAGCCGTGTGCTGGGAGCCATGATGCCTCGGCAGCTACAGGGCACGTGAGTACAGCAGCACCAACACAATGACAGTAACTGTTGAAAGCTACATTCTCTGATTGACACCAGAGGGGGCTTGAGTCCCTGCTCTTCTGCCCTTGCGCTCGTCAAGTACCCTTTTCTTCAGTCTGTATAGTAGTTGTTTTGTATGACCATTCTTAAAGACGTTTCCCGTAGAGCTAGTGGGTCGGGTTAGGTTCCACAGGCTTCATCACTCTTGAGTGCCCCGTCTTGTGCTGTATAGACTGGTTCACTTCAGTAACTCCAAGCTGTTATAGATGTACGCATCATCATCAGAGTATGTCAGTTGAGCGAGGCGGCAGACATTCCGCTTCTCGTTCAAACCGTTCTGTAATCACTCCACTCTGGATTGTCTATTTCCAGCTCACACATCAGAGAAATCCTGCTCCACACCTGGTCCATATGACTCATTCTTATCAAAAAGACAGTACTGACTTAATAAACAACTTTAGCTAGGACTGGCTCGGAGTATGGAGCAGTATTTGAGTGATTTCAGAGTGAGAGAAAACACCACCACTCCAACTTTCCTAAAAGCCATTCCAGGCAAAATTACGCCGCTCGTGCACACTGTTGAAAATCTAATGAAATATTGTTGAAAATCCCAATAATAAGGCGCCGATTTCTCTTTTTAAGAAAGTGCCACATTGTACAATGCGGTTATTTGAAACAACCAACCGGTTGGTGATGAGTGGTACTAATAGTTTGCCGAACTATGACACATCTTTCATTAGAAAGGAAAAAATAAATTTAATAAAATTGGCTTCAAACCATCCCTTTTAAAAAGGGAATTAAATTGATTTTCACTGAAATGTCAACAAAGTCTTTCTGATTGGTGATGTACTTTACTGTAGAGAAACCTACTCACTCAGATCTCATCACAGTGGTGCTGATAGGAGCCAGGGGTCTCAATGTGTACATTTCAAATGTAGTCATTTTATTTACTATCCAAAACAACCAGTGAAACTACACGTCTTGAGTTTTTATATGTTGATGATGGTAAAATAGTAGTAAATCTTTTCTTTAGGGACTCCCCTTTATGAACAGATCATTAAACAGTGTCATCAGTGGTGTATTCATAACCATTTCATAAGAACTTTCCATGAGGGAGCTTTTAGAGGTGGATGTCTGGTTCCTGCTAAGTTTCTCTAGAATGGAGATTTTTGCATCGAGCCACTCTAAATGACTTTGTATTTTAACCATTTAATTATGCACAATTGGCGTTTCAAAGGCTGTTTTTGCTAATACAGCATTTATGATCTGTTTTCAGTCGAGGAAAAGGACGGACGCAAGTCTCCTTACTCCCTCGCTCCCTGCACCGGCAGAACACCCCGGAGGCCAAAGCGGAGAATGGAACGGCTACCAAACAGCAGCATGGCATGACTGACGGCCAGGGGCTGGACACTGGAACTAAATCCTTGTCCAATGAGGACTTTGCGAGGATGCTCCTGAAGAAGTGAAACTGCTTCTGCAGCACCTGAACATGACGAATTAACCTGCCTTGTGTCGGAAGCCATTCTGTGTCCTTATTACAATTGGGAGGAAGAAACAACAGCATTTTAATTTTTTTCCTGTAAATATGTGAAGCACCCCCAAAATTATATATAGATAAAAGATTTTAACACAGTGTCAATAGAAATGAGTGGGTTGTTTTGTGTGTTGTTTTTGTTTTTTTTTCTGGTTGTTTGATGGGGGAGTGAAGTGGGGGAGACCTGAAGACTACAAAGTGAGTATTTTTTTAACAAGATGTCAAAACAACCGTGTGAAACATGTTGTTTTAAATAAGGTATATGCAAGAACTTGATATTTACTATGAAAGTATAATGTATCATAAATGAGAAAATAGTTGTTTTTTTTCTGTATGTATTTGCCATCAATATACTGGTTATTTTCTCTATAGACTGCTTTGGTCAGCCAGTGCACACCATTTGCCTTTTGTTCAAGGCAAGAAAAAGAAAAAAAAGGCTAATCTTTGCTTTACGGAACTGCGTTTGTAAAAATAATTTATTTGCAGTACTGGAACCCTGGGATGCTCATTCTATCGTGCTTGTTCTAGATTTCATGCCAACTTCAGTAATAAACATGCTAAATAACTTCATGAGGAAAAAAAGAATAGAAATGTTGTTAGAAAAATGTAGATCGCCTCAGCTCTTGAAATCCAGTATGTAACTATCATGACCCTCTTTTGGTTTCCTCTGCTATTCTTTACCTTGCATTTTGTTGAGATCCCAGTGCTTTCATTCATGAGACTGAAAAACACTTTGTTTTGCACCAACCTCGAGTTATTCACATATTTTACACAGCTTGACCGCTCGCCCAGCGTTTGAGGGCGCATTCCCTTACGGCTGACACGTAGCTTGCAAACCTGCCTTACCCTGTTGGCTCAGTATTGGCCATGCCATGGCCAGAAGGATGACAGCTACTGTATAAAGGAGGCTGGAGATCCTGTCCCTGTTCCATTGCCAGACTGCACAAATCTAGAGGTTCTAGAGCTCAAACTGAAGTTCTAAATTAGATCTAGAATTGAGAGAATTCTTAGGGCTGTGGTTGAGCTAGGTCTAGATCTGTGGCCACCATTCCTCCTCCTGCTCCTGGAGATCTACCTTCTCATGGAGTCTAGTTCCAACCACTATCTTCCACACAGAGTTCTCCAGAAGTCCTTGATTAGAGTAGATGTGTTCATGTTGGCTTAGGTTGGAACTAAACTCCGTGGAAAAGTGGCTCTTTAGCAGAGGGGCATTGTGACAACTGCTCTAGATTCTTTTACGTCTGGCTGTGATGTTGCCTTGGACCGTTCCCTTTCTCTGTGGAACTGACCGTTGTGTTTTTAAGAATCTATGCAGCTGTTTATTGCTAGAACCTTCCGCATTAGTTTGCCTGAATGAACCCATTTCCTATAATGTACTGTATATACACCATCATTGAATATCTTCAGTCATAAGGATTTTTTCTGGATGAGAATGGAAGAAGCCTTTCATTGGTTGCTCTATGATCTGTTGAAAGTATTATTTTAGTAATATTCTTTTTCGTCTCGTACCCGTCGTCACCAGTCAGAGTGTTTGAGTGTTCACCTCCTTGGTGGTTGGCCATAGTTTTGTAAAGCGTTTGTATATTTTGATCTGAAGGAATAGTAGCTCTATGTATTTGCTTATGATCACCACAGTGGCCTAAAATAGTAACGAGAAAAGAAAATGTGCTGTTGCGATGTCTTGTTGAGTATCTTTAAAAGAGAAAAAAAAAAGCAGTGGTAGTCAGTGTAGACATTTGAGGTTTATTTCTTAGTCCTCATTGTTATTTTTTTTATTTGCAATGTGATTGTGTGTTGTAGTGGACATTTTATTTACCAAACTTGTCCTCAGTTCTTTGAAACGTATTGTTCTTGTTAACTATTGTTTTTTTTTTTTTTTAATCATTTTTGTCCAAAGTTTACCAGAATTGTTTTGTCACTTAAAATTGTATAATTTGTATTTTTTTGCCTTCTGTTCTTTCCTCCATTGTTTAAGGCCTATATTGTTTATTAAAGCAATTAAACTATATGTGGTTGTTCAACACACAGTGCTTGGTTTTGCATGATGTTCTTTTATGCAAGTTTCACAAGTGTTCACAGTGATGGAAACCAGATGACTGAAGAGTTAAATGCCTCTAAAAGCTCCCTCACTGAAAGCTATTGCATAAAATGGTTATACATACAGACATACATACATTGTCTGACAGTTTTATGAAAGTTTTGAGGAGGTTTTGGCCTATTTTTTTAAATCCAATTGTAATTCAAAATAGTCCCTTAGGAAGACTTCTATTTTACCATCAACATTACATAAAAATACAGATGTGTAGGTTCACTGTTCATTTCAGATAGTAAATAAAATGACTGAATACATTAGCATTGTAATGTTGTGTTAGTATTGTTTATCTATCACCTGTACTATAAAGAAATTCAAGAACATGTTCATATTACAGCACTAATATTTTTATTACACCAACCTCAACATATGGCTCTCAAAGAAAGACGAGGATAAAAACACTGCTCTCAATAATTTAATAAACCTTTCCCCCACATGGAAATAACTTTGTATGTCAATAAATACGCCAGCCTTTAAATACACAAAAACAAAGTGCATTTGGTGCAAACTTAAAACATGAGGCACTAAGTGATACTGTGGTATCGGTGGTAGAATGAAATGTAATATTAAAGAAAACAGCACCACATTATAAGACTTGTAACCAGATTTGTAGAAATAAGAAATTAGATTGACATGATTTTATGTGTGCAATACAGCCAAAATTTGAGCTTTCATTCTGCATGTTAGCATTATCTTGGGCAAAGCATTCATTCAGCTACTTAGAAGGTAGCTACATTATTTACAATGGTGACTTTAGTGGTGCCGAGTGGTTTCTTTAATAAAATTACATTTCATTTCTAACACCATTAAGTGTGTCTGATGGACAAACCTTGTGGACTCAAAAAGAATCAACATCACAAACAACATGTTCATTCTTTCTGTATAGTGTATAAAAGCAACTGAATAAAAACAAAAAAAGACTTTGAACAGGGGTAGATGAAGGATTTTTCTAGCATCGCAAAAAACAAAAACTAAAAGCATTATAGCTTAAAAAATCTTTAAGAACACAAATAGAATTTAGTTCAACCATATATTGCTAATTTGGCTATCAAAGAGTTTAGCATTAGCATAAATTATAGTTAGCCAGGCTTTGTTCGCCTGACTCTAATCTGTTTCCAGAAGGTCAGACCATATTATAACAAAAGAAGAGAGGAAAAAAACTTTAATTATGAGCGACACTTTAAGAATGTGGTTGCCAGTGGTCAACAATTACTATTAAGCATTCAGAGTCAAAACAACGGTCCACAATGAAACACTATTATATGACCCATTTATGAACATGCTTACCCAGTTGCTGCAAATATTTAAAGGTTAGTTGCTACTAAAATAAACCGTCCATTAATCTCCAAAACACTTTCCAACAGCTGATTCCTTAAAAAAACAAAAAGTGGCCTGAATGTAAAAACAAGGAATGAGTTTTCTACTGATGATCTCATAACCTGTTTCTGGGCTCAGAATGAAAGCGCTGCTTCCCAAGAACTAGAGAATACTCAGAAATGTCTTTTTGAGAGGTTTTCATAAACCAACAGAAAACCCAGAATAAAATCTATCCTAAAGCTTTTAAAATTGCAGACCCCTGCAATATTGCATGGTGCAATATGTGTTACTCATTTTTAAGGATCTATTTGCCATGTATTTTTTTAAATGGCTTCATGATTTAGGCCCAACAATGGTCCTTAGTGGCAACTGGATTTAATTTATGGATTTGTGCGTATTCATTACTTTATGAAATAACAGTGGTCCCCAAAGTGCAAAAAAAACAAACAAAAAAAAAAACAAACAAACATATACCTTGGAAAGTGAAAAATCTACTTAAATCTAATCAATATATCTAATTTTTCTCATTTTGAGAATGTTGTAAGAATATTGAATAAGATTATTAAATTTATTTATAGCTGTTTGTATAGCAAATAATTTTATCTAGTGAAATCATCATCTTCTGTTGGCAGATAATTTTGTTTCAAGAAGTAATGTTTGGAACAGGCCAAATTATCCACGAGTGGAATAAGAATTTCTCTGGATTAAATGACTTAAAAAGAAAGACTTTTTTTTTTATAATGAATTGGTAACTGCATTTGGTATAGTTGGCATACTGAATTGTTAATACTGAATTGGTAATTACATTTGAATGAGTGCAATTTTCAAATCACAAGATCTGCAGTTTTAATTATAGCAAGTTTAATCTACAATGTTATCTGGAGTTTTAAGTGGGGAAATTTAACCTAGTAGCACAGAGCTTGTGAATGTAGATGACTTTGTAGATTACCACAACTAGCTGGCAGTCAGACACATTTGGCATTCATGCCCTCAAGCCTGAAAAAGTGGATACTTCTTGGCCAAATTAACAGAACTGGACCTTAATCTCACAATTAAAATCGCTGTCACAATATTGAACAGAAAAATCACAATTATGTATTTCCCCCAAAACATTCAGCCTTACTTAAAACAAGTAAAAAATATTTAGGAATTAAGTTGACATATTGATTAGATTTTAAATGTTCTTCTGTCTTGCCAAGATATAATTTCAATGCAATTTCATCCACAAAGGGCCAGAGCAAGATCAGGCCTTTGTTCCTACTAAAGAGTAACATCTGAAGAATGACCTCTGTTGAAATAAAAGCCTGGACCTTCAGCCGACCCTTATGAATACCAGAACATGGTCCAGTTTCCCATTGTAATATAATTATCTACTAGAAACAGTGTCCTAAGTGATCAAGGATGATCCTTATGCTAGGACAATTTTGGGAATTCAGTTATGAGCAGGTATAGTCTGCTTACAGTTCAGACACGCCTGACTGCTTGCGCCGGGAAGTCCGACTGCATGCTCAGTGGTAGCTATGAGCAGCGTGTCCAGCGTGATCTCCGTGCACTTTGCAATAAAGCGTATAAACGGCCTCACATCGCCCTCATTTGCTGTGTCCAAGGCAGCGTAATACTCTGCTCTCTGCTCCTTTCGGATGGTGATTGGAGGATAGCTGGCCTGCATCAACACCAGGTTCATCAGCAGCCGTGATGTCCGTCCATTCCCATCTACAAACGGGTGCACGTAGACCAGCTTGTAGTGGGCCAGAGCTGCGAATTCCACTGGGTGGAGGTGAAGTGCTTCCTCTGAGTTCAACCACTGCACCAGCTCCTGCATGTGCCGGTCCAGATCGCTCGGATGAGGCGGAATATGGTGCCCCACAAACACCTGGTTAGTTCTAAAGCGGCCCGCTTCCACTGGGTCTGCGTATCCTAGCACGCGACGGTGGATCTCTAGGATGTCATTAATGGCGATGGTGCCGGTGCGTGACAGAAGCGTGGTGTTGATGTACTTCATTGCTGCATCCACGCCAATGGCCTCGTTCTGCTCCTGCAGGCTCTTGCCTGGCACAGCGTAGCGTGTCTCGATGATGTGGCGAATCTCGGAGAGCGTGAGCGTGTTGCCCTCGATGGCCACAGTGTGATATATATGGTGGTAGTAGGTTTCTTCCATAATCCGTCGCAGTGCTGAGTTGCCCTTGGGGATGGACATAAGGCGCCGTACTTTACTGTCAATAATTCCAAAGTGCCGCTGGTCAATTTCCTCCACCAGGGGGAGCGTGCGGTCCCGGCTCACTAGTGCCTTCTGGTCACATGGTGAAATGGCAAGCGCTTTGCTGTACAGGTGGTCAGCCTGAACCACGTCCTTCTCCTCTTCTAAAATGCTCCCCAACTCTGTTAGAGCGTCCACAAAGTCAGGGTTCATGTTAAGCGCGTGGACGAGCAGTTTGTGGGCTTTCTCCCTTTTCCCTTGTTTCTTCATCTCAAGGGCCTGCTGGAGAGCTGCCTTTGCCTCCAACTGTGTCTCTGTGAAAAAAGAAGAGATGCTTTAAAGTGATTTAAGGTAGAATTGATGACCTTCTCACACTTTGCATGTAGTCAGTCACATCGTCACTAAGTATGTAAACGCACTGCACGATTTTCAACAATGTCAATACCTCTATCTAACAATCGCTGAATGTTAAACAGTGCTGCTAACTAGGAAAGAGGATCTGGTTAGCATAAAACATATATTATAAATATAGACACAGACTTACTTTACTCTGCTTTAAGCTTTAGCTGAGTCAGCTTGTCATTCGGCAGCTTCTTGTTTGAATTTTCTTGAGGCGCCAGAATGTAGCTAACCGCTGCACCATTTAAGGTGGAATGGGAAAATTCGAACAAGAAGCTTCAGCACTTTTTAGTGGTTGACAGTTTCTCGATGCAGATCGTAAACGTATCAAAGTCCAGCTGAAGTGCTTGTAAATGCACATAGGTCTGTCCATTTATCTTTAAATTATTGATGATAGCCTTAAATATTTATTTTCTTTGAATTAGCAGATTTACATTCTCCAGCATTTAGGACCATTTAATGTTAAAACTGTTAGAACTGTGTTAGAACGATCAGCAAAGCTTTACTGCAAAGGAAGACTGTTTTATTTTTACCTAAAAATATAATTCTGCTGTGGAGCCACAGCAGGGAAGTAAAAGAGCCGCATGTGGGTGGAGCTGCATGTTGCTGACCCCTGGGCCAGGCTACTTAAAGCTTAGTCCGCTGATTAAATGTGCCACACTCCACAGCACAGGCTTAGACTGCAGGTAAGTGATGCTAAAATGACAGCTGTTTAGAGGATATCTGAAAGGGCAGGGTTGAATTGGCTGAAACCGAGCCAATTAACAAGTTAACTGCTATTATCTATATAGCAATGAATCAGCTAAAATTTTATGGTTGTAACAGGCCTAATAGCCAACAGGTTTGCATTGTGCATAACTAACAAAGGCAGGCTTGGTTTAAGACACTGTATGATATACAGTGTAGACTTTTGTAAAACAAAAGTATGGACAAAACATTAAAAAACTAAAGAACAGTCTAGACTTTTGTATGGACAAAACATGGAAACTAAAAAACTAGACTAGACATTAAACGTGTCTTCAGTGATCGACTACTTTTGGGTTATAGGAGAAAACTGGGTAAATCAGATTTTTGGCTGAACTCTCGCTTTCAGGTCATACGATGTCAGCTTTAGTGTTTCCTTGCTCCAACCCCACGATTCAGTATCAATCTGTAGTTTCATTTGCATAAGAAGTTGATTTATTTAAGACAGAGAAGACAAAACAATCCAGGGCTAGTATTAGGACTGATAACAGCAGTAGAAAAGGCATGAGTTTATTCTTCTTCATCTTACCTTTACTAGGCTTGGGCTTTTGAGGCAGGAGCTCAAGTGCTGTGAAGGGCACAGTGAGGCTTGTGGAGTGGCCCATAGGCCGCGGAGTGTTGCCCCATAGCTGACAGTGCAAGAGGGAGATACCCTTAAGTCTGGCACAGCATTGCTCCTCCACACCCACTAGAGGGAGCAGAAAGACCAACACTGAGCCCAGCAGGACAAAGAGAACAGGCCCCCAGCCCCACAGCAGAGGACTACTGCTAGCGTGACGCAACACTGCTAACGCTGCCATCAATCTAGGTGTCCAGTTTTCTTTAGTCACATGTTCAGCATTCTGACAAAGAGGTCAGCCTGTGAAGGAGAACAAGGTCAGGTTCAGTAACAAAAACAGACAAGAAGCTAATTATTAAAGCAGACAGACCTCTGTGTAAGATGTGCAGGTCCATACTATAAAACAAACCATACTGTCCTAAAGAATATGCTCTACCAATGGTATTAACAACAAAGCTGTAAAAATTCATATGAACCAGTAGAATTTCTCCACATCTCAGGGTCAAGGCTATTCTTAGATGACTGGCCACCATTAATAAGGTCTCACAGTCTCTAACTGATTTCAGTGCAATGCCTTATTTATACTTCAGCCATTAACCCAATTATTAACAGCTTATATGTAACATTAAAGATGAATTCTACTGATTTTAGCATAATTCAATTGTTATTCAGGGTCATTTCATTAGAAATGCTTCGTTGTAAAGAACCTGACTGACTCAGATTTCTTTATGGTGGTGACAGTAGCCAGGGGTTACGATATGTACAGCACTAATATAGCATTAGATAGTATTTACCTTCAGAAATGACCAGTGAACCTAGATATGTCTTTGGAGTCTCTAACAATGGTAAAATAGAAGAAAATCTTAAAAAAATACATTTTCCTTGGGGACTATTTTGTTTGCATATACTTCTCTGCCACATACAGATTTAAAATGATTTTTTGTAAAACAATGTCTCAGACATCAGGCAGCGTTTTCATGACAATTTTATGTAATCATTTACTGGTGGGAGCTTTAAGAGGCATTAAACTCTTCAAACATCTGGTTCCTATCACTGTGACTTGCCAAGCTTCTCTACAACAGAGCTTTTCACACTAAACCACTCTGAATGACTTTGTTTACATCTTATTGATGGAATTATCCTTAAATTCTGAAAATTCCTCCACTACAAAAAAGTGAATAGACGAAATAAAAAATTTAAAATGACAAACTACAGTTTAATGGATTTCAGTGCTCTACTTTCGACACTCGCAGACATTAACCTACTTGAACTGTAACACTCACACCAAGTTGCTAAGACCAACACAAAAACAAACAATCAATTAATAAAACAATTGGGTGTCCTCAGCTCTGGCTGAGTTTTTGAAGGGTTAGGTCAAGGGTGAACAATCCTGGTCCTAAGTTTAGCTACAACCCTAATTTAACACCCTTGATCCAGGTAATGAAAGCCTTTAGGGCCATCTGAATATCACAGCCAGATGTGTTGGATCTGAAGTGTGACCGATCTCCAGAATCAGTGTATCAGGTAACTTACAATGGGGGAAAACACAGATTCTGTACAGCACAGAGGAGGAGAGGGGACCACCGCCCTAGTAGCTTGATATATAACCTAGCATCATGTAATATAATCTGCTATTAGCTTACAGCAACAGGCAGGGCAGCTGTTGAACCAATATTCTCTACAATATCGAATCCAAAGTCAGTAAACTGGGGAATTAACGTGAACTTTAGTAGACTGCTGCTGTGTAATGTCCTACAAGCCTTCTGTAGTTATTTTCATTCACCAGTAACGCTAGAATTTACTACGGTTTAGAAACATTCAGGAATTGGATTCTGTACAGGCGCCAGAATGTAACCGCTGCACCATTTAAGGTGGAACGGAAAATAAGAAGCTGGCTAATGTAAAACTAACCCCAGCTTCGTCTTCTGTTCAGATGGGGTAACAGTATCAGCACTCACAGACCAAATTTAGGTTTAAAATATCTAAATTTCTTATTCTTTAGAATTAAAACCTATTTTATTTTATTTGATGTCGACAAAAAAGTGCGATACTGTTATCTTCGTCCTACTTGTAGCTACAAATCTGCTAACGTTACGTTGTTAGTTTAGAGCTACGTCTATTAAAGACAAACTGGCTTTTTTTCTTCTTTTTTCTCTATATATTCAGTGCCATTAGTTAATACCGAACAACATATAAACGGTGCTTTTACCTTCTCGAAGCTTTCATTTATCCTCGTAACCATGAAAATATTTGTTTGCCCCATCGCTCTGAGCGCTTCTGTCACCGGCCATGGAGCTACGTAACTTTAAACTGCTCAGGGATTGGTTGTGCTGACATTGTACGTCATCCCAGATTGGCTCAGTATGGTCTTACGCACACCTAAACAGCAACACGTTGGCTGGATCGTAGGAGTTTGTGATTGGTTAAAAATCATTCTGGCACGCTATTGGTCACGGTAAGCCGACATACACGCCTATTATTGTAGACAGGTTCGCTAGAGAACGTGTAGTGAGGAGAACTGCCACTAGATCCGGTTTATGAGGAGCCTGGCCACTTCCCATTCCCCCCGTTATATCAAAACCAGGCCAGCCAAACAGCAGAGGGCGCCCTTGAGCCAGACCTCAATGAATGGGAGTAAATGGAGCTCAACTGCTAAAAACGAAAAGTTAAAATAGTTTCTAATCACTTGCCCAGAACTTTACTTTAATTTTAGAAAGTAGATGGATGTAGTACACTAAAAAGCAAAGAAAAGGTACCTTTATGTTTCCTTTTTTTCTACAGCAAACAGGTTTTGATAACCTTGATAAAAAATAACCTTCCGCACAACGCGGGCGAAACAGTAACTCAGTAGATCGATCCGCTCAGCATCTGCTGTTCAGGCTCCCGTGTGGAGTCACAGTTTATTATGCAGTCAAACTAACTTATATCATCAACTACGAGTGAAAACTGTGGGGAGTGTAATTTAAAGTCACACAGGCACATTTCTTCACCAAAATATGAACGTACACGCTAAAAGTGGCTAGTAACTGTTGCTAAGCAGTGATATTGATTGGCTGAGGAAAATAAGGCAGATGTTGAGGTGGTCTGCTTGGCTCAGTCTCGGTTGCTGGCAGGCTTTTTGCCCCACTGTCATTCAGTACAGCACATGGCTTGTGTCACATACTGGATACTGTACTGTATGCTACAGATGAAGAGTAGCATGCAGTACACAGTACGCTATTTCGAACACACCCCGTGTCTCGATGCTGCATAAAAGCACGATTATGTAGGCTGTTACCGAAGCAGAGCGCGGGAGGCGGGATGACTGAATATAAGTGGGATTTCAAATAACGACCGTTGCGCCTGTTTCCGTGATCGCGTGGTTCAAGACTTTGCAAAGTAACCATGGTTACGCGGTGAAGCCGCTTCAGGCCAGGCGGTGGCGCTAACTCTGTAACTATAACTTTCTCCGCCTGCACTAAAGCGGAGAAGCAGAAGGTTGTGTTGTGGTCAGCAGTCCCCGCCTCCGCGTTCGTATGGTGTTGTTGGAGGAACAGAAACAAGAGATGAACAATCGAAGGTATGAAGCTGTCCGACACTTTAACACTCACTGTTCTTCATTCACTCTGAGACAAACAGCTGGAGACACATTTGAGTTTTGAAAATAAGATTCTCAGTCAAGCCAAACTTGGCCAAGTGATGTGAGCCAGAATATTTGATTGATAATGTTTTCCTGGTTGGGTTTGGCAAACGTAGAGCAGTTTGTTCATGATTTGTTCGCCAGGTTAGTTCCAGAGACATCAAACAGAGGTCCTTTAGATCATGACCTTGGGATTCTTAGCTTATCACATCAATTATCACATCAAGCAGATCTCATCAATTCCCTTATAAAAAATGTGCAAAAAGAGGTCACGCCGTATTTTACATGTAGCTGTAATAAATGTAGAAATATTGACTGATAAATACTGATATTATCCAAGGTGGGTATAACTGTATAATGTACAAATCGGGTTGAGAAAAATATGAAGTACTTCCTGGGAGATGTTATTGCCTGGGTGGGGGTTGCTGGTCAGTCGCTGTTTAAAGGGGAGTGTAGTGTGTAAGAGCCGTTCAGGAACTTGAGGATCAAGTTCGGAGATGTTCAGTTTTGTGGGATTGGGAATGTCTGGAAGAGGTGATTTCCAGGATGAGAGGGGTCAGCTTCAGTTTCGCCAGTGCGCTTCATCACCCTGCTGTCGGCCTTCAGATGGGTGTTCAAAGACCTTCTTGACTACAGAGCTCAGGGCTACTGGCCTGTAGTCATTTAGTCCATTATTTTTTATTATTATTTTTTTTTTGGCGACTGGAATAGCAGTAGATGTTTTGAAGCTTGAGCGATTTGTCAAAGATGTTTGTGAAAAATTGGTGTCAGTTGGTCACAGCAGTGTTACAGGTTGGACGGAGAGTCTGGTCTCTGAGCTTTTCTCACCTTTTGTCAGCTGAAAAGCCTTTTGACATTTTGCTCATTGATGGTGAGATAAGATAGGGTCAGAGGTGAGAGAGCCAGAGTGCGGTTGGAGGACAGTGGACTGGGAGAAAAATGCTGAAGATTATTTTTACACATTCAAATCTTAAATGAAACTCATACAGGTCCATTGGTGAGCTGACAGCAGTAATGTGGCTTTTCAGCTTTTCTGAACATTATTTCTGTGCTGCTTTAATCCCTTTCTCCAGTTTGTATTTGGCCTCTTTGTAGAGAATTCTGTCCCTACTCATGAATGCTGCCTCTTTTTACCTGCGAAGCAGACTGAGTTCAGCTGAAAACTATGGTTTATCATTGCTGTATTTCACCTTTGGTCTTGTTTGAAGCATAAATATGCATTTATTTAAAGTATCAATAGGGCAATTTGCTAGGGGTCCCAGACAGGCAAAACGGAATAATTGTTAACCCCTCAGCATTACGAGAATAACAGGCCTTATATCCCTGCTTCAAGCTAACTTACTTACATTTTTGATGTAGTAGGTCTTTGATTTAAGAAAGTAATGTATAGGAATGGCTTTTAATTGTTAGAGAATTCTTGTCTAGACTAGACCTCTCACAATTATTAAATAATCTCCTGACCATGATAATTTATCATTTCGCACAGTCGCTAGATTTCACAGTTTTTTTTCCCCCAAATTCTTTACCAGGTGTGTAACGACACTCAAAATATAAAATTCAATTCAATGTGACACGTCAAGATTTAATATGATTTTCAATAATGTTGTCTGTTAAAAATGTCTTAATTCTGCAGAGTTCTAATTATATACTACACAGAGTAGTTGGGCTTAAATGAAAAAAAGTTCTTTAGTAGAAAAAAAATCCAGTCATGTGAGCCTGGATGTGTCAATTGCATAAGTGCTGCCCCTCCCCACCCATTTTAACTTGATTGGATGCACTCAGATGTCTAATACTGATCACTAACAGTAATTTCTATAAAAGACTAAATGAGAGATGTTTAAAAAGACTGATAGGTGTATTGGCAATACAGTTCTACAGTGCAGTCTGTCGTGTCATGTCAGTACAACGTGCATTAGCTAAAATGTGTTAAGAGCTAAAGGAAAATGGATGTATATGGACTTACAGGTCATTTATAATTTATATTTTCCACACAGATTCTGAGATTTTCAGATTCAGGAACTGATATTCAGCAGAGGATTGGACAGCGCTTTACTAATGGGTATGTGCATAAAGCCATATTTATTTATTTCAAATGGACACTTCAGGCGATAGATTAAGCAGAATAACAATCAGAAACAGAAAACGTGAGCTGAGATGAGCTGTCTGTAATGACTGAGCTAACACTGCTTTAGCTGCTTGCTGAACAGATTGAATATCTCAGCTCAGCAGATATAGCTGAAATATTGTAAGTAAATTTGATTTTCATTCATAAGCTGAGCTTCAGAAACAACTCTCAAAATGTAAATGTGTTGCTAGACTTGTTTGATGCCACTGCTGTGATTCTTCTCTCTGTTAGACACGTGCTCTAAGACGTCATGGGCTCTACAGCTGGAAGCGTTTTCCTATTTTTTCACATGCCACCATTTTTAAAGTTAATCAAATATAAACTAACTGTGTCTTAACACTTACTGCAGATGTTTACTTCTTTCCACTTCAGATAGTGACATATTACCTGGGATTCTCAAACATTTACATTTACATTTTGCACATCTTGTTTAGCTTATCTGTAGCACCTATTAAGAGTACTTAAATTATAGTAACAGTGTTTAACAGTGTCTGTTCCAGAGTGGCTAATACTAATTTAATACTAAACCAGTGGTACACCTGTCCAGACAAACCCAGCACCTTTTGCTTTGTGGGAGGTTGGATAAACTTTTGTAGCTGGTGTTTCAGTGTAGCAGCGGGTTTGAGGAGAGAGTTCACTCTCGCACTGATATTGCTGTCTCCATGAGAGAGTGGACTCTCTCCCCAGACCTTTGACCAGACCAAAACACTGAACACTCTTAAAAAATAAACTAGTTTAGGTTTAATTATATTTCTAAGTGTCAGTCACACGATTATGATAAGGTGATTATGATTAATAAGTCATATGAGTTATTCTGAGCTGTGGAAATGAACAACAAAAAAAGCACAACTAACAATTTTACAGCTTAGAAAACCTGTAAATGAAAAGAAACAAAAATGCATCCAGCTACTCTAACTCCCTGCTCAAAAACAGGTAAAAATTATGCGCCATTCTGCCTTTTCCACAGATATTCCAAAATACAATATTATAAAACTGGGTGTTTTAAACTCACTATTACAGTGAAAGACATAAGCAACATAAATAATACAGCAAAAGACTAAAACTACCCAAGTTTAACTAAGCATTCACAAAGTGAATAGTGCCTGGTTGGTCTGAACAGAGGTACATCTGGGTTTCATGAGCCATGCTGATACAACATGTTCATTAAAATATATCCAGATGGGAATTTTGGAGAAATATTGAGAAATAAGCATTCAAATATTCAAAAATTACTGATATCATAGTATAATTCTATTGCACTACATGTATGAAAATTCAGTACTGTAGTGTATTATGTACACTAGGTTTATAAGAGAAAAGTAGTATCATCATAGAATAAGCATATTGTGCTACATCACATTGAAGGGAAAAAAGCATTATGAAGAAACAAGAGGCTCTAAATGTGTACAGCGGGAGGAAACAAGTATTCAGACATTTTTATTTTTGTTTTTTATATGCTTCCAGTGCACAAATCCTCTTCAGTTGTGCTCACTTAATGTCTTCTGAATTTCTACTTATGAAATAAAAAAGGTATGTATTTATAAGCATGAACAAAGACATTTTAAAACAAGGACATAAAGTGTCATTAATATGAAGCGCCTGAGTTATAACGGTGCCATTAGTGTCCAGACCAATTGTAGAGGGGCACAGAATCAGATAGGGGGGCATCTAAGAATATCTCATTTGACTTTATAGTACAGCTTTTGTTGTCTATAAAACCAATATATAAAATGACCTCACTATTGCATGTTTCCATTAAACTAGTTTAACCATGAAATGTACCAGATTCTTTTTATATGTGTTTCCAATCGAAGGATGGGAGCTGTTCCTCTTTCTATTCCACACCGACCTCTTTTGTTGTTAGAGCTGGAGCTCTTTTGCCCTTTCTGGTGCCATAGTCCAGGAGTTTACAGCTCCAGTCCTGGGGAACCACTGACCTGCACACTTTTAGGTGTTGCAACCCACAGTTGGAAAAGCATTGCACTAAATTTCATTACGCTGCTACAAATAAGCATGTTTTTTCGAGTCCTGCATATTGTCTGTGTTTTGCAGATAAATGTATGGAAGAGCTTAGGTGTATTTAAGCATATGAACATAGCTTGTTTAAGATGCAAAGTAGCCAAAATACACCATAAAACATAAGATAAACAGTAACTGTAAACGGTTGCACTCCAACCTGTTTGAAACGAGCATCAAAATATTTTTACCAACCAGACCCTAACCAAATCCCTGCCTCATTCCATGGGTGATGTAGCCATTCACAAGAAGCACTAAAAATGATACAAAAATTCCATCATTTTTTGACCATTCTTATTGAACACTGATTCTGATTTATCGTTGATACCACACTATCACAAAACTGTATTAGACACCTTATATGTATTTTGAATTGAAATAATGCAGTGACCTATGTAATTGGTATCTATGTAATTCTTCAATGCAGTTTCCCTGTTTTGTTAGGTGTTATTAGGTGATTGGCTTTTCCACCACAGATAGTTTCCTTCTGCCAGTTGTTGGAAGTAGGGCATGTATGATTTGGATTAGACTATTTTTGTTGTACTTCACAAGTTTAGATTTTCTTTTTTATTTTCTTCTTTCAGAAATAAACGACATCCTGGTTCAAGACCTCTCCTGTTCTTAGTGTCCACAGCTCAAATTTGCATCCTTCAACACATCAGGACATCTCAGCAAGTGTAATGTTAAGCTGTTGAAACAGGTAAAATATAAGAATATGGCATCCAGAAGCTCCAGTACCCAGCCAACGTCATCTAGTACCCTACACATAAACGCATCTCACAGACAAACACAGAAAGTAAGCGAGAAGAGAACTCACTACTGCTCAGAATGTGGAAAGAGTTTTATTAGTCATAGTCATCTCCAGCGACACCAGCGCATTCACACAGGAGAGAAGCCGTATCACTGCTCAGAGTGTGGGAAGAGTTTTAAGCATCATAGTCATCTCCAACGACACCAGCGCATCCACACAGGAGAGAGGCCGTATCACTGCTCACAGTGTGGGAAGAGTTTTACTGTGCAGAGTACTCTCAAAACACACATGCGCATTCACACAGGAGAGAAGCCGTACTATTGCTCAGAGTGTGGAAGGAGTTTTAATCAACAGAGTTCTCTACATCAGCACCTGCGCATTCACACAGGAGTTAAACCACATTATTGCTCAGAGTGTGGGAAGAGCTTTACTCTAAGGAGTAGTCTCCAGCAACACCAGCGCATTCACACTGGAGAGAAGCCGTATCAGTGCTCAGAGTGTGGGAAGAGTTTTACTCTACAGAGTAATCTCAACACACACCAGCGCATTCACACTGGAGAGAAGCCGTATCACTGCTCAGAGTGTGGGAAGAGTTTTTCTTTGCAAAGTAATCTCACAACACACCAGCGCATTCATACAGGAGAGAAGCCGTATTACTGCTCAGAGTGTGGGAAGAGCTTTACTCTACAGAGTACTTTCCAAAAACATCAGCGCATTCACACAGGAGAGAAGCCGTATCACTGCTCAGTGTGTGGGAAAAGTTTTAATCAACAGATTCATCTGCAAAAACACCTGCGCATTCACACAGGAGAGAAGCCGTATTACTGCTCGGAGTGTGGGAAGAGTTTCAGGCAGTCAAATCCCATGAAGACACACAAGTGCACTAAAAGCAGTGATTGAAATAGACAGTAATAAGTGTAACCATAACACTGTTCTGGGAATCTAAAGGGGATGGTGCTTCCAGCCCAGATTATTGTTTTTTAGAGGGGAAATCCACCTTTTATTGTTTTATACCAGGGGTGCACAACTCCGGTCCTGGAGAGCTGGTGTCCAGCACAGTTTTGAACTTTCCCTACTTAAACCCACCCATTAACCTGACAATTAACAGATGAGTGTAATCAAATGTGGTTAAGCAGGTAAATCACCGAACTGTGTCGGACACCCGTTTATACTATTTCCAAAGTATATGCATAAAATGAAATATCATTTCCTGTGCTGAACACAGTTTCAAGCCTATAGCCCATACACCAGGTTAGGGGGTGCTAGGGGGTTCCTCTTACAGCATCCCTATTAGGACCTTCTAAAAAACTTTAATTTGCCTTTTCATGTAAAGTATTTAAATGTAATATGGCTAAGAGCAAGTAATCTGTGTACCAGTTCCACACAGTAGACTGCTGAAACAGAATCAGGCTACATTAACTGACAGTCTAAAATACTGATCTTTAGCTAGTCATTATATTTAAACTTATACTCTCTCATTAGAGAGAGTGGATAAATTGGACACAGTGGATTTAATTTTTAGCTGCTTAAATATGGATCACTTTTTTATTCATTCCAAAAGACAACAAAAAGGCTGACAACTAAACAGCTACTGTTAAGAGAGATACCACCTGCTGCCACTTTGAGTCAGTAGGTTTCTTTGTCAGTTGCAGTACTGCTTCAGTGGCCACAAGTGTGTTTATATCACCATATCCTGTGGTCATCTTTACAGTGCAAGGACCACTGCAAACACTGCCATGATACCATGACAACTGCCTTGTTGGTACATCACCGCTACAATCATATTTCTAGAATGAACCATATAATTCAGGGCTTCAAAGCACTCCAAAGCACAGAAAAAACTGCGTTTTCTGTAAAGCTGCTTTGAGACAACACTAGTTGTAAAAAGCGCTATATAAATAATTGTTGTTGTTGTTGTTGTTGTTGTTGTTGATGATGATGCCTGAGAGCACAGCTGTGTAAATAGTGGATGAACGTTTAATGTTTATTAATGTGAAGCAGTTAATTCCACATGAAATTGAGACTGATTTGTGCGTCACTAAAATGCAGCATGTTTAATTTTGAAGAGCTGATGTGATGCAGAGTTAAAGGTTAGTCTAAATCTTGAGGAAACGTGGGTGACAAGTGTTAGATCAGCGTTCGAATATTAAACCCTCATATCGAATCTTCTTTGCACTTATTTCAGCAGGTAGCTAGAGTCTTACACTAGTGGTTCTTACACCTTGTGTGTTCAATTGGTATAGCGCCCCCTTCAAATGTTTCGGCACGCTGTACCACCCCTGTCAAAAAATTCTTTTGCTGTTCTTATTATACACATTGTGACGGTGTGGTACTTTAAATTCCCTCAGCCCAACTCCCAAAGTAGCACCAACTTTCATTCAAAATGTACAGTGAAAGCAAGTGAGAAGCTTCACATTGAATAGTAGAGCTAGTTTAGGTTCTAATTTAATATTTCTATTTAGCTAAAGTAGTTTACACAGTGTAGTATTGTATAATCTTGGTTATGTACTTCATTGATCCCACAAAGATCAGTGTTGCTGCCTAACTCTGCCCAGGTTGGGAGCAGCACAGTGTAGCCAACAGACCAACGCTGCCTGTTGCCGTGGGAGGTTAGGTACTTTACCCAAGAGCTGCGACCAGGTATACCCAGTCAGTCTGGGGGCCTTCCTGTTGCTGGCTCAGCTATCTTACCAAAAGGCTACCAGCCATGCCAGTGACCTAGGCCCAGTTTCTCAAAAGCACGAGGGGATATAGTTTATCTCCTGTAATTAAATGTGAATCTTTTTAATATAGAATATTGTGTTTAAGACTATATTTCTTACACATAGGAATATCTGTTCATTGGTTTTTGTGTCTTTTTTGTGTCTTTTGCGGCAATGCGACTCAGTCTGAACAGCCAGATCGGAATTCATGCGACTTTTACGTCAATCCAACTCGACATTCGTCATAATTTCGCGCTGCTGAGACTCATAAACATTTAGGCTGATGTTTCTGTACCAAAACATTAGAAGAGACTCATCAAACCGCTCCGTGTTCGAATAGGTTTCGAACGAACCGGCCGAACGGGGCCGGAGGAGTGCGAGGCTGCAGCGTCGGAGAACAGTTTAAAGAATCCGAGGACACGAACCAAAGAAGTATAACGTGCCCTTTTTTTCGGCGAACTGAAACACATTATGGGTGATGAGCCCAGCTGTCAGTCATTGGAAATTTAGAATCGCTCCTGTGATGCTGGCGAAGACGAAACTGAAAGCTCCGGGAGCGACTGGCGTTCGCTGGCCGTCATGACTGTTTACCTCTGGACGAGCCGCCACGTGAAGCATTGTTTTTTTTCGCATACGGGTCGGTTTAAGAGCCGATCTGTTCAGACTGATGTCGCATACAGGTCACATTTAAAAGATAATGTGAACAGCCAAACAAAAAAATCAGATTTGGTGGGAAGATCAGATTTGGGCCACTTTTACCTGCTGTGTAAACGTAGCCTTATTTAATCATTACTATTATCTTCAGTTACGCCTTAGCGACCAAGCATACAGGCAATTATGGTATTATTTTTAACACAGAGAATAAGAATTTACGTTTTTGATTAAAGTTGATTTACATATAATGTGCACAACACCTGAGGGTGCTCTCATCCTTCACCACTCTCCCTTTCTGTCTCTCTTGACTGCTAGTTTTAACCTGCTGATTTTCTTTAAGCCTTTGTCTTAGTAAAGTTTTTGCATTTGGTTAACATGTTGAGCTGTTGACAAAATTTTTCTGTGAGTTTATTTTTACCTTTTCATGTTCCTGTAATCCCAAAAAAAAAAAATCATTTTTCTTACTAAATATCACAATAATATTACTTTTAAAATTCAATGTATTGTCTTTTCTTTTCAGTGGGGTGTTTTTTATACATCTCTGTGTATCTCTCTCATTTTTTCTGTTTGTGATGCTATGGTAAATTACCCAACAGACAACAGACGACTGGTAGACCGAGTATTCAGGGAGATGCTTGCTTTATCATTTAAAAATCATATCATCTTTGTGCTTAGATACTTTCAGGAATCCCAGCCCTGAATGATAATTCTCCTCCTTTCCACTTCATATAAGCAATGTTTATCATCACAAGAACATGGTGACCCTAAAGCCTTGTCAGTAGTACTGGTGTGCTACTAACACAATGTTATTAACAAACAGTCAGTGAACAAAGCATATATCTTCTTGTAATTTAGATGTGATCTCATTGTCAAGTTTTTTTTAAAAGGTACAGCACAAGGTAAATGGTATGCCCAAATGTTATTGACGTAAGAGCTATCATCCAGTGATCTGAAGAACTGGCATAAAAGGCATTTATTTTGGGATGGGGGAAAAAGATTTGTTTTGTTATTAAACTCATACAGAAAAGAAGGCCTTGCTTTATCCGATTGCCTGTTTGGGTGCTAGCTGAGAGAGAAAAAGGTCTGCGTTCGAGGCACTGAGAAACTGACATGATGTGAAGCCCCTAATAATCCTTTTTAGAACATTTAACCAACTATATTCTTGATTTACTATTTTTTTCTAGCATTATGCATTATGCATAGCATTATGTTTTTTATTTAAAAGAGTTTGTCTAAAAGTTCTCTGAATAAAGTGACAATTGACGATGTTTTTGTCAGTGTGTTGATCTTTATTTTACAATGCACTACATGTGAGCTTCACACTTTATATCCCAGTACAACAAACACACTGTGATTATCACTCAAAAATATCCTAATCACTGAATGACAGTGTTCTAAATAGAGTGTCCAGTCAAGTGAATACCTGCCTTGTTTTTTATATAATTTCACAAATGAATCCAGAATGTTTTTATTGCAGGACATGACCAAAAAGATACTGTAATGCTTCAGAGTCATATTCACAAAAAATACAGTTATCATTTGTATAATTTTTAATCTTTGAATAATTATCTTTAGTAAGTAAATTTGATTCATTCTTTGATATAATGCCTCTTCGACCTTAATAGTTATACAGTATTTGTTTGCCATTACCTTTCCCAATTAATTCTAACCTAGAATAAGCTATTCCAAAAGATTTTAACTGGCAAGATTTTATCAGACTGTAATGCGGATTGTAAAAACTGGTTATTACAACCAGGACTCAAAATATCATTTGCTTGTAGTCCAACACTAGCAGTAAATTTTCTCATGGTTTCTGATAAAATTTGCAACTTTTCTTAAAGAACTGCTTTAGGGAGTGCATTAATAACTGTACAATACTCATCCAAATGTATAAGTATTATATCTATTTACAAAATCAGTGTAACTGTGCATTTCTTTATTTACATCAAGTAATTACATGACCCATATTATGTCACTTGATGCTAATATTCATAAAACAATGTTTTGTTTCAGATAGTATATGTGGCGAAAAGTTATGTTCATACATATGTAACCATGGAAGAAGTGCTTGTTTTCAAGGGAATTTCAAGGGAATTTTTTTTCCCAACATCACAGTTACATTCACGAAAACAATTGATACCTCCAACTTCCTAAAATATTACTTTGGGAATTATGCACCATATGCTTTGTTTTTAAGTTAAGTTTTGCATCCACTTTATTTTATGAAGAGTATGAAGAGCTGTCCTAAATCTAGTGCATTAAACCCTCCTACTGCCAGTGGACGACATATCATTTTTGGTGTAATGAGGTTCATTTCTCCAGATAAATTTAAAAAGTTCAGTGTTAACTTTCTTAATAACTGAAGATGGTAGACCTAGAACCAAAGAAACAAAAACTAATCTAGATAAGCCCTCTGATTTACATGAATGTGTACAATTAACCAAAGAAAGGCCTTCTAACAACCATGATTAATTATTATAATATAATTGTAATAGGGGGATGGTTTCTATCACATTGTGATATTTAAAAAAAAAGCCAGATACTGAGGAAAAAGCTTGTAAGCACTTAAATGCCTTTTCAACCTGCATATGGTCTCTTAAAAATGGTTGTATCACCAGCCAACAGGGAACGCTTAATTTCCTTTTTTTATGTGAGTAGCCATAATTTGTGCAACCAGTAAAAATAAGAACGGACTTATTGGGCATCCTTGTCAAAGTCCCCTACCGATTTCCAATTCTATAAAAGGTGCCATGAGCCAGTTTAACAACAAAACTATTAACCGTATAATACAATGTGCTAATGACCTTTTAGAAGTACTTACCACAACAAAAAAGGGTCTCAAAAATAAACTAATGATCAATGGTATCAAAAGCCTTATAAAACTTTTTAAAAGCTGTAAGGTTGCTATAACGTATAAGATCTAACATCAGCTGAAAATTTTTATTTATTTTATCCTATACACTGTGTGGACACCTGACCATCACACCTGTATGAGCTTGTTGGACATTCCATTCCAAAATCATGGAAAATCTTTCCACAAAATTTTGAGATTTTCAGTGGGAATTTGTGCCCATTCAGTCAAAAGAATATTTGTGAAGTCAGGATGTTGTACAAGAAGGCCGGGCTCGCGATCAACATTCCAAGTCATCGCAAAGTTGCTAAAAGGGGCTGAGGTAAGGGATCTGTATTAACAATACCCTACAGTGGAACCAAGAGGCCATGCCCAAACTCCAAAAAAAGAGCTCCAGACCTCCTGCATGTAAGTGTACTTTTGGCACTATGCATTTTGGTAGTTAGCATTTACCTAGTGTCCCCAAAACCAGACCGACATTTGACATTGTGCACAATGATCTTAGGCTTGTGTGCACCTCAGCCATAGAAACCCATTTAATGAAGCTCCCAATACACATATCTAGTGTTGATGTTGCTTCTTGCTTCAAGAGGCAGTTTGGAACTCTGTAAGTTTGTGTGGTCTGCTGTTTTGTGGCGCTGTTGCAGCTCCTAGGCACTTCCATGTCACAGTAACAGCGCTTACAGTTGACCAGGGCAGATCTAACAGGGCAAAAATTGCTCAAACGTTCTTGTGGCAAAGGTGGCATCCTATGACAGTGCTGCATTCAAGGAGTAACTCAACCCTTAACTCATCTTTGAAAAATATTTAGAAATGGGAGGGGCACTGCAACGATGTTCAGGTCTGGAGCTGGTGCTGGGATGGCCCCCTGAAACTTCAAATAGGTCCATGTAACCTTGCAAAATTTCAAAGTTGTGCTCCATTTTTTATATTTATGAATTGTTAAAATTTGGCCTGTTTTAGGATCTAAATGTATGTTAAACTGCTTACAGAATGAATGATCTGAAATATTACACACGCACACACACACACACACACATTTTCTAAACCGCATATCCTTCTGGGTCTCAGGGGTGCTGGAGCCTATCTCAGCAGTCATTGGACAGAAGGCAGGATACAGCCAGGACAGGTTGCCAGTTCAGCGCAGGGCGAGCTAAAATATAAACTGAGTATAAATACAACAATAAAAATATAGTATTTTTCTCAATGTAAATACATGATGTGATTGGACAAGGCCTAGGTGAGTTAGATGACTCCTAGGTTAAATAGAAATAGTAGGACAAACTCATGTGGCATTCAGTCACTAGAAATTACACATAATTACACTCTGTGTCATATGGTAAAATAGTGCTTTAAATCCTGCTCCTGGAGTCTCTCTGCCCTGAACAGTTTTAACAAGTCCCTGTTTCAATATGTCTGTTCCACCTAATCAACTGATTATTAAGCACTTCATGAGCTGGATCAGGTATGTTGAAGCAGCAAAAAGTTGAAACTGTACAGAGCAGGGTTCTCCAGAAGCAGGATTAACAAAGAGTGCAGTAAAACATTCTAGCATGTAGCACTGAGATTTACCTCATTTGTCTTTCTGAAAAAAAGGCTGGGCCATAGCGACCAGGTGTGGTCTTGAAAATTAGGCATATTGCTAGCAAGAGACAGGGACAGCTTTCAGGGGTGGGGGATCTTAACCAAGCTCCCCAACATACCATTCGAGGGCAGCAGGGTAACATGAACATCAGACACTATGAATGCAAAGGCAGTAACAACAACCAATTTAATATCTTGAGATATAGTCTTACGACTACATGGTGCAAGAGGGAAATAATAATGTTAAAACTACTCATATATCTATACCATAAATAAACATCAAATTATGTTATCCTCTGAAACCCATGGCACGCTATTCAACTACCACTGACTACTGCTAAAACAGGAAGATTGATAAAAGTAAGGTTGGGTTGCACCAACAAGGACAATGTGATTGTGATTATGACAGGTGGAGACTCTTGCTGATACAGGCTGGCATACAGAGCAGTTGAGACTCTTGCTGGTGCAACCTGGCATAAGGAAAGATGGAGGCTCTTGCTGGTGAAAGCTCACATAATGGCAGGAGGAGGCTCTTGCTGGTGCACACAGACTTGAGGACGGGTGGAGACTCTTGCTAGTGCAGGCTGACAATAGGGACAGGTGGAGGTTCTGGTTGGAAAACAGGAGGAGGCACTCTATACAATTTAAGGGAAGACAGTCAGATGATTAAGATTAAAACAAATGTTTATCTCATCTCAATGAACAGCCTACTGCTGCACAGTGGCAAGAAAGGACAATTAGATATTAAATATCTATTAAATCTATTTCTTACCTTCTTTGTACTTTTGTTGTTCCTGAAGTGTGACTGAAGATTTGCTGGTGCCTCACTTTTGTTGGGTCAAATATAATAAGTACTTCAGGAACAAGCACCTGGTTTAAGATCTCTTTTTGCCACATGGTCAAAGAGCAGATTCATGAAGTTCTCAACATACCTTACTGTATAACTGCATAACTCATTTGAACCACAACACTTATTTTTACAACTGTGCAAATGTTCATATCACTCTGTATTTTCCTGTAAATAATAGTGTACTTCTTCAGACTCTTGACATAGGTACTTATTCACATATTCTATATTCACATGTTCACCTCCTTAGGTCCTTTCATGTTAGCTCTTTTATATCTAATTTCTTATTATTTATTCTATTTTTATTCGTCTGCTCTATTTGGTATCTTACCTGTGTGCACTCACCAAGACAAATTCCTTTTATGTGTAAAATACTTAGCCAAGTAAAACCAAGAGGGTGAGCGAGAGGGAGAGTGAGAAATATAAAGAAACATTGAGTGTTGGTAACGCAGACTTGGTCAAAGTAGTTATACCTTTATGCAAATTATATGTTTTATAGACAATCTACATATAGAATTGCATGCACATGTTAAATCAACATTACAAATCAAAACTCTTATAATGCAGACTTGGATTGTTTCAGGAACATAACAGAACACAGTGCTATTGGTTAGATTTAGTCAACAAAGATAGCGTCCATTGTGTGCATCATAATGATGTTAGAAAGAGTTGCCCTCAGTGAGGCTCAAGGCCTTGGAACATCCCTATTGGTCATCTTTCACCCAGTTCTACAATGATGAAAATACCCTGTTCCAACTCCGGTACCACAGGCCGCCGACATGTCTGGTAGGAGACTGAATAAACAAGTCATTCTCATGTCACAGCACACTTCTCAAGGAACAGTCACTCTCCAAGCATCACAAAGAACAAAAGTCCTTAATGTTTCTGTAAATAGTAACGGAAAATTCATGGATGAGTTGTAGTCTGGCCTGTATGCAACTTTATGCCACGTAGAACAGGCATGCATACACCAGGAGGAGAGGTCATCAGTATATCTCTCAGCTTGTCTTGTAGTCCTTCATACCACTGTGTTTCTTTTACAAAGCTGTTCAGTTTTGCCCAACACAGAAAAACTTCACTGTTGCAGTCTTCAGAATCATATCTCCTTTGCAGCAGTCCTCAACAAGAACACTCCGAGCATACAGAAAACATCTAAAGGTTAAAAAGGAAGATAAAGTGGCACTTTCATTGCAACAAACATTATCCTGTTAATGCGTAGGACTCAAAGAGGCAAAAGAGGGATTCTGTGTTTGTCAGAACATCACTGCAACAGAAACATGATACTAGGTTAGATATACTAAATTGGTTTTCAACATATGGTACAAACTAAACTAATTTTGGGGGAATCTGTAGTACCACACCTGTATGAAGTGATAGACCTGTATGGGTGTATGAGCTGTCAGCTTGACTTGGTGTTCACCACAGTAAAAAGAGAAAAACTGCTTTTATTTCCAAAAGAGAGAACTATGTTCTTTTAAATTTCTAGCAGAGCTGTACACTCACAGAGTAAATAGCAGGGAAGGTCAACAATGGCCATATAACACTCACTGATGGTGAACACTGAATCACAGTCAAAACATAAACACATCATCAACTAACAAACAACATTAATAACAACGACAACAAAATATCCTTTTTTCAACAAGAGGCAGGGCATGTGTGGGTGTTACATTCCATACCACGCCCCTTGAGCTTCCTTTGAAAGACAGAACCCATGGAGGACGCTATAATATTTTATTTTATGCTTATGTTTTAGAAATAGGGTAAAACGTGGTTCTCCCCTAAAAACAATTTGAAATCTGGGCAGGAAGCACCATTTCCTGGAGACTTTTACTCCTGGAATGTGTTAAGGTTAGACTCATTACTGCCCAGTTCCACCATGCTCTTAGTGCACTTGTGTTTTGTCATAGTTTTTGAATGCCTGAAACTCTTCCCACACTCTGAGCAGTAATAAGGCTTCTCTCCTGTGTGGATGCGCTGGTGTTCTTGAAAACTACTTTGTCGATTAAAACTCTTCCCACAATCTGAGCAGTAATACGGCTTCTCTCCTGTGTGGATGCGCTGGTGTTCCTGGAGATGACCCTGTTGATTAAAACTCTTCCCACACACTGAACAGTGATACGGCTTCTCTCCTGTGTGAATGCGCTGGTGTTGTTGGAGAGAACTCTGATGACTAAAACTCTTCCCACACTCTGAGCAGTGATACGGCTTCTCTCCTGTGTGAATGCGCTGGTGTTCTTGAAGATGACTCTGACGATTAAAACTCTTTCCACACTCGAAGCACTGATATGGCTTCTCCCCTGCGTGAATGCGCTGGTGTTCTTGGAGATGACTCTGACGATTAAAACTCTTCCCACACTCTAAGCAGTGATACGGCTTCTCTCCTGTGTGAATGCGGTGGTGTTGTTGGAGATGACTCTGTACAGTAAAACTCTTCCCACACACTGAGCAGTGATAAGGCCTCTCTCCGGTGTGAAAGCGCTGGTGTATTTTGAGATGAGACTGTTGAATAAAACTCTTACCACACTCTAAGCAGCAGTGACTTTTCTCTTTGCTGCGTTTCTGTGTTTGCCTATGAGATGTGTTCATGTGGAGGGAACCAGATGACGTTTGCTGAGTACCGAAACATCCTCTGGATGCCATATTCATATATATATAAATATATATCACCTGTTTTGGCAGCTTAACATTCCTCTTAGTGGAATGTCCTGATGTGTTTATGGAAGCACATTTAAGCTGGGTAGGAAAGTGCAGGAGAAGACTTGAAACAGGACATCGTTCATTTCTGGAGAAAGAAAAAAGAAAATCAGAACTCAGTGTGCAATGCAACAAAAGAAGTCTGATTCAAATCATGAACGCTTCTCTTATGTCAACTGGCAGAAAGTGTAAAGAAAGAATAAACTTCCATTTCATGTGGAAAAGCCAATCACCCCATTACTCAAAACTCTTCAAACAGACATTCAAACAGACATAGAGACCACTGAAGTTGTGTTATTCTTTAGTTGGAGTCATGCCGACGTTTGAAATCTCAGTGCTAAGCTGGATTTCTCCATGGCTAAAACGACTAGAACTACTGCAAACCACCACCATTACGCCCTGTGCTTAACAAAATGATTCTAAACTCGATACATTTTATCCTATGTAAATTTTTTCCCTGAATGATAATGGATTCTCTGCTTTAGGTCATTATGAGGCCAAAACATAAATTTTGCTACATGTTTTTTTCTGGAAGGTCTCAGAGCTTATTTGACTGATCAGGCCGTAATTCAAGTCATGTATAGACAATTTCAGAACATAATTAATCTTCAAATCTCTTAAGGTGCTTACACTTCACACCCAAAGACTCACCTAAACAGCTGACTGAGCATATTAAAATAAAAATAAAAGACTTTTACAGAGCAAGACAAGAATACAAAATATATCCTAACACTTTCTGCTTATAAACCAAGTGTGTCAAATCTTATCCGCAAAGGGCCGGTGTAGCTGCAGGTTTTCACTCCAAACAAGTTTGAGCACACCTGACTCTACTTCTTTAATCAGCTGGTCTTAGTCTTCAAATGTTTCATCAGGTGACCTCCTGCTTTGTTGGAGTAAAAACCTGCAGCCACCCAGGCCCTTCGCGAATAAGATTGGACATCTCTGTTACAAACTTTTACTGACTGAAACAGCATTACAAAATGAATGTTAAGGACAACTACTGAAGTCAAGGCAAGATCTGGAAGAAATAGCTCTAAAAAAGCTTGGTGACTGGTCAGGTATGCAAAGTAAAAGATTTACATGGAAAGATTATCAAAAGATAACCTTAACTGTGATCTCATCACAAATATCTATGTCTTAAGTTTGCAAACCACTCTTAGATAAACTAAAAGCATTTTGGAATCAAGTGCTGTGGTTTAATAATAATAATAATAATAAAAAAACTTTGGCTACAATCACCATTGCCTGAGAGGGTGCCCAAACATTTGAACATACCACATTTTTTTTCCTCCAATGTATTACATTTAGCAAATAAATGGAAAAATTCTTTTTCACAGGGAACTAACATTCATAGGGGACTATTTTGCTTTAGAACACCCTGCATGTTCCTCTCCACCATGAATATTTAAAAAAATGCTTTAAGCCAAAATCTAATTGCAAAACTATTGTAAAACAATGTCTCAGACATCAGGCTGCATATACTTAACCATTCCATATAATACATTTCTAACATATAGGTAATACTTTGGCGTTGATTTATGGATGGCCAACCAACCCATTTAAAAATTGTTTAGCAATATTTCTTAGTCTGTTTCAGAAAAAGCAACATGCTTTCACCCAACTTTGCTGCTAATATTACACGAATGCAACTCGGGTCATGGGAAAAGACAGGAAAAGGAGACAGCAAGAGATTGAGCAGAAAACATGCATTAACATGTGTTTTGTGGTCAAAGTGTATTTGGATAAACTTTGGCTAGATTCCATTCACACTTTTCACTAAAATGCGCCCCCACTGTGTCCAAATGAGATCTGACTATACTTTTTACACGTAAAAAGCATATCAGCACATGCTGATTAGGCAAATGCATTTCTGCTTATGTAACTGTATACAAATAATGAAAACGCATTCCATTACACTTGTGTAAAATGCAGTCAAGATACGTCTTTGACCACTTCTGAATGAGGTTTGAGTAATCTGATTATAATCAAATCACAATGCGTCCTGGGGGTGTTTACACTAGGGCTGCAACAAACGACTAATTTGATAGTCGAATAATCAATCAATTACTGAAATGAATAATTGAGTATTCGGATTATGAACCACTACATTACCAAATAACTTTTATGTAGCTATCAGCTTTTAAATTTAGCTTGAGGTTGTTTTATGCATTTGCTAACTAACAGTGAAGACAATAAAGATGAATACCATTCAGGAATTCACTGTTTTAATTAACTTTCTTGCTAATACAAAAGATAAAAAAAAAAAACAACTCCAATATATTTTTCCTGTCAAAATTTATAACCAAGGATGCGCAAAGTAGCAGCAATAAAATATGACAAAACTAAATCCGTTTTCCTTTAATCAAGTAAATAAAAAAATCAATCTAAATTTAAATGTTAAATACACAGAGTGATCTGTGCATTCTGCTGTCTGTCTACACTCTGCTGCAACTAAATTTTACAATTAAAGGTCTTTACTGAAACGGAGGGAAAGTCAGCATCTCTCCGTGCTCCTGTGAGAGTCTCGCTCTCCTCTTAGAGCGGATATTCCCCACTGGCGCGCTCTGATGGAGCGGCTGGGAAAGTGGCGAATGTTTGTGGCAAACTTTTTCTCTATGAACAGCTACATTTGAACGATTTTGTGTAAACGCTTCATTTCAACGGTAACCCTTTGTCCAGCTACCCTGTGTGTTCACGGAGAACTACGTCCTTAAACTGTTAGCGAGTGGTGGCAAACGTTCGCGGACAATCTGCCGTGTCCACCGCATTTGAACGCACCGGTGGCCTCGGCGTTAAGACAACGATGCAGCGTTTAAAAGTGTAACCGTTATTTGGAAAGTGAACAGGGTCGCTGTGAATAACAGTTACTTATTTCTCTGTTCCAACTGCGTTAACGATTACAGAGAACGTGCATTTCGAAATAAAAAAATGATGCAGCTCAGCTCACAACATGAAGTAGGACGGAATTTAACATTAACATGAGCTCGCTAGCACAACTGTCGCCGCGTCCCAAACCACACACTACACTAATTAGTGCACTTCTAATGGTATATGCGCTATTTTTACACAGTATTTAGTGAGCTAGTGTGCGGATACAGTGCCGAATGAGGGCCCAAAATTCATGAGCATCCATAAGCATCCAATAGTGTGCGGTTTGGGACGCGCCGTCTTACTGAGATGAATCTACTTCACCCAGTGAGCCGACGAGTTTTCTCTTCAGGTGCTCTAGCATGAAGGATGTGCTCCCGTGCCAGCTAAGGTCGGCTTTACAAATAGCACAACTGACAACCTTTTTTTCCTGAGTTTAGCTCTCACACTTTTGAGGATTGTGTTATTGAGGCTGCCATCGCGTTGTTGTTAAGTCTCCAGTGAGCGGTAATGTCAAAACGTTCCTAGTGAGTGCGAGAAAGACGCGTAATGACGTCACCAACTAATCGACCACTAAATTAGTTGCCAACTAATTTGGTCGTCGATTTTAGTCGACTAAGTCGAATAATCGTTGCACCCCTAGTTTACACCTGGCTTCTCATGCGATGACGTGAAAGATGTTTCATTTTCTGTGCAATTCATGGTCATTGAACTTGTTCAATCTCGGTGAAATACAGTCAAGAATGAGCCAGACTCCAGTGAGTAATTGGAATGGCGGAGAAGATGATTAGATGTAGTCAACGCTGCAGGACACCTACAACAGCAGGGTGGTGGAGCATGCTGGCAAAATAACAGCTCATCCTGAACATCACCTCTTCCAGCCACTCCCCTCTGGTTGAAAATTCAGGGCCATTGAAATCAGTGCAAACAGACATACCAACAACTTTGAACTGAACCTAATAAGCCTCCCTTAGTGTATTACAATATAACTCCTGTTAAAAATGCTTATTTGCACAACTGGACAAATGTTAAATTTGTAATGTTCATATCATTTTGTAATTTCTGTATATAATAATTATAATTATTATATGTCTGCTCAGACCTGCATATGTATAGATATTCATATCTGCATTTGTACAGATATTCACACATTCACATTAGCTCTTTATTATTCTTTCTTATTCTTTACTCTACTACCCCAATTCCAAAAAAGTTGGGACGCTGCGTATAATGTAAATAAATGTAAATAAAAACAGAATGCAATGATATGCAAATCTCATAGACCCATATTTTATTCACTATAAAACATAAAACACATATCAGAGTTGAAAGTGAGACTTTTAGGCATTTCATGAAAATACTTATTTAGAATTTGATGGCAGCAATGCATCTCAAAAATGTTGGGACAGGGTCAACAAAAGGCTGGAAAAGCAAGTGGTACTAATTACAGCAGGAGGAGCAATTTGCAACTGACTCACATGACTGGGTATAAAAAGAGCATTTTAGAGAGGCAGAGTCTCTCAGAAGCAAAGATGGGCAGAGGTTCATCAATCTGTGAAAAACTGCATCTAAAATTGTGGAACATCTACAGTATATAATAACATCAAAAGATTCAGAGAATCTGGAGAAATCCCTGTATGCAAGGAACAAGGTTGACTGTCAATATTGGATGCTCATGATTTTTGGGCCCTCATTCAGCACTGCATTAAAAACAGGCATGATTCTGTACTGAACATCACTGTATGGGCTCAGGAACACTTTCAGAAATCATTGTCTGTGAACACAGTTCGCCGTGCAATCCACAAATGCAAGTTAAATCTGTATCATGCAAAGAAGAAGCCATATGTCAACATGATCCAGATATAAAGCTGTCTTCTCTGGGCCAAAGCTTATTTAAAATGGACCACGGCAAAATGGAAAATTGTTCTGTGGTCAGATGAATCAAAATTTGAAATTCTTTTTGGAAACCACAGACGCCTTGTCCTGCGGACTCAAGAGGAGAGGAACTATCCAGCTGGTTATCAGCGCACAGTTCAAAAGCCTGCATCTCTGATGGTATGGGGTTGCATTAGTGCCATGGGCAGCTTACACATCTGGAAAAGCACTATCAATGCTGAACATATGCTCCCATTCAGACAACATCTCTTGAAGGGAAGGCCTTGAATATTTCAGCAAGACAACGCTAAACCACATACTGCTTCCATCACAACAGCAAGCCTT